GTTGCTATGGAATGTTGTCATGGCGATGTGTTCCCAGGGGGTCTGGCTGGGATGAAAGACAGACATGTTTACGTCACGTTGTGATGATTTCGTAATGTAAAGCGGGCTTAGTATAATATATGCAACAGCATTCCTGAAAACATAAACCCGCAGACACATTTCTCATTTCAATGGAAAATATCTCTATAAGACTCTAGCTGAATCTAATTCATCCGCCCAGCCCTTACCGTGTTGCTGTAGCCCTCAGGGTTCACAATCTGAATCTCCCATCACACGATGGCTCATTTATAGGTTTCAGACAGAGCTGTTTGTTTCTGTCAAAAGTTATATGTTTTTGGTGCGCTTATCCTTAGGGTGGAAAATTCATTTAATGTAGTAACGCTTGCTGCAATTCGTTTTTTTGCTTTAGCGGGTATATATTTTCAAAATGTATCATTTTTATAATACATCCTTAAATAACTTCTAAAATAACTGATTATATTTACTAAATGTATACATGTATTGCTTAACCCACAGAATTGGTCAAAGGGTTACTTACATATCATTACATAAGAAAGGTTTTATTATCGATAAAACGTTACATATATATTAACACAGATTCTAGCACGACATTGTGTGATGCTCGATTCTGATTCTGCTGACGTTCGGTATTCAAATTACATTTAGCGGTCTTAAATCAACGATAAAGGATCGCAAAATTGAAAACAGAGTAGCTTCATCTTCTAATTAGCAACTACACGCATTTTCTGTGATTCATAAGATAACGGTTGCAGGGTAGATATAAAGCTGAGTACAATACTGTTGATAACATATTTTTAATACAGTGTCTGGTACTATAGTACTTAAGACTAACGGTAGGGTTTATTGTATTTTGTAGATTTGAGGGAATAATCATTCTTTTTGTACATTATAGTACAGCATTAAAGAAAACATTCATGTTGGGTAGAATCTTTACTGTTTATTCGACATAAGTTGTAAGACTCTCACATATGCCTGTTTCTAATAGCTTTGACTCACCTAGCTGTGTAAAACTGGGTTGTGGTATCAGTCTATTTCAGATGCGTGATGGGCATTTAGAAGTTTGAATGTAAAATAACAACGTATGGTACGGATTACAACCTCTTTAATATTAAATAAATATTAAAGAAGTTGTAAATCCATACTTCTTTAATATTAAATAAATATTAAAGAAGTTGTAAATCCATACCATACGTCATATAGTCACTTTTTGTTGTTGAGTAAGATACTATGTAAATGCGGCTTCACACTAGCAACTTAAGTTGACAAACACAGGTTGGTGAACTTCAAAAAGTGTAAGGGTGAATGATCTGGGTGTGACGCCGTTTTGGACAAAAGCAGGCGACTTTTTGGCAACTTTTAATCGCTCGGTATTAATTAACCACAAGCTTTTTAAGAATGAATTTGGTGTTCCGCATAAGTCTAACCACAAATCTTTCATATGTAATAGTTAAAAGAGTAAAAAAAAACAAAGTTTATTTGTTCTTTAATGGGAAGAAATCCTGACGTTGTGTAGGTCTGCGATGTTTACCTTAGTGCAACGCACAAACACTGTCATGGTACTAGCAGACTCACAGACATAATCGGTGGCATTAGAACTCTGATCAACGATCTTCGTCGCTTACAATGACTGGGCCATTCGAGCCCTCCCATTTGAAATGAGCGAGTTTAGTTTTACGCCGCTCTTAGCAATATTCCAGGAATATCACGGCGGGGTACACCAGAAATGGGCTTCACACATTGTACCCATGTGGGGAATAGAACCCCGGCGTGACGACCGAACGCCCTAACCACAAGGCTACCCCACCGCCCCACATTTGAAATGGGGCTCCTGGATGCGGCAAACAGTTCTGAAAAGCTTCCGTCTGATCACAATTTGAGTTGGTCCTGCCAAGAGCCGATCATAACCAACACTGCTATGGAGAGGTCAATAACGAGTATGACCGTTGGTAATGTAGGCATAAACTGAAGTACAAAAGTAAATACACACTTGGTGCTTTGAGAATATTTTAAAAAACACATAAATATTTTGAAAATGTTTGACCGTGAATGGCAAATCACAGCTATTGTGTTCGTGTTGCCTAAATAAATCCTCCCAAAACAAGAGTGTACTTTTTCTAGTACGTTAGTTTAAATGGGGGAAAGAGAACAGTAGGAAAAGTTCAAAATTTTCAGCCTGAAGTCGAAATTCAAATAGTCCGAGACAAGCGGAGAGCGAATCACTTCAATACAAGGAGTGATATCTTGAGGTAAGTGCACAACCTGACAAGGACCGTATGACGTAGGAAGGACAACATTTATTACCTTCTTACATACTTCCACAGTATTATCGAGATACACATGTGTGATCAGTCATAAAGAACCGCACAGCAATATCACCTGAACTAGTTCGTGTGCCTGTATTAGTCATAAGAAAAGTGGGCAAAGCACGCGAGTGTACAACGTCCTGGGGCTATATCATGGAGAAACTATAGGAAAGGCGTGTTATTTATGCGTGGCATTTTATGACTTGTATGTCGTCACCGACATTCTTACACCGTGGTCAGTGCAACACCAGACACAAACAACCCAACACAACACACACACACACAACATACACACACACACACACACACACAGATAAATAAAAAAAAATAGCGGCGGTCTGTATATAAGTGTCTGGACCAGACATTCCAGTGATCAACAGCATGAACATCGATCTACGTAACTGGGATACGATGACATGTGTCAGCCAAGTCAGCGAGCCTGACCACCCGATCCCGTTAGTCGCCTTCTACGACAAGCATGGGTTGCTGAAGATCAATCATTCTAAAACCGGATCTTCGCGTAGTTGGGAAGGAATCGCGGGGCACTTTATCTCAAACACCTGGTGTCCCCACTGTTTGACTGTGATTCATAAACACGTGGTCGTGATACACGTTGAAATCGTACAATTATGTTTTTAGCAGACAAATTTTGAGACAATGAAAACGGTTTGGGGGTTTTCACTTCAAGCAGTATCGTGGACTTTTAGACATGGCGCAGGCATATAAGAGGTCGATAGTGTGATGAATGTATCCAGTGAATGGGGACAAGGTTTCAGATTTGGCATATCTGGGCCCCGTTTAATATTAATTTCAAGTGTTTAGTGCAAGGAAGGCCACAAGTACAAAATTTCATCGTTCGTTGTTTCAACGCCAAATATAGCACTAGTCTACATATATCACCGCAGTCTGTTTATAATCAAGTGTGGACCAAACGCTAGTATCCGTGTGAGCAATTGGGACACGATGTCCTGCTTCAATCAAGTCAGCTAACCTGATCATCCCATCCCCGTTATTCGTATCTGACAAGCATTGTCTCCTCTTACAAGCATGTTTTCCTGAAGACCAATTTTAACCCGGACCTTCCAGGTCCAACGTCCCTTTCACGTACGGCAATCGTAGAGTCAGGATCCTACGATAAGTTAAATTAACTTAACTGTTTGTCGCCACGATAAGCAATGTACCAGCTTTGATACTGGTTGGTTGGTTTGTTGTTTAACGCCGCACTCAGCAATATTCCAGCTATACAGCGGCGGTCTGTAAATAATCGAGTCTGGACCAGACAATTCAGTGATCAACATCATGAGCATCGATCTACGCAATTGGGATACGATGACGTGTGTCAACCAAGTCAGCGAACCTGACCACTCGATCCCGTTAGTCGCGTTTTACAAGCATGGGTTACTGAAGACCATTGCTAACCAAGATCTTCACGGATCTTGAATGATATATGATAGACTGTGGGCAGGGAGGCCTGTCGTTGGTTGTACGATGATGAGAGGTTGGGATTTTTAGGAGCTTGTTAGAGAGAGGGTGGGTGGGTGAGCAAGCAAGGAAGTGAGCGAATATTGTTTTCCCCTGCAGTCAACAGTGTCAGGGAGGCCTGAAGATACCTGCACCAGGTATCTGGTCGACATCACAGGCCGTGCCGTCGGAGATTGGTACAGTCAATCGTCTTTTGTGGGTTCGGACACTAATAGCGGATACTGGGGATCTGTTCGCTACCGGAATCCTCGCGGGGTTTTAATCTGATGATTATTCATCTAATTATGCGAATATCCGAGTGTTTGGAATTGTACATCAATCATCCTGACAACCATGTCCCCACCTCGGTCACTGGTGATGACTCAAGGTTCCTATCAGAAGAAGATTCTCAACATACTCTTGCTTTTCTCAAATAAATTACATTTGACATATCACTACTCCAGTGCTGTCCCTAGTTTTGTGGAGGTACCAGAATAGCGGAGTGGAACTATGCAAGTCCACTTTGTTTTGTTTACGTTACACTAGGCAACATTCCAGCTATATGACGGCGGTCTGTACATAATCGAGTCTCGACCAGTCAACCCATTGATTAACATCATGAGCATCGACCTACGCCATTAGGATATGATGACTTTCATCTACAGGGTCAGCGAGCAAACGCGATACCACCGTTGCTCAGTTTTCATTAACTGGCTTGGCTAGTCCTGGTTCCATTACTAACAAGTCATGAGAGTTTTACATTTGAATACAGCTGACTACAAAATTAAACAACTTTCACTCACTCCCACACTGTCCACCTCCTCGGTTTGACACATGGCCAGCTATCTAATACAGACACATCTCAGTTTCGTTCAACGCCGACTGTGGAGTCAGTGGCTGAACGAAGGGAGGCTACTCTTGCGAGTATATTCAATGCGAAGTCGTTCAAGATAATTTTCAGAGAAGTGAAAATCGGGTTCAAATCCACATGACCTTTGTATTGCATTGCATTGCATCACTTCATTATCGTTATTCATCAGCTCTCGCTGTATGATGTCATGCATGCCAATATATGTTAAACTGTTCAGGGTTGGGTATTTTTCCTTTTTCTCTTGTAATACACATGAACACATGGTTATAACGGAAACTTATGTCCTATGGATATACATCTTAAACAGCATTTCTAAAATTTACAATATCAAGGTAACAATTATCAGGAATATGGTATATTTTTTAATATAAAACTATATATAACATAAAACTATATTTGTTGAATAAAACTGTACATAAAACATGTAACTAAAGTACTAACAGGAAATACCGGTCATTCAATTGTCCGCAATCTTCAACACTTTGTTTGTGTTTCACACCACTCAGCAATATTCCAACTATATGAGAGCAGTCTGAAATAATCGAGTCTGGACCAGACAATCCATTGGTAATCCATCTTCGTGACTGTGATAGGATATACATCAATGGAGTCAATGAGTCTGACCACTTGACCACCTCCTATGACAAGCATGGCTTGCTGAAGATCAGTTGTTAATGCCAAGCACCAGTGAATACAAGTACTATCCTTTATAATATCTTTTGAGTTAATGAATTCAGGATCAAATCAACGCCCTTCCGAGATCCAAGCAGATACCTAATTTTTGGGCTTGAAGAAGGAGTTGAGAGACATCTGTTTCTTCTTATTGCTTGAATCATCGCTGGAAGATTGTCTTTTCCTCTTGTTAACCTGTAAATGGCATCATTCACTGAGATATCCAGTTGTCATGAACTTGCCTCCATTTTGGTTTTCAAAATCTTATTTCAAGAGAACAACCACTTGCAATACATTTTGGTGTACAAGTATCAGTCTAATAAATCTGTTTTTCCTCTAACCATTCTTTCACTGTCTTAATTGTTTACTATCACAATATTGAATATGGATTGACGAGTTACTTCCCTTTAGAACTGCAGGAACCTGTTGTAAAATGTTTTGTTCAGTTGACTAACATAATAATATGTCAAGAGATTGAGGACTACAGAGTATTACAAGCGTTAAAACTGAAATATCTACACATTTAAAAACATAGCAAGGAATAAAGAACACTGTAATCCCTGTTTCCTCACCTTTATACTGTCATCCAAGGATTTCTCATAGGCTTTGAATATCTACAACAAACAGACATTGTATTTGTGCAATTCTAATACGTAAATGAATCGATAGAAACTGCAAAGTTTTCACATGTTCATTAAATTTATAGTTAGAACACAATTTGTGGCTTACAGTAAATTTGGCCAATAGATTTATCCCAAAGTAAGACAGTGTGCTACCAAACAGATTTATTTCGATTTTTATTTCATTGTCACAACAGTTGTATGTGAACACTACTAATCATTATTACGACATTCCCTCTTAACAAGTACAGTCAACAGTGTTTCAATGATATTAATCAACTGTGTTACAGACTAATCCTATGCCCCCCATGTGATCATGAATTATTATAAACAATATGAGAGTGCCATATTCATGTAAAAACAGAGTTCACAATGATGGCCAAATTCAAAAGTCTTTAAATACATTTTCTTGCACTTGGAGTACTTTTTTGAAGACCGATACAATGAAATCACCATTTCAAGGACAGACTGGCAAATTCAATACCATGTCAAGCATGTAATAACTGGATTATAAGTGGGTAACTTTGATTACCAATATCACTACAATATAAAGTTATCAGTATCAGAATGATGTCTGCACCTTCTTCATCGCTGTGGAGACAGCAGCCTCCAGGAACTCCTCCTTGGTGACCCATCTCTTCTCATCAGACACCATCTCCGCCTCGACCTTCTCCTCCATCACTGTCACAGCCTCCACGCTGTACGTCTGATGGATGTGCGAGAAGATGTGGACAACCTGGGTGAGAAGGGAAGGGGTTCATCAAACAGATCACTTGTATTTGTTACTTTGGTCTGAAATGCTGCAGTCAGCATAATTTCCCCCCCTATATATGCAGCCACTATATGTCAGTGTGTTCGGTTTTATGCCCCAATTAACAGTATTTCAGTAATATTTTTGCTTAATGTGGGATATTTTTTGTTTAATGACACATTCAGCAATAATTCCACATGCTTATAAATAATCATATTCCACCAGACAATCCCGTGATTGACATGGTGCTGACAACCCCAGAAACACAGTTTGTCTGAATCTGGGATTCAAACTCAGGATAACAGTTTTGGAAGGACGACTGAACCACCTGTACCCCAAGTAAATATTGTAATGAGTCTTGACCAGGCCAAACATCAATATTGCTGGGAATGCAGATCAGGAAGATTCAAGATCAGATAGGTTTCAGATTTGTAGACCTTGTGGTCTCTTTAAACACAAGGTCTCTTTAAAGAAGAGTCTAAGACAAAACTTTATTTATTTTTTGTGAACAAATATGAGATCACTGCTTCATAATCTCCAAAAGCTTCAGACTAGTCCCGTTTGTAAGATAGTAGTAGTGTAAGTTAATGGAGGGATGACACTCCAACTCAGCATGTTATAACATGAGGTGAGGTGAAATTGGGTTTAACGTCGTGCTTGAGAATATTTCGCTCATATGACGACGTGTGCATGCGTGTGTATGTGTATGTGCGGCTGCTTGTACTAGCCCAGACTGAAGCTGGTTTTATAGTGCTACCCCACTGAGATACCATGCCGCAGTGAAGCATGAATACCCCACTCAGACACAGTATACTGACTCCGAGCCGACCAGTCCTTATTGTACCCATTAATGCCGAGCGCCAGGCAGGGACCAACAAGTACCATATTTTAACACCTTTACGCAGTCAGGGATCGAACCTGTGACCTTCCGCTCTCCGGGCGAACTGTTATAACATGAAAGTCCTGGTGCGCTAACAAAGGTGTAACAGTACCATGTGGTGTGACTGGTCTTACCTCCCCGACACTGTGTCTCTCATGCACCACCTCTATGGATGTATTGTACTTTGAGTCTATGATGTCCAGCATGTCAGGGGCCTTCTTGTCTTTCTCCATCGCCTCACTTGGGAACTCCCACAACCCTGCTAGCAAACCTGGAGAAAATACATGAAGGTTGTTTGTTGTTTAACTCTGCTCTCACCAATATTCTAGCTATATGACAGTGGACTGTAAAAATCAAATCTGGACCAGACAATCTAGTGACTGGTATTGTAAGCAACAATCCAAGCTGTTAAGTATGACGCACCTCAAGTCAACAACCGACAGTCACCAGAACTCCCAGATCATTATGTTTTGTTGCTGCTAGAATTTGTCTGACTTCTGCCAGTTTTATGGTGCTATCCCCCTGAGATACAATGTTGGCTTAACAGCAGTTTAACAATGATACAAAACTCAAATATAGCATTGGTCTCTTTTCCATTTGAATCCAGAAGTAAGTTGCAACGGCACTCATTAATAGTAGTCACCTTTCTTGGGCCTCTGTACTATGAGGAACCTGTGCTTGCCGTCAGAGCACTTCTTACACAGCACGCACACGCTGGTGTGGTCCTGTCGAGGGGGTTTCTTTTTGCCTTTGCGAGGGTAGTTCATCACCCCGAGGCTGACACAATCAGATGCAAACTTTGAGATCAACAAATCAATATCCAATATAGCAGATACATATGTGTATTTAAGTCACTGTAGCAAGACACATTGTGAGTGAGTGACAGATTCATTTTAGCAATCATTACTTCTAATAGCACCAATTACTTGTGTTTGAAGTTGAATGAACCATTTGAGCACCGAAAAGATTTTAAATAAAATACCTGCTATCCCAAGGTTCTTCTTTGTCAACACATAATTTACAGTCATCAGCACCTGTGTCAAGACAAATTAGTTCAACAGAAAGAGCTTGAGCATTGATATGTAGAGAAACCAATAAGAATATGTTTAATTTCCAAATTCATAAGATACATTTACCACACAAGAAACAACTTGTTCTACTCATCATACATATACTCAGTCCGCAAGCTAAGATGTCTTGAGTAATTTAAAAATATATGTGAAGTGGTGACTGTAATTAACTTTTAAAAAATCATCTTGAGTTAAACATCATAAATACAAACAAATGAAAGTTCAAAATAGGTAATATTTAACCAAGTAATATTTAATAATGGTTGTTATCTTCTACTCAGTGAAGTAAAACAAGCCACAGTTGATCTTTATCTAGTTATTGGTTGCTTTGGATAATGATATACTACTCACACGAAGTTAAGAACTCCAGATTCCTTCATATTACTATGGTTTGTCATTCTGTTGAGTAGTATATCTCATAGCAACAAGATGACTTACAACATTCAATGTCCAGTAGAGTCACAGTCTCCGCCTTTTTCACCACCTTTTCAACCAGTTTACTTGCCAACAGCTGCCTCTCTCGCTCAACCTGCAGCAATATGTATTACACTGATCAGTGAGTGAGTGAGTTCGGTTTTACGCCGCTTTTAGCAATGTTCCAGCATTATCACGGCGGGGGACACCAGAAATAGGCTTCACACATTGTACCCACGTGGGGAATCGAACCCGGGTCTTCGGTGTGACAAGCGAACGCTTTAACCACTAGGCTACCCCACCACACTGATGAACCAGTTAAACCCATGTAACCCTTTTACAAATTTAACTGAAAGAAGTAAATACATCTGTTGGGGGGAGAAGAAACATAATGTTTAATATTTCATTCAGAATTGGGATTTGTTTAGTCTGTGAACCCTGTGAATCTGGCAATGTCTTTTAGTCCTGTAGAGATGGAGTCACGTAAACTCATAGATGCACATGTAAAATCATCAACAGAAAAAAATTGGAAATTTTAATATAAATTGTATATTTATATACTTATCCTATCTCATGACTTGCACCTCTCTCTCTTGCTTCGACTTTTAGTGGAACAACTTTTTTCCATAGGCCTCCTTGTCCATTCGCCCGTGCACTCCATGCTGCTCTCCTTAATTAGCTTCCTAGTTCCTAATAAAGCTTGCAGCATGCTCCACTAATTGCCAACGTGACTACCTTGAATGATCATTCTAATCTTGGAGCCAATGTTGTAATCTGAGTAGTGGGGAGGCCGGGCGGGCATCCATCGCATGAGATAGGATAAGTATATAAATATACAATTTATATTAAAATTTCCAAATTTTTAACTTATCCTATGTCACGACTTGCACTTATCCCACGGTTGGACGGTGGGCCGCAGATTACCCTTCTGTCTGGACAGTGCGAACAGCTGGTCTTGCAGCTGTATGGACTGATGACAACCGTAGATAGCGATGTACAAGGGAGGCCTGTTACGCATGCATGCAACTCCTATGCTTGTAGTGGGTTCTCCGGAACCCCTTGGCTTAGTAAGTACAACGACTCCCAGAGAGATAGGTGCTCCCGAGCGATGTGGTGTTCGGACGCAACGTTGTACAAGACAAGGGACGCAACTCGGCAAGTAAGCCTCGCCTCACCACGATTTACAAGATCACCCTGTAATTAAAGTCTTGCGACTAGAATCGGCCAGCCCCTGCTTCAAGAAGGCCCCCCAGACACCGACCGAGGCGGGTGAAAAAGAAACACAACTCGTCATCTCCAAGGTTTAACGTTCAGTTCCGGGCAGCATCAAATTGACCCTCACTCCTTTGCCTAAGTTTAGTCAATGGATGTGCCCGGCAACTTTGGAGGCAGAACGCAACGAAATCCACTGGAATTCGGGGATTGGAAGCGGCTGGAAGAGGCAACCCTGCAAAGGTGTAGGCTCGCAGGATTGTGGCATGCATCCAGAAGGCCAATGTGGTCCGGGAAACCTCAGTTCTTGAAGCGCTCGACAAGGGTATGAAGAGGCGCTTCCGCGGGCAGTCGACGATCCTTGGAGGCAGCAAGGTAACCGTGTAGAGCCCTAACAGGGCAGAGTGTCAAATCTTCATTATCATCAGGCCCAAGAATGGTGGACAACGGGGAATGGTAAACATCCGTCCAGCTGCCCTGGCAGTTGGTTTTGGCAATGAAGTCCCAGCGGAGACCCAGGAAAGCCTTGCCATGCTTCTTCCGCTTGAACCCGAATCCGATTGACATCAAGCGCATGCAGTTCAGATATACGAGCAGCGTAGCCAAAGCTACCAGGAAGAATGTCTTGAATGTCACTTGTTCAAGTCCTTGTCTTCTAAAGGTTCATAATCTGTAGAAATCATGTGATGAGGACGACAGACAGATCCCAGGCCGGAGGTCTGAACTTCCTGGACTGGGTCATAGAGTCTATAGGAGCATAGTAGACTCTGCAACTCGGGAACAGTGGAAATCTTCGTGCCCGTGGTGGTAGCCAAAACCCGAGATGATGGCGCTAAGTAGGTAGCTAAAGTAGTACCCTTGAGTTTCTTAGTAGTAGCGGAGATGCTGGAGAAATTCAGCAGCCACCTGAGCCCAGGGTGGAAGTGGAGATGCAATTCCCCTAAGCTTGCAATAGTCTTCAAACTTCTTCCACTTGTTGTCGTACAAGGAACAGGGTCGGCGAAGTATGATGCGCTGAAGTGATAGCTGTGCTACTCGCCAGAGTAGCCCTTAGCTATGAGAGACCCTCCCATGATATTGCCAACGTGGTCGATGTCCCACGCCAAGGAGTCTGGGATTGGTTATACATACTTTGGAAGTTGGTTGTTGAATCTTGTGGCGAACAGATCTATTTGAGGTCGTGATAACGGGTAGATCATCGATTGAAAGATCTGGGGCACTCTGTCGGGACGGTCAGTTGGATCGGGACACGGCATCGGGCGATCATAATTTTATCCCGGAATGTGTCTGGCTCTGGCTACGATGTTGAGTGAGTCGATGAGATGGAAGAACCTGATCGCCCATTGTAGCAGATTCGCCGAGCCAGTCGAGCCTAGATGATTTATATACCAAACCACTGTCGAATTGTCTGATTGGATCAACAGACTGGTTGATTGAAGCTCTGTTGCCCAATGTGAGATGGCTTGAATTACGCCTTGAATTCCAGCTCGTTGAATTCCACAGCCAGGCCACTTGGTGGTCGAGGGAAGTGAGTTCCCCAACCTATGAGGGATGCATCGGCTAATAGGTGATGAGTCGGTGCAAAGGGCATCATAGAGACACGGCGCAAACATTCCGTTCGTCGAGCCACCATTGAAGGACTGGACGAAGCGGTTCTGGAAGGCAAATTAGTTCCTTGGGGTTGTCGGCCTGAAGGTACTGGTGTAGAAATCGCTGTATCGGCCGAAGTTGGAGCTGGCCTCTCAAGGCTTGAGCTGACGTCAGAAGGCCCAGTAGCTCCTGCCACTGTGGTAAGGTTCTTGCCTGAGACAGTCCTGGAGAAATGCATTGCTGAATCTTTATCCACCTCTCGTAAGGTACGAACATCATCCCCTGACGAGTGTCAAACAGTGCTCCAATGAATTTGAGTTTCGGAGTCGGGATTAGTTCCGATTTCGCAATGTTCAACAGCCACCCTAACTGTCTGAGCAGCGTGGTGGTGAACTGTAGTTGGCGAAGCAATACGATCGGATCCTGTTGAGCCTGGATGCAATCGTCTATGTAGCTTTCGAAGGTGATCCCGTGAAAGTGGAGGAAGCTCGTTATGGGCTTAGTAATTCGGGTAAAAAGCCACGGGGCCGAGGAAATTCCAAATGGTAGGACTTTCCATTGGTTGTGATTCCCGTTGAACAAGAAGCGAAGGTACTTCCAGTGTTCTGGATGTATCGGAACGTGAAGATAAGCATCCTGAAGATCTAGGCTGATGAGGAAGTCTCCCTTCTTCAGGATGGTGCTTAAAGGTTGATCGACACCATCCTGAAGTGAGGCGGTGGAAGCAGGAATCGGGCATTGAACAACTTCATATTGAAGATGAGCCGGAGTTTGTTGGAATTTTTCATTGGAACCAAGAAGACGGGGAGTAGAATCCTGGTGTGAAGGGCGATGGACCTAGGAGCTCTATCACGAGTTTGTCCAATAGCGTACCTATTGTGGAGCTCCCGACGACGGGAGGAACCACCACATCCAGATCTGTTTCCTCTGCCATGGCCTTGAGTGGATGCGCCACAAAAAAGATTGCGTAAATCCGGATTGGTAGGGGTGAACTGTGCAGTTCGACGCTGTTTTAATGGGTCCTGGAGCTGTGATTTCTGTATCTTGAAAGTGGGTTTCTTTATCAACTTTTTTAGACTCTTCTTGGATGCTACCATTGAAGAGGGAGTCAGTAAACCAAGGCTGGTTAAACTGTTTTAAATCGCTCCTCCCATGAAGAGATGTTATGGGGTCCACGTCGGCGAACAGCAAGAGTGTAGAGCCCAAAAAATGAGACAACTGATCCAGGATAATTTGGAACTGGTCCAGAGCTCAAGTCATGCATCCTCGGATGTAAGCGTCTTGATCAGAGTAAGTATGCCCCAGAGCAGTGATAACAGCGTCGACTGCTGCAATCACGCAACTAATAGATGTCAACGCTTTCTCACGGCTGAATCCATGTGAGCCAACTCTCGGTCCTCAATAAGGTAGGGCGAAGCAGCTCGTTTGCCACACAGGGTTCCAATATCCTCATCAACTGTTTGAGCCATAGAGATTTTTGTTAGGCCGTTGACATGAGAGGTAGAAGGATTATATCTGGGAGCAGAGAATCCGTCCTTAATTCGTTTCAGGCTCTTGAAACCATCATTTAGTGTACTGGATAATTTCAGAATATAAGGTGTAGGTGATAGGGTGATGGTAGACCAATCCAGGTTCTTAAGAGTATAAGAGTGATCCAGGTCATCTGCTGAAGTACTCAGGGAAGTTGGAGCTTCTCAACAATCCAAAGGAGTACCTGAGGTGTCTCAACTGCTGCAAAGCTACCCCAGGGGTAGATATAACCTAGAGTGAGCGGGAGATGCAGGCATGGCTATTTGGACTGGATCAATCTCAGGAGGTGGACCAGATGAAGAGCCAGGAGCTAAGGAAGCCAGATGGACTGGAGTAGAAGGCTGTATTTGGTTCCGAGGTGAGGTTATGGCCCTGATCATCATATTTAGATCCGGAGTCGCTGTAGGAGTGGGATTGTTATCAGGTTCCCATGACTCAGCGATGATCCTGGAGTGAGTCGAAGGATTCTCAGAGCATGTAGACGGAACATCGTAAGAGACTGTAGGCCTATTAGTGGTATCAGAGCAATGATCACCCGAATGTCAGTCAGAGGAACTGTATCGAGATCTCGACATGGTAAGTACCTAAGTAGGTTGGTGAGCCGGTGATCTGGATTCCCTAGTATGGCTAGGTGATCCGGTATGATATGAAGAACTAGTCCGGGTCGCTGTAGTTCTAGTTGGTGATCTGGTTCTGATTGGAGCTCTGGTTCAATTCATCTGAATAGGATCGGCCATGAGATGTGGATCTGTACTGTGATCCCGATTGGTCAATGGCTCTGTAAGGTGATCTAGATCGTATAGGTGACCTGGGTTGGTAAGATGATCTGGATTTGTAAAGTGATCTGGATCGATTCGATGCACTAACTGGAAACTGTGATCGTGATCTGGATCTATAAGGTGATCTAGATCGAACAGGTGATATGGTTTGCAGTTGCAATCTGGCTTGATTTGGTGATCTGGATTGGTTAGGTGCTCTACTTGATTTTGTGATCTGGATCGGTTCGGGTGATCTGGATCGGTCTGGCGATCTACTTAGATGTTGTGATCTGATCGGTTAGGTGACCTAGACTGGTCCAGTGATCTGATTTGAAGTTGTGATCTGGATCCATTCGTGATCTGGATTGGTCGGGTCATCTGATTCGGTTGTGATCTGGATCCATATGGTGATCTGGATAGATTAGGTGATCTGGATCGGTCCGATGATCTACTTCGATGTTGTGATCTGGATCAGTTCGGTGATCTGGATCGCTAGGTGATCTGGATCTGTCCGGTGATCTGATTCGAAGTTGTGATCTGTTGTGATCTGGATCGTGTTTGGATTGATCTGGATCGAAGTTGTGCTCTGGTGTTCTGTGATCTGATTGAGGTGATCTTGATCGGCACGGTGATCTAGATCGGGCTTGTGATGGTGATCTGGATCGTGAAGTTGATGTAGATCGTTGTGGTGATCTAGAATGATGTGGCGATCTGGATTGGCGATTAGGTGACGAAACCTGAAGTGTTGATTCATGATTAACGTCCCCCGGCGACGCTGTTGTAGCCAGCTCTGTCCGGTTCAATGAACTGTGGGGAGACAGTTGGCTGGTTGAATGCGGTTGGCCAGGCTCCAAACAAACTGAGACAGTCAAGGGGATATGTACCGATGATCTGGATGATGATAGTGTCAATCTAAGGTCCCCTGGTAGTGTAGATGGGACAGGCAACGAAGAATTGTCAATCACAACCACCCGCGAGTGATCTGAAGCTATGGTAGGAGATGATTGATGCGTACGTAATAGGTGCCGAACGTCCTCAGATAAGTAAGAATCTGATGAAGTGTCCATAAAATCGTCTTGAACCACAGACGTCGCTCTCTTGCGTGAAGGTACGATTTTCTGTCGCTGTAACTTGATACGCTTGGCGGGAGTGGGATCAGATTCTGTTAATTTCCTGTCCCTATCGGCGATTCTCCGGGAGCAAACACGAAGGTAGGCCTTAAAATCCTCACCTTTGAGTGAATTACACTTGCCACATCGTTTGTTCTAGTTACATTGTCCAATACAGTCACTGCAAGACGAGTGAGGGTCGAGGGACGAATAATTCGTCTTGCATTGGGCACAAACTTTCCTTTTCCTTGACTGATTATCAGTTTTCCCCATGATGTTAGGGTGAAATAATGTCCCTAATATACAGCACGTCCACACAGTCGTGCGACAAGAAAGATAAAATGATCATACAAGGTAGTCACGTGGGCAATTAGTGGAGCATGCTGCAAGCTTTATTAGGAACTAGGAAGCTAATTAAGGAGAGCAGCATGGAGTGCACGGGCGAATGGACAAGGAGGCCCATGGAAAAAAGTTTACAGTCGTTCCACTAAAGTCGAAGCAAGAGAGAGAGAGGTGCAAGTCATGAGATAGGATAAAAAAATTTAAAAAGTTTAAAAATTTGTATCTTGTAATAACTATTTTCGTCTTTCTGATAAACAAATCTCAACATCAACTAAAACTATATCAGTTATGTAGCTTTCTTAATACACTGATAAATTTCAGATTTAAGTGGCTTGATGAATTTGTTTAGATTTTTCCAGATGTCATGTAGTTCAAGCCTTCCTTGTAGTGGCTGACAGTAAGGGTGCTGGAGTTACCTCCCCTACCTGACAGAGGGCTTTGCACTGTTCTCGGAGTGGACAAGAGGAACAGTCTGGGGATTTAGGAGTGCACACTGTGGCACCCAGCTCCATCACACTCTGGTTGTAGTCTCCTGGACGATCTGGGTCCACCAACTTGTTCGCATGAGACCTGCACAAGAAATATCAATTTGAACAAGACGCACGGAACAAAATCAGTTCCACAAATGGAAAGGAACAAGAACAAGATGATGCAAGGCACCCATCCACTCAAAGCTGCAGTATTTTATGAGGCAGGATCGATAAGGGGCTTGAGTGATTACTGTCCCCACTGGTAAATTGCTGGTAACACGATTGTGGTCAGGCAACTATCATTTCACAATATTACATACCATGGCAAAGAAACTGAATTATTAATTTTCAGAACTGTGTAAACACATGTCATGTGTAAACGATGGCTCATAGTATGAACTTTCACATAATTACAGATCCAAACCAGATAAGAATAAATGTTTCAATATTAGCATGATTAGGTTGGACACCAGATTTCCATGAGGACAGTGGGTCGGAGTATTACCAGAAAGTGTCCATGGTGTGTTGGCTTGTGCTGTCAGCACCAATCTGTCGAAGCCGAGCCAGGACTCGTATCACATTCCCGTCAACCAGTCCAGTCACCTGAGACATAGAGAGTCAAATGTGAAGCATAAGATAGCAGATATTACACATTAACTTGCCAGATGAACGTAATACTAACTTAAATCTTATTTGAAACTTCGTTGTCAATATCATTAAGCATCTATGTCATCTGGCCCAGCAGTATGGAAGCCTATGGTCCAGAATGTGAGAGAGTATGGTCTAATTCCACTGTGAACAATGTTTTATTAAGCATCTATGTCCTCTGGCCCAGCAGTATGGAAGCCTATGGTCCAGAATGTGAGAGAGTATGGTCTAATTCCACTGTGAACAATGTTTCACTTATACTGTTGAGTGTCTGCTTGATTAGCGATAGTCTTACATATTTACCAGTTTGGTGCAGACCTGACACTAGGGCTGCAACGATTCGGTTCATCGAAAATCAAATCTGACACCTTAGTTTCGATAATCATTATCACTATTTCGATTCGATATTTGAATACCTATCTTAATTCTTTCCACATAGCCAGAATGTAATTTTGACTCCAACTTGAGCAGTTTTGATAGCTGAAATAAGGCGAAATGTGATTGGTTGACGCCAGGTTAATTATCCAATGAAAATTGTTGTTTGTAGACATCGCCAAGTTGATGATGGATTTCACGCTAAAAAAGCAAACTCTGAGAGTTAAATGAAATCTGATGTTTTTACTTGAAGAATTGAATGTATGAGAAAATGAGAAAATGATCGAATTGAGGGTCCAATATCGAAAATCGGTCTGGTGCTAACAAATCTAGAAACATAGCCATGGTGAAATGGAATTTCCACCCACAATGATAGGTTTCACACTCCCAAGGTACACTACTCTGTATGACTAGGCAACCCATGCACGTTCTCATACAAACTAATAAAGAAGCTGCCTACAACCTACCAGCAGCATATTTTAAGGCTCAACCGTCTCGGTACCCACTAGGGCTGCGCAATATAACCGGTTCAGACATGAAAACGATACGTATAGCGATACGCTGATAGAAAACCGGTATTTTGACTTGTATTCGGAAAACTTTGTAACACTTGGAAACCTTGATGATTGTGGCAATTGTGGTAATGGTGGTGGGAATGATCGTGGTGAAAATTACATTTAAATATTATCTATATTCTTATTTTGTCATGATTAAAAGTTTTTATTAAAGCTTAATGAAGCATAGTGAATTTGTTGTGTTTTTGCTTTATAAATAAAGCGTTAACTTGATCGTTAGTAGTTTATTGTTAAAAAAACCTTCTTGCAATATATTGCAATACATATCGCAATATAAGCTTTCGCATCGCAATATATTGCAATATGAAAATTCTCTGCAATACCAGTGTAGGAAAGATGTAGAAAATCTAGCCTGTCCACAGGACTGGCAGGTCAAATTTTTTACCAGTCCTGCCAAAATCTAGCCTGTCCTCCAAATATAAATAAAACACCTTCGGCAGTAAATATTCAAAAAGGTTATAATCATTATATATATGTCATTGGTTTGCTAAAATTGACCCGACATGAGGATGGACTAGATATTTTTTTAACCCGTCCTCCACAAAATTCATCCGTCTCGGACGTTGTGACGGGCTATCTTTCCTACCCTGGCAATACCCACCCCTACAGTACCTCATTATATGCTATAGACGCTATGGCTCCAGCAGTGTAACGGCCAACACCTGGAAGTTCCTTCAGAAGGGTTGCAGCCGTCTTTGGCATCTCTCCATCCAAATCATCTACAACCTGAAAAGGCACAAAAGCGCTCAGGTGTTGTTACATAATTCCCTAAAGCCATATTACAAGCATACATTGGTGACAGAATACTGACATTTCCTTAAAATCCATCCTAATTAGCAAACACTTAATTAATGTTATACCAGCGGCAGCAGTTCATAATAGATCAATATTTGGACATTTTGGACATCCTGTGGATCATACCTCCATTCCAGTACAGTAAATATCCTGGCCATGTCACAACCATAATTTCCTTTCAACAATAAGGCCACCAGCTCCACCAGCTCTGTCTCTTTCAACAAAGTTTCTCAGGCAAGTCTAGCATCATTTTCCACTCAAAATCACTGCGTTTACTATGAACAATATTGAAAGCCTTTGACAGCTTGTAGCCAGAGACTCAGAAAAGTGCTGCAGATCCTACAGTGCACATTGCTAGACTAACCAGCTGACCTTACTCTGTATATATCAGAAGGTTCCGTAAGCCAGCCAGTGCTAGTGCTAGTTAGTGGTGGTCCAATTAATTGAAATAATCGAAGATTGGTCGCAGTGCCTAAACGACCAAACAATCAAATGTGTTTTCTCATAATCGAACACAACCAATTCTGGAACACTTGTTTGCATCAACAATATTTTACACAAGGTTGGTTTTGTCTGTGTCATTAAATTTACATTTCATAAGCATTACAAGCTCGTTCCAAGTCATGATTGAATGTATCTTAAAGAATCCAGGAAATCTGTGTTCCTAACATACTAATCATCCTTTAAATATGCGAAATTTGCAAAAACCCAAATTACTACCGATTTTTTCTTTATTTTTTGTGTGTGCATTAACAAAGATAACAGGAACATTTGATAAATGACGCTAGCCAATTATTTTCGATGATTGATCGGTTGTAATGAACCAATCATCAAATATGAGATTTTAACCAATTCCCAACACTAGTGCTAGTTAAACTGCTTCTCCTGACAAATACACAGTACTTATACCTTCTGTGCTCCCTCATGGAGTCTGCGACCTCGGGAATAGTAGCCCAGCCCGGACCACATCTCATTCACCTCCTGCAACATGTCATAACACTACAGGTACTCATCCTGGTTCTAGAAGTCCAGGTGAAAACACTTCTGAATCTACATGCCTACACTAACAGTCAGTCTCTGAAATGAACATATTTTACAGAAAAATACTGTTCACAAAAAAATAATCATAAAATATAATGACAAGGAGCCCAGAGACTTTCTTCATTTCTAAAATTGTGGAAATCTAGACTTGCCCATACTTACATGTTCATGTTTTTTAATGCAGAAATGGGTTGTGGTCAATATGGAATTCTTCATTTGCTGCTATAAACAATTTCGTTTTTCAGACAAAACATGCGCTTTGTTACATTCTTAAGTCTGATAGATTTGTTAACCAATTACTTTCATAAGCATGTTGGAAGTGGTAAAGCTGAAGACAGAGATCACTCATTTCAAGGAAATACAGTTAGAATAATGTAGTTAGAAAACCTAAGTCATAAACAACAAAAAGATCACTGAGCAGCTATTTGTACTTACCTCAAGAGTGGCTTTGGCTAAATCTTGAAGTGTTGGCCATTTCTAAAACATGATAAAGCGATTCACTATAATTCACACATAACTTTAACTTGTAACTTGTTAAGTACTTAATACTCATTATTCCGCTCTTACACAGAAATATGGCTGATGTTGTTCTGTAGGCTGATCATCATTGGACAGTGCATGTTTATTGTACCATATCAAGGGACCGTTCATAATTTATGTCTGGAGGGGGATTTTTTATGGCGAAGCATGTACAATGGGAATGACCCCTCTAAAATTTATGTACAAAGTAAGTGAGTCTGTGACCCCCCCTCCTCCCCTAAAAGTAATATGATGACGCCATCATCACCACACCCACCCGCCCCCAGCCATAATTTATGAACGGTCCCTAAGTATCAATGTGTGAAGTTGTAGAAGCCACTGTTACCTTCATCCACTTGTTGTAGTAGTCAATGACAGTTGCGACTTGTGTCTGTTGTAACATCACCTCCGACACCCACACTACAACAAGACAATACAACGTCCTGCACTCTGTGTGATCACTGTTGTCATTTAGCCAAGTTTCTCAACAACAATCTGTGAACTCACAATCTTTTCATCTCTGCATCATTAAGTTGCTACTAGACATGTAACGGTTCAATGACATGTACTGGTGCATGTTGTTAGTATCTCTCTTCTCACGTTCCAATGTTTGTATTTGCACCTGATTCTGTTTTATATCCAGAATAGCATTACAATCAAAATTTACAAACCCAATATCCAATTCATCAAGATTCACCATTAAATAAATCCTTTAAAGTCATTAAATAATATGTCTTACTTACCTGCATATGCTCTTTGGTTCAAATCTGATCTGGTTGCCTGAAATCCAATAGTGTTGATAGACATCAAATACAAATTACATATGAAATTTCAATTTTACGATTTGGAACATATTTATACCTCAGATTTACCTTATCAAACACTACAAACTACTAAAATGGTAAAAGCAAACCTGAAATCATTGAGGTGATGTTAAAACAGCTGATTTTAATGAAAATGTTCAGACTATCTTTCATAAGCAGCCAGGATAATGAAAAAAATTGAGACAGTGAGATCTGCATTGAATTTCTATATATTCTACATCACATTTAGTCTGATGCAAGAAATATTCACTCAGTTTGTGATAGAACTGACATCAATACTTCCTTCCTCATTCAATTACCTGGTTTTAATCTAAAGAGAATAACCATCCTATAGATTTGTACAGCAATATCCTTTTACCTACCTACACCAACAGATTTTGACAAACATATAGTTTACAGCTAGCCATCAGAATCAGAGATAAAAATAACATACTTTAATACAGGACAGCACCACATGAAACTTCACAGGGAAACATTATCTGCCCTACAAAATGTGTGTGGTTCTGTCACTGAGCAAAGTTTACCATTTTTCGCCAAGGTAGATCTCTTTTGTTCGCATCATACCAAGCTAGAAGATTCTCTCGAACTGCTGATATCTCTTCCACTTTGAAGTCATGGACAGGTGGAATCTTCATTTCATCTGTTTCACCTGTTAACATCAACAGGTTTACATATTCCCTCATCTTGTCCTTAGATTGTCCTTGAACAAACTGTAATTTGAATGTCTATTTTCATTGCTGAAGACCACACTGAACATCATTTCCATCAGAATGTATCTCAGGGATTCAACATTTTTTTAAAAAGCCACTTGCCACAGGGCAAGTGACTTTAAGAAAGTAACTTGTCCTGACTATTTTTTCACTTGCCCTGATTTTATGACATAATTATGAAAGAAGAAATCAACATGGTATTTGATGTTAATGTTTACTGGACTATTTATTGAAAAGTGATAAATAGCAAAGAAAGATAACTCTACTTTATTATCATTGCGAAATTTAATAGCTATATTTTGAGCAGATATGAAATTAAATCAAAGTTTATTTGCAGTTTGAAACCATAAGTGGAAATTATCTAGTAGCCCACGGACAAGTAAGATACCATTATTTGATTGCCCGAAATGAAACTGACTTGTCCCGGGCGTCGGGCGATGGGATTTTTGAACCCCTGTATCTCCAGCAAAGAAGAGGAATGGAGGTGGTAGAGGTGGGGGATATAGTTGGAGGGAGTCGTGACAAACAGATCACCATGAAGGATGAAACATTACATCATCAGCTTTCCTGTTTCACACACGATCCTCCATGCTCTATATCTCCGGGGTTTTCTTACGTTTAGGTAAACTGACACAACCTCTGGTTCCATTATCATGATTCTCATAACCTGAAATTACCCTCTCTTGATCTACATCAACATTTAACAGACCAATCAAATATCAAGATAAGGTAAATAGAAATGAGTATGACTTGTCGCTTGTAATGAACAAACAATTATGGTTTACCATAACACAGCCATTGGAGATACAGAGGATGGTGTTCCTCCCTAGAGAATGAGGTCAAGTCCAGAAAAGCAGACTAATATAAGGATAAGGAGATTAAAATGTATGAACTGACTGACTGTGTGTCCTCATGCCACAGTGTAACAGACTGTTGAGTGTGCTATCATCTTTCAATCATCAAGTGCTGGTTTATATGACCATGACCTAATTATTAACACAAAACAGAGCCCCAGATAAGATTTAGCTCATGTGGGTATTGTACACACTGTATTTGTTTGGAGTGGGTATTATGAATGTTGAGTGGGTATTTCATTTTCCGTTACCCACTGCTTTCAAATATGTGCGTATTTCAGTCATTTTACTCACCTAAGTATTACGTCATTGAGTAAGTTTACTAAGCAGGTATGTTCTGCCTCATGTCATACCTAATCAAAACCAACTTAAATATAATGGAAATGATTTCATAAAAAAATCACTCATCCTATACTGACAGTACAACACTTGTCCCATAGTAACAGTACAACTTGATAGCAATCGATGTCTTTTTCATTATGCAAGCGATTTTTATAAATATATTCCGTACGCATTTGTTTTAAACTTTTTGCGTATCTAACATTTTAAATACGTAATTGGTACGCAACAATTATTTTTTCAATGTGTAATTGGAAATTTTCTATGCGTATTTTACCCGGATACACAGCTTATCTGGGCCTCTGACAAAATCTAACATGAACACTGCTGACTGTGCAATAAAAACACAATATTCCCTTACTCACTCCATTAAGTAGGTTAACACCAGGTGATTTGATATCAGACATATTCTAAACAACAAGACCTATCTTGTGACCACAATGAATATTCATAAGTGACATATGGTGCAAAATTTTCCCGGGGGTAAATATGCCATTGCACAGCAGGTGAGTGTTGAATTTCTCTTAAAATGTAGATAATGTGCTGCATAACATATTGATTTCATTTTAAAACTGTGTTTTTAGTTTAATAAACAACTATAAGTTGCCAATGTTCCAAATTAGTGACAAATGACGTGAGGCTTATGCAATGTATATACAGTAGCCTAGTTGCCGTCCTCTAGAGATTGACATTGTCGCCCATAACAGTCCTGTACACACAGCTGACAGGTCCATTGGTGCACAAGAAAACTACCTGTCAACTATTGATAACGTTAGCATGAATGCAACTCGGCATATCTTTAACACATATTACAGGAACAGGTCAAAAGGGCCAAAATTGAAAAAGTCAAAAGGGCCAAAGGAAAGTCAAAAGGGCTAACAGAAAGTCAAAAGGGCCATAGACTTCAGTCAAAAGGGCCAAACCTTTAGAAAATAGTAAGATTAAAAGAAATTCATGACATGTTGTTGCAGTAGTTCTAATCCTAAACATCCTAAATACATCAGAGTGCCTCAGTGTTGTTTATTTAAAAAACTTCAGAGTGGTTAAGTGTTTATGTTGTGAGTATAGTTAACCATGCAACTGTTTCTGTAATGTTTACAAGAGGTTAAAACAGATTCATGGGTGTCATTAATCTAAACATAATGTTTTAATTTGTTGAGGTTTAAACAGAGTCATGGGTCATAATCTCATTAGTTGTGATTGGTCTCATGACTCACAATGCTATATAAGATGAACATTTCAACCACCAATTCATACTGGTAACCATGCCTTTAAAGTGTGTTGCCTGTGACAAGACTGTCAGGAAAAACCAACATGCCCTGGAGTGTGATCGTTGCCAGCGATGGACCCATCACAGCTGTAACACAGACATGACCCGAGAGGAATACCTCCGTCTTTGTGCAAGTTGGGAGGAGTTTCACTTTCTCTGCCATGTCTGCTCTGAGCCTGAGTCTCAGTCAAGTAATTTTACTGTTGAGTTGGATCAACCTGCTGACATGTCAGCCATTGAGACTCTGGCCGAGCCATTTGAGGAACATTTACATATATACATATTGATACAAATACAAATATGAATAATAATAAATATTAATATAATAAAACATAAAATATATATTAGTTTGTATGTTCTTTTTTTTACCTATGGCCCTTTTGACTTTCTGTTGGACCTTTTGACTTTCCTTTGGCCCTTTTGACTTTTTCAATTTTGGCCCTTTTGTCCTTTGGCCCTTTTGACTACAAGCCAACATTACCATGGTTTACTGTCTGCAATTCCATCATTCATACTCATGGGTGGATCCAGGAATTTTGAAAGGGGGTTCAGGGTTTTTTTCAATGTGGTCTTAAGTCATTTTCAAAGGGGGTGGGGTGGGGGGGGATGTGTTCGAACCCCCTGACACCCACCACCCCTGGATCCGCCACTGCATACTTCACCTCATAAGTCAACATACCTGGGCTACATATGTCACGGATACAGGTTGATTTAACCAGGGAGACTATATAAGGGGGAGTGGTCACTTGCTAATGCCTCGGCTCGTCATGTGACCAGTGTAGCCAATATGGCGACAGCGTAGATTTTAAGATTGAGCCCGGTTTATTTTCAACAGCTGATTACATACGCTGAGTGTTGTGACAACTGAAAACCTACGTGTAGAAGATAAGTTACCTATTTTGTCACTTCATTTTAAGTCAAATAATTGTTATTAGTGTCAGTATTAGTACAGTAGATTTGTAGTAGATTTGTAGTAAAGTTTCAAGTCGAAATGTTGTAGCTCACTGGCTTTAATTCTCAGTACACAGCGAAGAAAGACTAAATTCTATTGCTAAAAACTTCTTTCACATATTTGTTTAATTTTTAGAAGGGAAATAAACCTTTAGTTTAAAGGTGTTTGCAAGTAACAGTGATAGTTTAATAACTAAAAATTTTTTGTTAGGGTGTGTTTGAGGTGTGTGAAAAATATGACATATCGCCAATCTGCCATTGAAATACTACAGGGCGTTGTTTGAGTGTTTCTAGTTATTGTTCTAAAACATCTTTCACATACACCTTTAATTTTTAGAAGGGAAATAAACCTTTAGTTGAAAGGTGTTTGCAAGTAATAGTGATAGTTTTATAACTAAAAAATTTGTTAGGGTGTGTTTGAGTGACAGTTTTATAATTTAATTTTTTTTCTTAGGGTGTATTTGAGGTGTGTGAAAGATATGACATATCGCCGATCTGTTCTGATACGCCATTGATGCTTGTGATGCTTGAGTGTTATAGTTCTAAAACTTCTTTCTTTCTTGTTGATCTTAGTATTTGAAAAAACTGGAAAGGTGTTTACAACGCTTTGTGATAGTTCTAAACTTTCTGTTTTTGAGGGGTCTGTGACAGTGTCAGTTAACATTCTGTTAATGCCGATGCCATTCCACACATGCAATAAGATATCTGAATTAGTTACTAATGTAAAAACATGTCTCAAAGTAGATTTTTTTTAAAAAGGACAGCTGATGTTAACGTGTTCTACCGATAGTTTTGTGTTCTTTAACATGTTTGGGGAGGGATGGCCGTGGTGTATTCTTTCATTCATTCACATAAGTATTTCTTTCTTTTGTTCTTTTTCTTCATTTCTTTCATTCATTCACATATAATTCTTGCTCTTAATTCATTCATTTATTCATTCATTCATTCATTCATTCATTGTAAAATTCCAACTGATACAATACACTGGCTGAAGTACTGTTAAACACAGCCGAGGTTGCGCTGGGAACGAACCAAGTCACTGTGTGCGTTGGAGCATGACGAGGCACACGCTAATTAGTATCCCAACACGAGCTGAATTCGACGTTCTGGTGATTTCGACGATTGCATTGCTCGCACAATATCGGGTGAGTACGTCTGCGATCGGAGTGCACAAACAGTTTCACTGGTAGGGTGGGTGCCCAGTCGCTGTCGTGAGAAGTTTTATTGACAATGGAAATCGGGAAGTAAAGTTATATAAAAAGCAAACAAACATCAATATTATTTACCCGAGATCGTTAATACCACTTCAGATGCAAAATCAGTTGCCTTTATAACAAAAAATAGCAAGCGAAAATTCAGTAAGATCAGTCATCTGCTGGTGACAGGCAATATATAAATAGGAAGCCAAGTGATCACAACTCCCTGCGAGTCGCGAGAAGCAAAAGTATGGCTCATCGTCGAAAACCCATACAAAATAACTGGCCATGTTACCGGCGATGTCATCAACGCTATTTTTGTTGGAAACACTTGATATTTTTGTGTGAAATAGATGAATATATCATCGAGCAGAGATGCCAACCCTGAATTTTGTTGGAATGCATTTAAAGCGCATATTTTTGTGTGAAATAGATGGTCTGGGGATATGCTATCTTTAGATTTAGCTGGAAATATACAATCTCGGGCATACTTAAAACTTAACTTTGAACAAATTAAAAATATTAAACAGATAAACATTACGTTTTCTAAAATCCGGAGTTTTATACAAATCGGAGTGTGGATTTTGTATTTGAAAATCGGAAACTCCTGACACGAGGATACAAATGAGCAAAAAATAGTCTATTTTAATTTATTTGTATTTCAACAGAGGATCTATCTTAGCATAGAGTCTCTGATTTCATCAACATTACATTAAACAATAATCATAGCACTAAACTATGGTGGTAAAACAGAAAATCTGAAAGTAAAGAGTCTAAGCAAGCGAGTGACCTATCCCATCTGGATTCATGTTGTAGAGTATCCCTGATTTAACACATATAGTGACATACCCTTCACTTTACTTGAATTTTCTTTTCCTTTCTTAACCGTCTTCTTTCCAGAATGTGATCGGTTCCTGGTCATCCTGCAGATTATGTGAGTTTGCAGTTTTCGAAGTATGGTCGATATTGGAGCTGCAACGATATCCCACAAAATTTCACAAATGAACAAATGCATACGCCATCTGGGAAACCATGCAGTAATAGGTTTAGTGAAGCTGATCGGCCACAGAAGCAAGATGGTTATATTATTTGAAAACAGGGCCCTATAGTCTATTTTAATTTACGTGTATTTCAACAGAGATCGTAGATCTATCTTATCATAAAGTCTCTGATTTCATCAACATTAATACATCCCGCCTCAGTGGACTGTGATCTGAACATTTCTTCCAGACAACAGCCAAATGTCATACACATTCTGACACACCATCGGGTCTCCTTTGTCCTGCGGTAAAACATAACAAAAATTAGTTCCCGATCTCGCTTAATTTGATACCTGAAAGCTTCGAAGCCCATGCAAATTGTGTAACTCAAATACGGCGGGAAAGCAGACTACACCGGAAGTGTGGGGACAAGTAATTATCTTGTGTTGTTATGTACATAAAATCTCGCTTCTCTAAATATTACGACTTCTTAAGGAATATGTGTCTGTCATTACACTGTTAACTGATAAAGTAATGACATGGCTACCAGAAAAAAAGAATATCTTACACTAACAAAATACCATGACAAAACCTGACACTGACTGCTCTTTGGAGGTGTGGCAAGGTCAGGGTCGTAATGACTTAGAAGAGGGTTTGACCGAAAAATATCGCTGGAGGTGATCTCTGGCCCAACTAAATGTAAATATACAGCGATTTGATCAGAATGAAAGGACAGCATGATATTTCAAATTATAAAGAATAGTCATGTTAAATGTCACAAAGTGACGGACGTTTTAAAGTGCTAGATAAAGGTGAGGCATCCATACAGAAGGCGAAATGTGAAGGGTCAGTTCAAGATGTGAACTTTGGAGTGAATGAAATTGAATGTCTTTGTTCCTCCAAATAAATCCGAAGATTCTCAAAACATCATGATTATATAATTGAATAATTCAAGTAACAAAATATTCAATATATATTTACAAAATGTGGGAACATTATCGCAATTATGATTATGTATACATGCTATAAACTTTGAGTAATATTATAGTAATATATATTACAGAGACCATATAATGGTCTCTGTATATTATTACCACAGGTTGTTAAGGATATCCTTTTGCAGATTGTGACACATGAGTTGTTTCAGAGACACCCGAGCAGTTGTAGTCTTCATTTACCTATATAGTTAGCAATGCTCCTGTGTCCTAGGGGTGTATATAGCGCTCAATACTATCTAAATATAAAGCTTTGCAACCTATCAAGCTTACACGAAAAAAATGCCTTGCTAGCTACGTGCCTGCAAGATTGTCAATGGTGGCGCCAGTGGAAGATCATTTATCAAAACCTCTACAATCCTGACAAAGTTGTGCTGGGTACTTTAAGCTAATTCAAGAACTTTACCATGTAGGGTGGGTAGTAATTCACAGCCTTAGAAACTTGTTGAAATCGTTCTTTTCCATATCTTAATCTTGTTAATGTTTGCTTACTGATGTAAATTGCTTCTTTTTAGACCAACAGAGAGGAGGGAATTAAGAGTGCTTTAACATAGCTCTCCTCACTATATACAGTAAACTATGGTTGAAGTGGCCGGTACAAATATCCAAGTTTGTTATGTCCATCAGTGTATGTAGTTTACTGAAGTTTGAGTGAGTTTAGTTTTATGCCGCACTCAGCAATATGCCAGCTATATGGTGGCGGTCTGTAAATAATCGAGTCTGGACCAGACAATCCAATGATCAACAGCATGAGCATCGATCTGCTCAATTGGGTACTGAAGTTTGAAAGAAAGATGGCTTTGTAGAACAACACCTACCTATTTTATATTATCAAACAGAGGTATGTCAAGATCTCCAAAGAGATAAGCATGCATACACAATAATTGCTTCTTTTTACTTTTTAATACAATGTAAGTTGATTTCCATTTGTTTGTATAAGTAACAACTGTATCTAAAGCTGTTTATAGACCTTTAGGGTTGTAACTGATAAGTATACTATCATCAGCAAGTAACACACATGATAATCTACCATTATATATACATATTCCTGTGTGTAACTGTACAAGAGTACATATCTTTTCACTATGCAGCTCAAGTACATCATCGAGAATGTACAGGTTTCTGTCTGCCATTGCCACCATATTTATACTTACTTTTATTACTGTTGCCTGAATTTGTGGTTAAACTGATAACTAGTTAACCCTTTTCTCTATATTTTTTTTCAGCTGATTTTGTTGCAGATTGAAGCAGAAGAGAAATACCCTCTGAAAATGAATTACGTAAGATTCTTGAATGCAACGAGCCTGGCAAGAAAGCCATCTCCAATTAGAGTTCTTAGTAAGCATTTAAATATTATACCATTGTTCATACTAGTATTAATCTAACTGGTCATTTCTTTTGCAACAATTGAATTAATCTGGAAATATATAGTTGTGAATTTATAGATAATTTGATTAAAATTGTGGCAGATATGATTTACACATTGAGAGCCTCAGATGTCTTATGATGTCAAAGTTTCAAGGACTTTTCCCAAGATTCGTATCTTCTTCAATGTTTTAAAGTTGATATCTGAAGTGCTGCATATAATAAAACATCATTTGACATTTTTGTAATTTTGTTTATTGTGATGACATCAACTTTTACATTAGGGGTAAAGATAGGTCAGTTATAGCTCAATTCATCAAAAACATATCTGGTAAAATCATGCATTCTATGGGGCTAACTTGTCAAACTGAGTTCCGAATCTTGCTTCATCTTAGCACACATCTTGAATTTGAGCCAAGTGACAGGTCTGTCTTTAAAGCTTTATGTGAATGTACAACAGCTCTCTAGACTTTTTTCACCTGGACTTAAACAAAAGCATTGTTGGGTATCTTTTCTTTGTCTTACCCTTCCAAAATACTCTTGGATTGGGAGGCAATTTGGAACAAGTCCAACATATGGCCCTTCATAATCAATGGTGTTTAAAAGCAATAATCAATAGACCCATGAAGGTCCGGGTCAGAATGTACCTTCAGGAACCCATGCTTGTCGTAAGAGGCTACTAACGGGATCGGGTGGTCAGGCTCGCTGGCTTGGTTGACACGTGTCATCGGTTCCCAATTGCGCAAATCGATGCTCATGCTGTTGATCACTTGATTGTCTGTTCCAGACTCGATTATTTACAGACCGCCGCCATATAGCTGGAATATTGCTGAGTGCGGCGTAAAAACTAAACTCACTCACTCAATAATCAGCACAAGACAAATTTAGATTTACATATATCTTTCAGCCGGCATTGTGCTTCAGTCTCCCCCATCCCTCATCTCCATGGCTAGCGGTATGCCCAATGCTGAATTGTTTCCAATAAAGGAGGCTTCATTAACTCTCAGGTAATATATCTGTCTGACTGAATGATGTAATCAGGTGGTTAACTGGACTAGTTAGAGTCAATAAAAGAACCTCAGTTTGGTCTTACATTGGTTTGACTCTTTTCTTGTGTATAGTACACACTTTATCTTTTTTTGAAAATCAGATGTGTGTGTGTGTGCGTGCGTGTGCGTGCATGCGTCCGTGCATGCGTGTGTGTGTGAAGGGGGGGGCAGTATTACATGCCATCAGGAATTTGGTGTTTTTATCCTAATGTACAGTCGTTCCCATGAGTACATAATACATGTACTAGAAATACCATGCCTACAATTCCAAAATACAATGCACAATTAAATCTGCTAATTAAGATTGCTCTGATATAGCTGGAATACTGCTGAATGTGATGTTTAACAAACACACAAATGCAGTCAGGTTGGTCAGTATGGTGTCAATCACTATATTGTCTGGTCCAGACTTGATTAATTACACTCTGTAGTCATGTAACATATGTTATATTTGGGATTACACTTTCTTAGTAAAGTACAGATTCTAGTACTTTTGGGGCTGAGTCCCATCCAGGATTTGAACCCACACCCTCAGAGTCAGGCACCTAATGGCCAGCACACAAAGTCAGACGCCTAGACCGCTCAGCCACCGCGGCTTCTACAAAAATGGAAGTCGGACAACTGGTAGTCTAGTAGTCTGCTGGCCATTAGGTGCCTGACTCTGAGGGTGTGGGTTCGAATCCTGGATGGGACTCAACCCCAAAAGTACTAGAATCTGTACTTTACTAAGAAAGTGTAATCCCAAATATAACATATGTTACATTTGATCCCTTTCTAAAATGGCATTGTGTATTTCATACCCTGTAGTCGTATAGCTTGAACACTGATAAATGCCACAATAACAAAATATACATATTATGAAGAGCATGTTACCTAAAGGTTGTCATCCATATTATAATAATTATAACTATTTGTGACATTATCTCCAACACACCATGATCATCACTTTGTAAATGTTTATTACATATGATTTTGTTTTCAGTGACGGGTCCAAACTCAACGTAGACAATGCCCTGCTGAAGAAAGGTTTACAGTACTCTGCCACACCAGGGTAATGTCTACAGATCTGAGACTTCAGCATGTTCCATATGTACACACTGTATTACAGATATATTACAGATTTTCAAAGTGTACTAGAAACCTCATCACATTCTGACATAGTCCGAGTAAATATATACATGAGGCTATAGTACCTCAGCAACCCATGCCAACTAACAGGATTGGCTGGTCAGGCTCACTTGGCTGATGTGTGTCATCATACCCCAGCTGACAGATGCTCATGATGTCAGTCACTGGATTGTCGGATCCAGGCTCGGTTATTTACAGACTGTTGTCATATACCTAGCTTGAATATTGCTAGGTGTGGCATTAGAGAACAAAACATACCGAGTCTGTGAAGGGCATTTAGCAGTGATACATATAAAGACAAGAGATTGTTTATGGATGACAACTTCTTTATTGTGAAGGGTCACCACGTTTTGAAGTATGTTCTTACTCCTTCATCAGGTGAATGAAACAATTAGGAACAAACAGCTATATATGTACATGTTGAAACAACAACAGTATAACAAAGGAAACCAGTAGTTATTTGGTGGATGCTCAAGAGGTAGCCAGGGATTGTTATTCCAGGCATGATTGATAAGAAAAACAAATAGAAGCCAGGGGGGGTATAATTAGCACTAACTGGGTGGATGGACAAAAGGAAACCAGGGATTGTTAATCCAGGCGTAGTTGATGAGGTAACAACAGTGGCATATAACAGGGTGGTAAGAGCACAAATGGAAGCCAGGCCTAATAGTAATAAATACAAGGATGGTAATTTAATTTACCATAACTGCTGGTCTCTTTGTCCTTGTATTTATTACTATTAGGCCTGGCTTCCATTTTGTTATACTGTTGCTGTTTCAACATGTACATATATAGCTGTTTGTTCCTAATTGTTTAGGAGTAAGAACATACTTCGAAATGTCGTGACCCTTTCCAATAAAGAAATTGTCATCCAAAAACATACTGACACAGACAATTTCCAAAATCCTCATGGTAATGCATGTCCAAATTTCTATAACCAAACAGTGTTCAATAGGAAGATGTTTGCAGTAAGTACAATATTAGGAGGAGAGATTTCAGGGGATTCAAAGATTAAAATACTGTAGCCCCAAACCCATATATTAACACCACCCCAACAAAGTAAAGAAGAATACCATGAGCGTTAGTGTCAAATTCTATACAAACTCAGTACTAATTTCAAACCAACCTGATGTTTCAGCCTGCCTGAAATGCTGAAATGGCTGAAGGGCATACAACAGAAGGTGCACAACCCCCCATCACTTGGCATCAGCGATGAGAACAAACAGCTAGACTTCCTCGTCACAAGCGGGAGCCAGGATGGGCTGTGTAAGGTTAGCTACACTTCTGTATAGGACTTGTGTCGAGGGAGGGTCTTCTGGCCTAGTTCTCTGAAATGATTTCTTCCATTAATTGTGTTACTTGCATTAATCCTCGAGTGGCATTTTAGAAGTTGGGAAATACAATATTGACAAACTTTATGGATAACAACTTCTTTTATTTCGTGAGTGCAACGTTCCAATGCAGATTCTTGTACCATTGTGAAGAATATCTAAACATCACACTCATGAAATGAAAGAAGTTGTTGTCCTTAAAGTTTGTCCATTTTTACAGTCGTGAAACTATGTTGAAATTTGTGTTAAAGATTATTTCACTTAGTAGTAGATCTCATGCACATGTATGTGTAACTGATTGTTCTGATCCAGTCATATGCCAGTTTTATAGTCCAAGCCCACTGACACACCATATGCTGCTGTCAGACATGAATGCCCTACAAAGACAGGCTGACCGGTAGTGTTTATCCTCAAGTGCTGGGCCCACATACACAAAGCAATCTTAGTGCTATGATGATTGTAATTCCCATACTCTAACATAGACTTAAAGTCATTGTAGCTCAAAGATCAGTTAGTGCAAGTGGGACCAGGCCCCGATTTCTCGAAACAAACTAAAGTCTGAGTTTTGACTTAAGTCTGAGTTTTTACTCAAATTTGAGAAAACGCAGGAAAATGCATTTCCAGAATAAACTGAAATCAATATTAAACTCAAACTTAGTAGACAATTTGAGTTTGGTGGATAGATTACTTAAGTTGTTTGGGCTTTTTTTATTTAAAAAATGCAGTTGAGTTAAAATTTCAGCTGTTTCAAATTGTCAAACTCAGTTTGAAATTTGAGTAAAAACTTAAGTTTGTTTCGAGAAATCGGGGCCAGGTCCATCATTTATGGTCTTCTGGTATTACGGAAACTTTGGATCAACCACTGACCTTTGCTCTCTGGGCAGTTGCACTATTCACTATGGAAGGCAGTTAGTCTATATGTAAGTTCAACATGTGTTAAGAAGAACATACAGATTTTTTCTTGGTTACATCTTCTTTTTATTCTTGTGTTAAGAAGTTTGTGTTAAGCATGTGTTAGAAGTTTGTACAATGACATGTTTACCCTTATATTCTGGTGGTGCAGGTGTTTGAGGCATTTGTGAGTCCCGGAGACAACATCCTAATGGAGATACCTGCATATGCAGGAACCCTCAGTATAGTAAGTACATCTCCTATTATATATCTCCTATGCTATAACTACAGTCGGTGTATTAGGCCACATACCAGTGAATCTAGATATAGGACTTTAACAGGGGTGGTGGGGTAGCCTAGTGGTTAAAGCGTTCGCTTGTCATGCCGAAGACCCAGGTTCGATTCCCCACATGGGTACAATGTGTGAAGCCCATTTCTGGTGTCCCTGGCCGTGATATTGCTGGAATATTGCTAAAAGCTGCATAAAACCATACTCACTCACTCACTCACTCACTCGGATTTTAACAAATGTTATAACTAATTTAAACTACTAATATACCTGTAAATCTGATACCCAGTCAACATTTTTTCCCCCAAATAGACTGTTTGGGCTTTTTAGAATAACACCTGTGAACTAAAACTGATTAGAGAAGACTGCCTATGAAAGTACATCAGGTGTGAGCATGCAACATTACAAAGGCAGCGACAGTTCTGACAGTGAATGCAGGCATTACATATTCCACCAGTATCACGCTGGGAATGGGATTTACACATTGCATTAATGTGGGGAATTGAACCCAGATCATCAGCCTGATTCCAGTAACAAACACTAGGCTACCCGACCACCCCACAAGTTTTGTGTGTTGAAGGGTTTGGAAAGTTTGCAAGGCCTCTCAGACCTGTTACATGCCATTTCAATGTGCAACTCATGGTGACATTCAACCCAACTAACTGACTGACTCTACTTGTGGCCAGTAGCAGATGTGTGTTTATCCAGAACATGGGATCTCTTCCCAAACAGGGATGGTGGGGTAGCCTAGTGGTTAAAGCATCCGGTCATCACGCCGAAGACCAAGGTTCGATTCCCCACATGGGTTCAATGTGTAACGACCATTTCTGGTGTCCTTCGCCGTGATAATATATGGCTGGACTATTGCTACATGCAGCATAAAACCATACTCACTCACTCTTCTCAAATTTTTCAAGGTAAGGCCACTGGTCTGCTAGTCCACCACTTGTGAAAACATGGAGAGACTAGTAGTTTTCTTACAGAATCTTCTAATGTTATTCTAATTATCTTCCGCTGTGAACTACAGTGGAAGCCTTCTAAACCGGCAGCCCTCCAATCCGGCATGCTCTCAATATCGGCACTAGAATTTGGTCCGGCTGAAACTAGTTAGTTTATGATCATTTACACGCCCTCTAATCCAGCGTCAGTCTAGTCCATATTTCGGCACAACAAAGACCACCCAATTGACTGTTTGTATAGAAATTAAAGCTCTCCAAACCGGCATCCGATATCTCTGCTCTCCTGTTGATTGGCTGAACGTGTATTAACAACACAGTGGTTTACCATCGGCTTTCAGCTCATTGATGTTGTCTGATAAAAGGAGTATGGATAAGGATTAGGCCTAAGTAGGCGGGGTAAATTGGTGAGTGACACGTGTCACTTGTATTATAAATGAATTGTCGTGTGAATGAAAACAGTAAATTTCACAAAATTAACACACTGACACATGATTGGTTTTTGACTGACCGCAGTAAAAATATGCGCATGTCTGGCCCTATTTTGAAAGAGAAAGCTATTCAGTTTGCTTCAGAATTAAATGTCAACGAGTTTAAGGCATCAGATGGTTGGCTGGCACGATGGAAGACACAATACGACATCAAACAGTTCAAAGCGGCACACAGAAGATCATTCTCAGGATGAAAAGGGAAACGTTATCTAAACCGGCAAGCCCTCTATACCGGTATTTTTTGCCAATCCACGGAATGCCGGTTTAGAGAGCTTCCACTGTAGTTGAAATACCCTCATATTATCATACAAACGTTTCTGTGGTGATTTGACTAAAATATTACTGTTGGAGTAAGTACTTACTCTCAGCAGTTAGAAGACAGAATTGATGTTTGAGTTTCCGCTTCTGTGTATTGTTTCAAGGCAAAGTTTTCATACAGTCACCAGCATCTCATCATGTCTCCACTGAAAACCTAATCACTCACTCTTCTGGTGTTTAGGTTCGACCTCTGAGAGCAAACATTTTGGGTGTACAAGCAGACAAAGATGGCATTATTCCTGAAAGTCTACGAAAATGTCTCTCCAAATGGTCACCATCAGATGCCCAGGATCCATCCAGTGACATCCCGAAGGTATTATACTGTATTCCCAATGGAGGCAACCCAACAGGAAGTGGGCTGACCCTGGACAGGAAGCGGGAGATCTACAGTATTGCTCAGGAATATGATCTCGTCATCATGGAGGATGATCCATACTTTTACCTTCAGTTTGCCAAGGTATGTCTGCTGTAGGATTCAAAATTCCAGTTCCAGTTTGAACCGGATCAACATCTATTTTGATGTGAAATATGTTAAACTGTTATACTATTTTCTTTCTTGAAACAGTGTGCATTGTCTTATTCCAGCCCTACATCCCAAGTTTCCTGTCCATGGATGTTGATGGGCGTGTAATGAGATTTGACTCTCTCTCTAAACTTCTATCTTCAGGGTGAGGCATAAATAATAGATATATTGAATAAGCCTAAACATTTTGTGAACTGAACATTAAGGTTTTACTGCACATGACTCCTTAACTGTGAAATGATGCTGAAACATGCCGAGTTTCAAAACTTAAGTTGAAGAAAAGAGCAGGTATGAAACTCCAAAAATTTCAGCCAGGCCACAAGCTGGTTAGATGTAAAACTTGCCAGCCCTGACCAAAACTTACCATCCCACAAAATATCTTCATATACATGTCTAAATTTTAACCCGACTGTCGGGCAGGTGAATTTGAGAGAATCTGGCAGTGTGATGAAAATAACCAGTCACAGGCGGTCGGGCAGGCAGGTATTTCGAACGCTGGAAGAGAATGCACGTTATGAGAGCATCTTTGTACTTTGTACTTACAGTGTCCGGGTAGGCTTCCTGAGTGGTCCTAAGATGCTTGTCAACAGAATAGCTCTACACATGCAGGTGTCAGTGGTCCATGTTAGTGGCATGTCACAGGTGTGTCAGTCAAATCTCTTGTCCATTAAACTGGGTTCAAGATCTAGGTTAGAATTGATCTTCAGTAACCCATGCCTGTCATAAGAGCCTACTAACAGGATGAGGTGGTCAGGCTCGCTGACATGGTTGACAGATGTCATCGTATCCCAATTGCGTAGGTTGATGTTCATGCTGTTGATAACTGGATTGTCTGGTCCAGACTTGATTATTTACAGAACACAACCATATAGCAGGAATATTGCTGAGTGCGTGTGTAAACTCAAGCACTCTTTAAAGTTATATAATGGTTGACATCTGTATAGAAACAGGGGAGACCACTCATGTTGAATTCAGTATATTATCCCCTTTGTACTAGTGACATTCATAATTCATTGACATGGTGAAATACTGCTTCATATATTATATGTATAAAGAAGGTATTTTCCTACAGGCTCTCCTGGTACCTATTTTGGAAACTATGGGATTCGATGGTTTTTTGAAGCATGCCCAGAATGTTGCAGACTTTTATGAGAAGAAGCGAGACATGTGCCTCACTGCTGCTGAAAAACATCTCAAAGGTAGACTTGTCACTCTCACTTCATAGTTTATTTGTAAACAACAAACAGTCTGCTATAGGTATTCCTATCATATGATGAAAATTTATTTTCCTCATTTAGATTAAGAACTGCGATGCTTATATTCTTCATATACATCAAGCCACTTAGTATGCTTCTGTGACGTCATGACAGGAAACAAGAAGCTTCCTTCATACGCTGGGGGACACATCAATACATCAATACTAATAGTGGCCATAATATGACATGGAAATCCAGTCGTTTATTCATCAATAATATACATGGTGGTAGATTTTGAGTATTAATAGTTCTTGAACTGATTACATCATAATTACTTACCGGTATTTTCTATCCACATCATCTGTACTATGAGATTCCTTTTACATGAAGTCTACATTTTCTTCCTTAACATAAAGACTGAAAAGCAAATATGCATTTGTCACATGGCTGACCTATTCATTGTATATGTAAGTTTAAAAAAACTTGTTTAGGCATGGGCATATCGCTTTAAATCATAACACCAGTCAATTTCAATTGTCAATCAAAATAATATATTTCAGAATTTCCGGTGTCATCAAAAGCAGAATCTTTTATCCATGCTAACAGCTGACTGGTCTTTCCACACAGTACCAAACACTATATTCAACGTTTCCTACTTTCAGTGTGCCCAGTTATGGTTGCCGTTATTCCTGAAAATAGATACAGGATTGTTTTCTCTTCACTTTTGTTTTTAATAAGAATATAATGTCCTTCTTCCTTCCTTATGTTTGAAAAAAATGTGCCAGAGAAATTATATTGTTGATGTCATATCCCCATGTGCAGGTCTAGCCGAGTGGTCTGTCCCGTCCGGTGGAATGTTTCTCTGGCTTAAACTGCCAGGCATCAGCGACACGTTCAAGATGATCTCAGAGAAGGCACGAGAGAAGGAAGTCTTGTTTGTGCCTGGGAACGCCTTCATGCCCGATGACACAGCACCATGTCAGTATGTGCGAGCATCATACTCACTTGTGTCGGCTGAGGATATGGACAAGGTAGGACTGTACCAGTTCAAGTGATGTATTCAACATCTGTCAGTTTGTTCTAATTCTGCTCTCAATGTCGTCTTCATTAAGTATAGTATCTGTTCAACTGTTTTCAGAATTTGTATGCTTTTAGGTGATTAATCCAACTTGTTTTTTATTCTATACCTCTAACCACCAGTACACAAATTATTTTGGCATTAAATTGGGTCAATCTTTTGGTTATGTAGTCTGACATCATTTATGAACTGGTTAACACTGATTACTTACTATTATTTCACTATGTATATTATAAATGGCATATACTGAATGACCCTATTTATAGTATTTATCCTTTTTTTGCCAGGCTTTTGAGAGGTTAGCAGCCTTGATTCGTGAAGAGCAGACGTAACTCGCCAGGACCTGACAACATTGTGGAAAGTCCAGTGTCCACACATATACCATTACTCAGAGCTTATCATTTTCTTCTGGAGATGTTACATAAGATATCTGATATCAGCCAACTACACTGAAATCTCGAAAGAAACTGAATATTTGTCCACACCAAGCATGATCACTTTTGAGCTGGAAAATTGTGAACAATTTTAGCTCTTTTCATATGATGAGATTTTTTTCAATGTATAGATTTTTTTTTTTGTTGTTGAAATGTCACTGAATGTGAAAAAAAATGGTGATGATCTAGTCTAATCCACTTTCTAAAGGGCATTGTATGTTCATATTTAATTTATAGTCAAGATGTACAAGTTCACAAGAAGGCTATGGAAATCCAGTCTATCTAAATATGAAAATGATGTAAATGGACTTGAATTCAAATCCAGACATACCAAAGTTAATCCTTTCCCATTTACACATGTGAAAATTTTATGCTTTAATAAATTTGCCATTGTTGACACAGCAGTTAGGTTGAATGGGGAATCATGCATTCACTTTCTCTGGTCTACCATGTCACTCTCATAATTGTATTTGGAAAGGGGAACAACTATGCTGCATATACCATGATGGGAAAGGGGGACTACTCTGCTGCATATACCAATGGGAAAGGGGACTACTCTGCTGCATATACCATGATGGGAAAGGGGGGGAATAATGGGAAAGGGGACTACTCTGCTGCATATACCATGATGGGCATATACCAAGAAAGGGGACTACTCTGCTGCATATACCAATGGGAAAGGGGGACTACTCTGCTGCATATACCATAATGGGAAAGACTGACTACTCTGCTGCATATGCCAATGGGAAAGGGGGACTACTCTGCTGCATATGCCATGATGGGAAAGGGGGACTACTCTGCTGCATATGCCAATGGGAAAGGGGGACTACTCTGCTGCATATACCAAAGGGAAAGATTGACTACTCTACAGCTAACCTTTTGTATGGACTGGGAGTGGGGCACTGCACACTGCTGCCCTTGATACCCAGCAGGGATGAAGAGCTCTGGTTATCAGAAAGTTGCTCCTAAATATTGGAGGTGAATCTTTTGGGTTTTTAAGATTTTATGTTCATCAAAATGTCAGCGAACTTTACATTTTTGTGATCACATTTTTGACAATTGTTGAAGTTTATGTTCATATACATACTGTTTACTCGGATTGTTTTAAGCAGTACTTAATATATTTCAAATATTGATGTGTCTCAGTGTATTTAGGAAAAGCAATAAAGTATATTTTACATTACGTTTCTGTTCCTGACTAGAGATCAACTTAAGGATGAAATATAACAAGCAGAGTCATGGGACTGTACAGGAAATGTCCTGGCTGTGTTGTTGATGATACTGTGCAGTGAATCCATGTACAGGTGCAGGAGTGAGTGAGTTTAGGTTAACGCTGCACTCAGCAATATTCCAGCTATATGGCAGTGGTATGTAAATAATCGAGTCTGGGCCAGACAATCCAGTGATCATACAGATGCAGGAGCTGGTGGGAGTTGACAGTTTTGTGTATGACTCTTGGACTACAATTGCAGCATGGAAGCTGTGACTGTATCAGATATACTGAACTTACTTCACAGAGAATGTCTGCATTAAAGTTTCAAATTTGCAACAGATAACTAATGAAGCTCTTTATTAAATTTATGCAGAGAACTATAAGATGTTACTATGGGCAATCAAATATCCAAACATCTCGAAAGAATACGTCAGGTACAGACATTCCTGATAATCATAATGGGATTACCTGCACCATGTGCACTTGATTTTCAAAAGTATTACTATAACAGGGTGCCTTTCAGATTCATCGAACTGATTTCATAGTTCTTAAAATCTAAATGGCTGTTTCATTTCAAAACAAATAGAACTTTACTGTAAATACGACACTGAAAAAATGACCTTGACTTTCAAACATTACAATCATGAAAAATAGAACCCTTATATTGTATACATTATATTTTTATTAATGCATGTGAGATTTATAGATAAAGGGTGTTTATACACAAGAAGAACAGATCTATATGGACACAGTAGGTCATGATGACCTCTTGGACTCTTCTTTATCCTCTAATGTGGGTGGATGCTCCAACACAGAGTCGATCAACCCAAACTCCTTTGCTTCATAAGGGTCCATGAACCGGTCACGCTCCATACTGTCCTCTGAAAACACAGCAGCTTACACTGAGGCTAACGTCAACATGATTGGTCATGGTGAAGTTCACTGAACTCATTGAACAGACAGCAACATGCACAAGCGTGAGTGTGTGGTTCCCTTCTAATTCTCATTCTAATGTGCCAGCCCACTAGTGGTGGTCCGATTAATTGAAATAATCAAAGATTGGTCGCAGTGACCAAACGACCAAGCAATCGATCACATTTTCTCATAATCGAACACAAACGATTTTGGACCTACTTGAAGGTGGATCATATCTTAAAAGTTGTCAGGGCCTTAAAACAGGTTTAATTCTTAGAAACTTCACTTCATTTACTGAAAAATCATAACTGAATATTTCTTTGGGAGGTTTATATTAACGTAATATTAGTCATCACTTTAAAGTAGCAAGTTGCATCATTTTACTTTGGATGTGAAAGTTGCAAATGCAGTTTGCGTAATATCTAAGTAAGACAAAAAGCAACAGAGAACCATGTTATACTTATCTGCAATAACAACCTAACAGGAAAATCTTAAAATGACGCTAACCAATTTTTTTCGATGATCTCGTTGGTAATAAACCAATCATCAGTTGTGAGATTTCAACCAATTCCCAGCACTACAGCCCACTGAGACAATGTTTAACATGGATACAAGGGCTGTAACGATGCATCAAACTATCGATGGATTGCAATTGTTGAGTCTCCGATAGCAATTAATCGATGGTAGAAACGAAAAACTATCGATGCATCAATAGTATGTGTGACTATCAATAATTTAGTAATTGACTTCCGTTGATAAATGCACAGCGCATAATACAGGAAGTACCAGATTCGTTCACTCAAACTTCATTGAGTTTATGTTTTAACTGTTTACTTGATCTGGGTTTCAAGTTTCTTGTCAGTTATTAAAAGAGACTGAAACTATTTCAACTTGTTTTTATTTCATATAAACTATACATTCATTTGGAAAGTGACTTCAAATGAGACAATTAAAGGAGAAAAAACTCTTTGCAATAGTATTGGATCCCATACCTAATGGATACCATACTCAGAGACAGTATACTGACCTCAGTCCATGTACTCTTCCTTTTAGTCTCTTGGTATGACACAAGGAGGGTTTCGAATAGTTGACACCTTAGCATAATGCAAGTAAACCACTTTGGCGCAACCAGTGACCACAGGTATGATCTGACAATTCTATGTTCATAAGGGACCAGTTATTTTTTATAGGGTTGGGTGGGTCTGAAGGAATCTGAGAAGGATCTCAGGAAAGACAACAGTCTCTTGGGAAGGGTCATTAAACATTAATCACATATTTGGGGAGGGTGATGAAAAGATGGACATTTGATAATAATGTATTAAGTTCTTTTGCATGATGTCCTTTCAATGAGGATCGTGGAAAGAGTGTAAAAGGACACACATTAGGGTCATCATAATATTTATGACAAGCATTAGGGAGGGTAGTCACAGGATAATTCTAATTAAACTGGGTATTTTGTCAAGATCTGTAATATGAGAAAACATGGGCCCTATTTATGTAACTGGTACTAAAAGAAACCAAACATACTTCTAAGTATTCATTTTAATAATTCAAATACTACCAATGTAAAACAAGCACACCGAGATGAGCTCATACTATTTCTTCTGATACACTGATGGTAATGAATAAATGAGTATGTTTAAGGAGTCCTGTTTCTGATTTGACGTCATTTATGTACGGAATATGACCAGTTTTTTAGCTCTGCCCACATTTAAGAGTTCTCAAACAAGTACTGGTATATGTGTCACACAGACTTCAGACAAAGGCCTGAGAAACTCCAAATCTTGCTAGAATCTAACTGATAGGTAAATGCGGACTGGTTTTACAACTGGAGAATAGGTCAGTGTTATAGTGGGATGTGTTCCTGCCAATGCCAACATAATACTGACCTATGACGTTGAGAGGCTGCTTTGTGTGTTTAACATAGAGTCTGTTGATCTGCTTCTTCAGTTTCAGGATTTCTTCAGCTTGGATCTGGATGTCTGTGGCCTGACCCTGGAATGTTGAATGAGAGACAGTTTGTATGAGTGGCGTGTGACTGTGTGAGTGGTTTAGTGAGTGGCTGTGTGAGTGAGGTCTAAAGAATTTGGAACAGATTTTCAGTTTTATCACAGTCAGCTTTCAGGTGGGAGTCAAATTGTGAAGTAATGACAGAGACATTGTCTCTGTGGAATTATTGCTGAGTTAGCGGACTAATAAACTGGGGTCTCGATATGAATGAAAGGCAAATGCCTAGTTCCACTTCAACAGGATTTGCTGCCTGTGTGTCTTTGTCATTTAATGCATCATACTGGCAGATTGTTAACAATAAGACAGTTCAGTGACTGATATATAAGCAATGATCCACACCATCTACAAAGTCACAGAGAAAGATCACCTATTCAAACTTCTGACTTCAGGGCCTAGACAATAGATATTCGTAAGTTAACCAGGGCCTAGATTTTGAAGCTCTCTTGGCCTAAGATAGACTATGGCCTAGAGTGAGGGCTCTCTTAATGTAGTATTGCATGGCACTTACGACTATCTTAGAGCTAAGAGAGCCTCGAAAATCTAGGTAATGAGTCGGGCCATGGTGTTTAAACATACCACTGCAAGTATATCACACTTCAAAAGTTCTGCCACCAGCCAATGTTTTCATTCTGCGAGTTGAGTCCATTCAAGAAGCAACCTACCGAAGCCTGTCCTGATGGCTGGTGAACCATGATTCTGGAGTTGGGTAAAGAGTGCCTCATGCCCGTTTCACCTGCACACATCAACAGTGACGCCATGCTGCATGCCTGACCCACACACCAGGTGGCGATAGGGGGCTGGATGTACTGCATGGTGTCGTAGATACCCAGCCCTGCCGTCACGGAGCCCCCTGAATCACACAACCCAAAATGTGTACAACACACTGTCGCAATTCCAAACCTGCAAACACTCACGTTTTTGCCACGAGTCTGACATTCTTTTAATGAAAATCACATTTTCACGGCCAGTATACTAAATCTCTCAAGCAATTCAACCAAAACACCTACTAAACAATTTAATAAAGAAATTACACCCATTTTTTTCTTCTACTTTTATGGAATGATTATCAGGTTTCTGGGCGGTGGGGTAGCCCAGTGGTTAAAGCGTTTGCTCATCGTGCCGAAGACCCGGGTTCAATTCCCAACATGGGTACAATGTGTGAAGCCCATTTCTGGTGTACACTGTGATATTGCTGGAATATTGCTAAAAGCGGCATAAAACCCAACTCACTCACTCACTTATCGGTTTTTTTCAAATGGTAAATATTTCTGCAAATTCAGTTGCTGGTATCCATGCCCTGGGCATGCTTTCAGCCCAGCGTAGCCCCATCAGCTAAGCCACAGATTTACATTTTCAGTCAACACTATGCCACTCAGATTTATGGGGAAATAATAAAGACAAATTCAGGAAATAAAGAATATATGAAAGAACTCCGCCTACTTCTTTCATATCATGGCAGTCTGTGAGTGAGTGAGTTAATGGTTGTATAACACTTCCAGCACTATTCCCCAGGTCACCAGAAATGGGCTTCACACAGGGTTCACCAGAAATGGGATTCACACATTGTACCCAGGTAGTGAATCGAAACCCAGAACTTTGATGTGACAAGTGAATGCTTTAATCAATAGGCTACTCCAACTCCCATGTACTTACTGTCAACTCTGCTGGCAGATATATGCAAAGTGTGCACCACAGTTTTATGTTAATGTCTACACAAATATCAGAAACATATGCCAGCAACACGTAGCAAACAGGCTATTTGGGATATAGGGCTTCTGACCTGGGCTGTTGATGTACATATGAACTGCCTTCTTGTTGCTCTCTGACTGTAGGAACAGCAGCTGGGCCACCACCAGACTGGACAAGTCATCAGTGATCTGTGCAGCAAAACACTGACTATGATGACTATAAGTCATCTGATACTATTAGTTACACAGTGTTTTGAAAGGATGTATGGGGACTGTGAGACCCTTGTAAAATCCGTATTGCATGAGGTGCAGCCGAAGGAAATACAGAATTTACAAGGGTCTTACAATACCGCATTGACACAGTTCACTTTCAAAACACCGTGCACGTGGATTTATTACCCTTAAGATCTTCTAATTTAGCTTATCTTTAAAGAACAACATAAAACCTTCGGCAGAATGAGAGGCAAAACATTTCGCCATGATTTTTCCTGAACCATGATAAAGAGAGATAACTCAGGATGGATTAGTTTATGATAAATATGGTTGAATTTGAGGTTTTGTTACACGAGAAGTGAAATACAGAAACATTTTATGTTTTGGATATACAGTATCGAGCAACAAAAATGAGACAAGTTTAGATTCAACGTCTTGATTTAATAATTGACATAAATTTATGAAAATTGGCTCACATGTAGACAATGCATTGTTAAATCGTTCACAATAAGTCAATAGTCAGTCAGTCCACCATTTGGCTCCAAACACTGTTCAATCCCACCGAAGCATGGAATTTACAATTTGTCTATCAGTTCATCAGATAGCTCGTACCATGTTTCATGAATCACTTTCGTTTCCAATCAGCAATGTCTTTCCACTTTGTCCTTGATGATTTGCCAGACATTTTCGACATTGGTGAAGCGGCCGGAAACTACACTACCTGAATGCAGTTCCAAGCGAAGCCAAGCTTCGGTGTAGGCAGACGATGTGTATGCTGGCATTATCTTGTTGCATTACATAGGGAATTCCACTCTGTCTGATATTTGAATCTAGCAGTCCCTCTTGCAAAAGCTCACAGTACTTCCTTGAATCAATGCGGCCTGTAATTTCCAGAAGCGGCGTTAACCCAAATTTCGATCCCACCCCACACCATCACAGAAAGAGAACTTTGGGCACATTTTTTGCATTTTCCATTTCGACACCACCTTTTCCTTGTAATTCGAAAAAATTGGAACTTTGATGCGTCTGTAAATAACCAGTTTGAAAAGTCAGTGTCCCTATTATGCTCACACCACTCCCGTCTTTTCGGCTTTGTGCTCTTGCATCATCAACGGAACCTTTGTCCGCGACTTTCTTCACGAATCCTGATTCTTTTAAACTCCGCCTAACAGTCCATTCAGATACCCTAGTACTCCCTAAAGCTGTGGCATGCTCACTTAGTTGTTTTGCTGACCAGTTTGGATGCACCGCCGTCAGTTGTGCAAGTCATTTCCTGTCATTTCCCCAAGTTTAATAGGGCGTCCCGATCCTGGCTTGCGCTGATAACTGCCGGCAGCTTGAAATCTGACAATAAGTCGGTAAATGCTACTCCGAGGAAGCCCCAATATTTTCCATAACTTCTGAACTGATTTGCACCCTGCTTCATATAAAGCGAGAAGTCAATATTTCGCATCAGATTTCGACATATCGTCAGTAAGTAGGAAATCGTCTGCTACAGCATCATCATGTGACCCGGCTCAACGACAGGGGAGATAATGCTGAGAACGTCATACTGTTGTCAGCGGTGCAAAATATTACCCAAACAAGTTCGAATTCACCGCACGGCGACCAAAAAACAACCTTTTTGTAAGTGTCTCATTTTTTTGATCGGAGCTATATTTATTGGCACAAACAAATAAGAAATTATGGCAACAATTTTATTACTCTGTTTGTATTCATAATTGTATATGTACACCCTGGCAAATCCACCTAGATGGTTTTGTATGCTTTGGCTACTACCCAATCAGAATTCGACAAATTTATCTTATGGGTAATAAATGTGTATATCAAACACTAACATACTAGTACTAGTAGTTTGGGCATCACGTACACTAACATATATTCGCATAAATTAAATTACAACACTGTATACATAGGATAAGGCTAAACAAAAATAATTACAAACAGGAATCCTCAAGTCTGAAGGAACCAGAAAGTCTCACCTAGAGCTGAGAAGGGGTTGAGAGTGGAATGCTTCATCGTCTGCACCCCCCAACATGTTTTATAAAATACTTCCTCTGTGGAGACTAGGCGTTAGTCAGTGGAGACTAGGCGTTAGTCAGCAAAGTGACTGATTTTAGTCCTTATATTTTAATATTGACAATCAACTTTATTGTTGCACCAAGATCACTTTTTGTACCAAGGACCTGGGCACCATTCCATGAAGTGATCATAGCAATAAGAATATCATTAACATCTTAGTTCAACCTTTGTTCTTGCTGCCACTAATCAAAGACATGAGAACATCCCATTATTAGTCATACCAGAATCACCTTTCATCCTAAAATCAGTACATATAATCATACTAGGTTAGTATATCAAATGACTGTTCCAGGCTGTAAAACTGAATCTGTCAAAATCACTGAATTTTTCTCTTGCTTCAGTGGAATACCTATCGGAAAGGAAGAATCTTAATAACACCTTTGGCAAACACTGCCATTCAATTTCAGCCACCTATTTGATATTCACGAGTGTACAAAACAAGAATATTGTCTGCATATTTTTCAAAGCAGAGTCTGGAATTGAGTCGCCAGGTTGAAACAAGTGCTGATGACTGCTTTCATTTCATTTAGTCATATTATGGTCTGTCAAAGTTCGCAAAAGGCTCTTCTCATGTGACCTGTCATCACTTACTGGACCCATAACACAGATGATTCTTTCCTTGAGGAGTCTGGAGTAGATGTCGTACGCCCTCTCACCTCGCCCTGTTTGTTCTATCACAATCGGCACCATTGGCATATGTCTTGCACATGTTGTCTTGAGACCACGAACAGCTGATGGACTGCTGCATACTCGCAACAATGCCTGAAGTCATTAAGAATAACAATCAAGAAGTCCTTGTCATAACACTTGTGTTGAACCAGAGTACAACAGATACAGGAGCTCACCTTATTCACTGCTATAATATTATGCCAAAATTATAATTTTGAATAAAAGACATTCAGGACCATGCAGGCTACAGATGTTTTTTAGATAAATTTTATATGCAATAATAGGCTCTAAGAACATGTGCAGGCTATGTTTCAGTGCTTCAACAGTCATATTCCACTGATATCTATGATATTTGTGACAAACAGAATAAAGTAATTAGTCAACATCACAAATTTCACAATACTTAACACCTTCACTAATTGCTGATTCGATCGACTGTCAGTAATGGCCCTGACTGGCCTGAGTGTCAACGACAAGCTTATCCTGACCTACTGAGTACCACTTTTACGTCACCTTCATGCACTTTCTTACAGTTGCATGGAGTTTCTAACGGGTATGAACCGCTTGTGACTGAATAAATGATTTTGTCTTTGATACGAGTCTGCTTACCTTTACACAATTCATCTCGACAAGTTTGCTCTAAGAGTCGACACTTCTGACAGACATACAACCGCAGGTAACACGTGCATTCTACTTCCGCTATAAACACGCACTTGTTCTACTTCCGGTAAAATGGCGGAATGACAACGACAGGAGCCTTTACGCTGAACTATTTGAGATTATTTTTTAATAATCCTGATTTGTTGGGCTATTTTTGAAATGGCAACCAGTTTAAGAAGAAACACCTTTACTCTTAAAGGGTATGAGCCGTTGATTTGAACTTTGTTCACTCGCATATCAAAGGATGCACTTGAAATCGATTTGTTTACAGCCGCCAAAAGCTGTCTGCTTCAGTTGCTAGGCAAGCGAACAAGTCATCTTGTCCGCCGTACAGTTTTTACATTCATGTTCATAACTGACAGTTGCTAAATAAATGACAATACGATTATCCTTATTTGTATTTTCAACATTAATTGACTCTGTTAGTAATTACATAAATCTTCTGTCTAACGCTGTTGTCATGACACTAGCCTAATAGAATCAGATTTAATATTTTCCTTTAGTTTCTTCTTTTTACAAAGAAAATTTCTTTACAAATGACAAATATAATTTCTTGATCAAATTGCAACATAATGTACTAATGCATTTTAACCCAATAATATTCCAGTTAATCCCATATAAACACTATAGCAGTGAACTTGATTGTTACTTGAAGTAAGGCAGACTTTTGCTTGAATAACTATTTACATGAGTTCTGTTTATTCTATATTATAAAACTAGATTTATTTCTCTAATCAGTGATCACTGACATACTTATGGCTTTGCAATCAATCAATGACAGCACACAGTAACCTGTTTCACATCTAACTAAACTGTGAGAGTATGGGTGTTCACTGCACTTAAAGGAAAGCCAGCTTAAAAGCCTGTTCTTTATTTCTTTAGGTGTGATCTGCCACAGTCTCTTCAACAAACGTCAGGGATGGATCGTCAGAATATCATGAGACTGAAGGTGAACAGAATTGCTATTGTACAGGAACTGAAGGTTGAGCATGTATTAGACCAGCTGTGTGAAGCTGGGATCCTTAACCTGAAAGACAGGAAGAAGATAGAGAAAGGAACAACACCTAGTGACAGAGCACGAATCCTGATTGACATCCTTCCAACAAAACCCAGAGAATCTGACTGGTACAAATATTTCAGAGAATCTTTACAGAATCCAGATGCAAATGTTGAATTTCGTAAAAGGTACAGAGATTTAGTTGAATTTCTTGACAACACAGTCATCCATCGACCTGCCTCGCAGGCGAGCCGTTTCAGTGATATTGATCAAAAAGTTGACACATTTCAATATCCAAAATATGAACCACTGCCAGCTATCACTGAAAAGCTAGGAACACAGAATATTTTATACCTTGAAGGAACAAATACAAGTGTCACTGAGAGTACATTCACTGAGACTGAGAAAGGGACTCAAAACAGCAACGTAAGTAAACCTGAAGTAGATGATAAAACATCTGTGTTTAGTGAGGAGAGTCCAGAGTCTATGACGCTTATCAAAGGTTTCTTCCATCAATGGGTTCCAGTTCCAGAAAATTTCCATTCCATGATTGAAATTCCAAGAGAACAGGTACAGTTACTGACAGAGTCAAGTGAGCCAGAGGATCAGGAGTTGCTTGAGAGAGAAAAAAGAACCTGTCAGAAGATGAGGAAGCTGGAGGTGGTTGCAGCACTGAATAGAAGGAAGCAACTGCCTTTAGGATTTGAAATCAGCATGTGTGATGCTTTTCAGGAATTGCTGGCTGAGCCAGAATTGTATCCCTTTTATCTTAAATACTTCAGGCATATCAACATGAGTCGGGGTAAATATAATTCGAGACATTGCAAACTCATATCACTCAGTGCTTGAAGCATTGGAGGTAGCAAAAAGCACAGAGGCAACGAAGCAGGTTATAAGTACTGGATTCAAAATAGTTGACCTTTTCATGGATTTTAGTTGTCTTGCTGAGGCTGAGGAGGTGCTGAGTGGTCTGATAAGGTTCCTCAATACAAATCCATGCATCGAAACATGGATGGCAAAGTACAAGGGCTATGTTAAGTTGATGCATCTGCGGAACAAAAACTATGATTTTAATGGCAGCCAGCAGGCGTACTTCTGGTCAACTGAGGTGACCTGGGCCATTAAGATGATGTCATTTGGACAGGATATTATTGATGAGTCAGGAACCTTCATTGGACTTAGTGTCATGCTGTTGGAAACAGGCTCTTTGGCAGCTGCACATGGGTGGGCAGACAAGGCATTGAAGGTACGTCTTGAGATTTCAGAGTTACTGTTCTGTTGGTAGGAAACTGTGGTATTGCTTCCAAAAAGGACACTCGAAGTCATTTGTTCAAGTGAATTTTCAACTTAGACTTTAAGTAAATATGACAAAGATATGAGAAAGTGAATGATGGGGAGCTGTGTTCTTTAACTGTCATAATAAAAAAATAAGGTTTGTTGTTAGTTGTATGAAAGGGATTAAGCTCTCACAAGTACTTTATAACTTTATAGTTGATTGATATCTGTTATGGATTATGCTAATCAGTCCAAGAAAGTGTCCCTGTGTCTCTCCCAAGTATTAATTGGTTTCCAGTGTAAAACATAGGAATGCAGATGTTTATTCTAAAAATACTTGTATGAAATTCACACTTACAACCATACCAGATAAGATAAATATGTTTGTTGCATTAAGAGTGATTGCTCATGGCTGTTGTTTCGTCATGATGTGTGACAGTGTTCCCATTGTTCCCCCAGGAAGTTGAAGCTGACAACACGTCCCAGGTGATAGAATGTCTGTGTAACGCTGTGATGGTATGCTGTGCCACGTGGCAGGTCAACAAGGCCGAGATGCTGGCTGTGCAGGCTGTGCAGATGGCAAGGTAGTGCAAGATTCTGTATTTTACATCCTAGTGCATCAGGGCCCCGATCCACAAAGCGTTCGTAGAGCTACGACATTCGTAAGACTATGATGAACTATAGAGTTACGACAGGTCGTAACGTTACGAACGCTTTGTGGATCGGGCCCCAGGTCTCTCCCTGGAACACTAACAGGAGGCAATAAGTTTTGAAAATTAAAATCAAAACTGTGAAATTTGTGTAATGTTTTTATAATTAGTCTTTGATTGGCAGTTAGAAGAAACACACATAAAGGGGAATTAATAATTTAATAATTGTTAAACCAAAATAAATCTATCATGTTCACATGTTGTATGACATACTGTAAATCATGAAATTAATGCAAAAATATGAGTGTCCCTTGCTTGCATTAATAATGCATACCCAGTCACCAACACTGATTATTTTTTCAGTTCAAAGTCACAACTACAAAACTATGGAATATGTACACATTTTAAACAGAAATAACCAAACAAACAAAGACTCATTTCCATCAATGTTTGCATGACATATGAAAAGAACAAGGCAAAGTGTTTAGGAAACTTAACACGATAATTCAAGTAGTGTGCATATGGTCTGCATAATTTACAGATTTTGGTTCCATTCAATGTTATTATGTCATAAGGCCAAACCAATTTTATTTCTTTTTTTACGGATTTTTGTCCTCAGAAAGTCTAAAGGCAGGAGGGAACAAAATAAAAAAATAAAAATCACCAAAGTAATATTCCTTTTAAATACTAAAAGTATTTTATTTTTGCCAATTTATTAAGTGTATATGGGGAAAATACAATCAAAACATATTTTTTTGGTAAGTTTACATTTTTGGCCAATAAATACACGAGGATTTTATTTTTGGAGTGGGTAAAATAATGGTCTGGCCTAAATAGTGTTTATAGAAGTCTGCTGTTATAGCTTACATTCATTTATAATAGACTGACATGTAATGCAGGTCAGTTTACGGCAAGTACCATCCTCTGCACCTGAAGGCGCTGCTCCACTACTGTCACCTGTCCAGTGAGTTCCTGCATGGTGAGGATGGACTTCAGGCAGCAAAGGTACATGTCTACATCCTGTAACAGATCTCTGGATAAAGCATACCAAATGATGTTAACAGAGGGTAGTTTTGGTCAACCTCTATGCACTCAGCATCAAAGGGGGGTGGTGGGGTAGCCTAGTGGTTAAAGCGTTCGCTCGTCACGCCGAAGACCCGGGTTCGATTCCCCACATGGGTATAATGTGTGAAGCCCATTTCTGGTGTCTCCCGCCGTGATATTGCTGGAATATTGCTAAAAGCGGCGTAAAATCATACTCACTCACTCACTCAGCATCAAAGGAACATGTTAGGCTCAGGGTCAGACTACTCTATCTGAGTGGGGTAATCATGTGAAAATTGTGGCATAGTATCTCAGTAGGCTTAGACTGAGCACTATGAAACCAGCTTTACTCCAGACTTGTACAAATAGCCACATGTACAAACACATGAAAGATGTTGTATAAGTGGAATAATCTTCAACACAACCTTAAACACTATGTCACCTCACCTCTTAACAGAACAGTCCCAGTGCATGTTCTTCCAAGAATTACACCATCTTGAATATATTTGATGTCTGTTGCTGTTTGCTGTTGTCTTGATGACTAAATTTGATGTTCCAAACTTGTCATGAGAATCAGTTCCGGTTGTTATTTGTCCTTTTTAATAATTCCTACACAAATTACAAGATATTTTGTTTTGTATATCTTTTTCAACTGTGATTCCCAGATCTTGGGTTGTCCCAGTCTAAGAGTCTCAAAGTGGCAAGGGTCTGCATTTTGTATCACTCCACTGAGTGAGTTTGATTGAACAGTGTTTCAGTATAACAGCACGTCAGCTGGATATTAGAGGAAAGTGAGTCTTAAATGGTTACCATTTTTGTATAAACAGTATGCAGGGTGCTGATACACCTAGAAACATTTTCATAGGTTTCTGTTATGCCAAAGGGATACAACTCAAAGTAAACAGTAGCACCTTTGACGACTATGCCATCCATGCCCTAATACTATGAGACTCTGTGATGTAACTCATGCTGTTTGAAGCAGCATACAATCATTGTCTCGCTCACTTGACAATCATGTCTGCTCCCAAGGAATGTTTGACAATCGCAATGAGGATCTACAGCTGTGAGACAATCCAGATCGCATTGGCACACCGTGCCATCAGTCGGGCTCTCATGGTCACCCAGAAGTTTGATACTGAAGAATTCTTTAACCACTCCATGGAGGCAATCCGTATCGCTCGAAGTCAGCTGCCACAAAGAAATCCCATGCTTCACATGTTCCTCTGTACTTTTGGTGAGTATATACTGACATGTTCCTCTGAATAATCGGTGAGAAGGAAGAGCCAGAATAGATGCATTACCTTGAACATTGGTTAAGTATATAACCGGACAGACATGTCCCTCTAAACGTTTGGTTAGCCAGAACAGACCTGTCACCAACAGAGAGACTTGTACAGATTTGATGAGTTCTGATGTCAGGTCCATTTTGACCATCTTTTGTGGAAGTTTAAAAAATGTTATGTGAACAGAGTTTAAAGAGAATTATACAGTTGAAACATTTCCTGCATCAATAATCCTTTAAATCCTACTGATAAATGTGCATGCAATACCACTATTACTGTAAACAATAAATTACACCATGACTGAACTCTAAGAAGACAATAACAAATTTGCAAATAACTGAAAAGAGTGTTCTGATGTAAACTTAAAATCAAGGATTACTTGTCATTACCCTGTACTAACAGTTCGAGATTTAGAGGGTTACCAAGTTCAAATGCTACAGTAGCACACCTCAGTCACCCTTGGGGGCAGTGGGGTAGCCTAGTGGTTAAAGCGTTCGCTCGTCATGCCGAAGACCCAGGTTCAATTCCCCAAATGGGTACAATATGTGAAGCCTATTTCTGGTGTCCCCGATGTGATATTGCTGGAATATTGCTAAAAGCAGCATAAAACTATACTCACTCACTCACTGACTCTGGGGCGGTGGGGTAGCCTAGTGGTTAAAGCGTTAGATCGTCAAGCCGAAAACCCTGGGTTCAATTCCCCAAATGGGTACAATATGTGAAGCCTATTTCTGGTGTCCCCCGACGTGATATTGCTGGAATATTGTAAAAGCAGTCCCTCGGCGGTGGGGTAGCCTGATGGTTAAAGCTGGAATATTGGGCTACAATATGTGAAGCCTATTTCTGGTGTCCCCCGACGTGATATTGCTGGAATATTGCTAAAAGCATAAAATCCAGCTCACCCACTCACTCACTCACCCACCCTGGGACCACCCTTGACTTTGACCCTGAACTTTGATAAGAAATCTCTACTTCGTTTTTACAAGGTCAGATTGTGTTTAGCCTGTGCCTTACTTTTTGACTGCCCTTATATTAAACTCTCTGTGTCTGTTTCTCAGCCTCAGAGCTGCAGTGGGAGTCACTGAACTGCCCCAAGGACGAGCAGGACTCCACCCTGAGGTGGGCAGAGGCTGAGGCTAAGCAGGCCCTGGTGATCGTCTCCACCAGCTACGGAGAGATCAGTCTCAGGTCGGCCCAGGTCTACTCCCTCTTGGGGCAGATATACTCCAAGATGAACAGGTAGGGGATCATAGTATATCATCCATGGTGGTTTGTTACCATTTGGTATAAAAATACATTCTTGTTCATTTTCAAATACAGTGCCTATATTAAATCGCCAAAAAAGACACTATTCCTAGAAAGTGATAATTCTACATGAAACATGTAGATTTTTTCAAGAAATGTGTCATTTATTGCTGACTTGTATTGCACTAGAACTCATTCTGCTATATAAAGACTGTGTCACTTGTCTTCCACAATGTTCTTGTAACTTATACTGTTAAATTGTCTTAAGTATTGAGTCGAGGTGCAAACAAATGGCAGTAATATGCATGTGAAGCATGCAACCTTATGGGTGACAACTTCTTGTTTATTGCATAGCGCACGTTTCAGTGTAGATTCTTACACTGTTATCAAGCTATTCACTGTAACTTGATAATGGTGTAAGAATCGACATCAAAACGTCGCCCTATGTTATAAACAAGAAGTTGTCATCCATACAGTCGTATGCTTCATGTTTGATTCACCAACTTCTAGAATGCTTATCAAACAATATACATGTGTTTAGTCCTTACTTTTAACAAGGAGTTTCTTCAGTCTGTTGAAATATGTTTGACAAGTTTTGTATTGACAGTTAAATTTACTGTGTTTTTTAAGTCATCCTGACTTGGATGCAGATGTGTGAGTACCAGAATCTACACATCGTTGGTGTAAAGCAGTAGATAGATTTCTTTGATGTATTTATTTGTTATATGCTTAAATCTGGTTCAGTTTGTATATTTTGCATGCTTACATTTATATATATGTATATTATCTGTTTGTGCTTATATACATATTACGTGTTTGTGTTTATATCCATATAAATATATGTGGTATATCTGCAAATTTTGTTTTATTGCAATTTCTGGCACAAAGTAACTTTAGACCAGCATTTATCATATGAGCTAATACATATATAATATCTATTCCTGCAGTATGAATCTTGTGATTCTTTTAAATTAGGCTTTAAACAAATCAAACTTTGTATACTCCAGGGCTAGACACCATTGGGCATATCCAGCTAGTCTTCAACTCATTTTGTAATATACCCGTGAAGGTCCGGGTTAGAATGAACCTTCAGTAACCCGTGCTTGTCGTAAGAGGCGACTAACGGGATCAGGTGGTCAGGCTCGCTGGCTTGGTTGACACATGTCATCGGTTCCCAATTTGGGGCAGATCGATGCTCATGCTGTTGATCACTGGATTGTCTGGTCCAGACTCAATTATTTACAGACCGCCGCCATATAGCTGGAATATTGCTGAGTGTGGCGTAAAACTAAACTAACTCACACTCATGTGTCCAAGGATATATTTATGTAAACTATATGTTGCTTGTTAAAGTTGTTTTAATGCATAATTTGTTTTGATTATCCATATTTACTGTATGTGTGTTGTCATAAATACTATTGAGAAACCATCAGATATTGTGATACACAGGAAATATACAATAGGCACAGAAATTAGCCCATCTGGCATTTCACTAGTCACAGTCTCCTTAACTAGTGGTCATGTCTATCCCCTACTCACTACCCCAAGAAACACTTCAGAGATGTTTTGGAACAATTTCAACAATGGGGTAATACTCTTTATTTTCTACATCTAAGCCCCTTTTCAGTAAAAAAATAAATAATTTTTATAAGCAGTGCTGATGAAGCACAATTGACAAGATTTTAAATAATCATAATAAGTTTGAAGACAAATCTTTATATCTTACATTACATTCAGATGATTGAGAGGAGAATCTGTATACATGTTTATTAAGTGTACATGCTTTTGAAGATGCCAATGTCTTGACATAACTTTCTTTACAGGAAATAGTATTCTTTCAGAATCTGAATTTGCTTGTCATAGTAGCTCTGGTATCATTTTCGTTTATATTTGATTTGATTTTAAAATGGTGTTTGAGTTGATATTGGTATTAGTATGATGACTTGAAAGGCTTGTCAGTGTTTATAAATAATTGTTACATAATCAGTTGTGAAAAAGTTAAACTTTATCTGAAGAAATGGTTCATCAAATGGATGCATTTGAAACAAGAAGAAACCCTCAAAGGTGAAAATTTGGGATAATGGTTTAAAGTTAGTGTTGTTATTCTGGCATTTGTACTTGTCAGTGTTAGCATTTCTCAAGCTATGTGGTCAGTTGAAGCTGTCATGCTGATGTATTTTAAAGGATAAAAACAATATGGTATAATTACAGATGTGATATCACTTCATCTGCAGTGTTGATTTAAGGGAAGTTTCCTTTAAAGATTCATATTTAGAATATTTTTCATTTTCTTTGTTAAAACAATGATGAGTAAAATAAAGAAACACCATGTGGGAAGTTGGAATTCCTTGAAGAACTAATTCTGTAAGCCCTCGCATGTCAGTTCCCCTGACATGACAGATGATTATTCCTGGACCATGTCACATATTCTCTGCATCCCTTCTCCAGACTGGACGAGGCTGAGAAGCACCTGGAGCAGAGTGTGTCATACATGCGTCTCTGTCAGAGCAAGGACAGCAACTACCTTCTGCTGGCCATGGCAACACTGGCCACCTTCTACAAGATCGTCAACAAACCTGCCAAGGCTGTGCCCCTTCTCAAGGCTGTCATTGCCCCTTAGCTACAGCTGAGTGGTCATTGAGTGAGTCTGTGAGTAGCTGAGTGAGTCTGTGAGTAGCTGAGTGAGTCTGTGAGTAGCTGAGTATAGTTGGTGAGTAGCTGAGTGTAGTTGGTGAGAAGCGGAGTGAGTCGGTGAGCAGCTGAGTAAGTCGTTGAGTAGCTGAGTGAGTTGGTGAGGAGCTGAGTGAGTCGGTGAGCAGCTGAGTGAGTCAGTGAGGAGCTGAGTATAGCAGCTGAGTGTAGTTGGTGAGAAGCGGAGGAGTCTGTGAGCAGCTGAGTGAGTCGGTGAACAGCTGAGTGAGTCGGTGAGCAGCAGAGTGAGTTGGTGAGCAGCTGAGTGAGTCAGTGAGGAGCTGAGTGTAGTTCGTGAGGAGCTGAGTGAGTCGGTGAGTAGCTGAGTATAGTTGGTGAGTAGCTGAGTGTAGTTGGTGAGAAGCGGAGTGAGTCTGTGAGCAGCTGAGTGAGTCGGTGAACAGCTGAGTGAGTCGGTGAGGAGCTGAGTGTAGTTGGTGAGTAGCTGAGTGAGTCAGTGAGTATCTGAGTGAGTCGGTGAGTAGCTGAGTGAGTCGGTGAGCAGCTGAGTGAGTCGGTGAGAAGCTGAGTGTAGTCAGTGAGTAGCTGAGTGAGTCGGTGAGTAGCTGAGTATAGTTGGTGAGTAGCTGAGTGTAGTTGGTGAGAAGCGGAGTGAGTCGGTGAGCAGCGGAGTGAGGAGCTGAGTGTAGTCGGTGAGCAGCTGAGTGAGGAGCTGAGTGTAGTCGGTGAGTAGCTGAGTGAGTCGGTGAGGAGCTGAGTGAGTCAATGAGGAGCTGAGTGTAGTCGGTGAGTAGATGAGTGAGTTAGAGAGCAGCTGAGTGTAGGTGAGTAGCTGAGGGAGTCAGTGAGAAGCAGAGTGAGTCTGTGAGCAGCTGAGTGAGTCAGAGAGTAGCTGAGTGAGTCAGTGAGTGAGTGAGTCAATGATTGAATGTTGGGAGTCTGGACCAGACAAAGCAGTGATTGTAATTCATTCCAAATGTTGGTAAAGCACTCATTATCAGTCATGAGGTTGTGAGTTGACAGGATTAAAGATACATAAAGCATTACATTGGCTTTTAAATAGTACAACATTAAGACTGGATCCACTTGCACAAAGAGATCTTAGAGCTGTAACAAACATAAGCCAATGTTATAGTAGGGGATTTACAATCACTTCAGCACTAAAATCGCTTTGCGCAAGTGGACCATAGATCTATGGCAAGACATGGAAAGACTTGGACATTAGTTTCAGGATCATGTGCTTGTGTCTAACCCTGCAATATTTGAAGCTTGATACCTTGATCAGCATTCATTACATCAGCATGCCCTTTAGATTTGAAAACACCTCATCACTAAGTCCCTACAAATGACTATTATACTGAAAGTTAAACCAACCCAAATGCTCTAGTCCAGTGGGGAATCTAGGTTAGAAGGGGTCTCCAGAAACCTATGCTCATCGTAACAGGTGACTACATTGATGAAGTGGTCAGGCTCAGTGATGTGGTAACCATTCATGTCATTTTTTCCTCCACTTACAGCATAGAATATTCACAGTATGAATAACTAAATCACTCTCAAGAGCCTTTTAACTAACAAACAATTCTAAAGAGGTAGCCGTCCATGAGTTTGGTTACATCTCTTGTTACAGAGTCGTGTGGGTTCTACCTCCGCTGGGTACACATGTGTTACGACAACCTGGTGAAGCTGCTTCAGTTGGGGGGACAGAACAAGCAGGCGGATGAAGTGCAGAAGTCTCTCTCCCTCTGGCTCCAGGAGAACCCCGTCCTGGACAAAACAGTCAGTGTGGACACTCTCCAGCAGAAGCCCCCCCTGTACAAGGAGTTCATGGAGAAGTATGACAAGTGGGGCTCCACAGTGAAGAAAGCCCTGCTGGGATTTACTGTAGGAAATAGCAGCTAGAGGCAACTCACATCCTCTATATCTCCTCGGATAGCATTTCAGTATATTCCCATGGTTCTCCCAATCTCAAATTACCCACTTTTGATTTCCTAGTGTCAGTTTCTATGGCTACGATGTTTTGTTCTCCTGTACCAGAACACAAGTTACAAACCATCTTCAACGTTGAGTTGGCAATATTACATGGTGTCAAGTCCCTTTGATTATGACAGAATTTGGGACACATTTAGTGTTGAAAAACATTATAACACCCAGATGGAAGCCCTCAAAAGTCTTTTTGAAAGAAAAGATGTCTCCATGACCATTAACTTGGTGGTGGCTTTGGTTTCTAGCTAATATGACTTACCTCCTTCAAACTCAACATTTGATTGGTCGGTGGGTACTTTGCGATCACAAGAACCACGTGATCCAGGGTTTAGTGTAGCTTTACCAAAATGGAAGCCCTGGAGACCTAGATGATGGACAACACAAGAAGCAAAAGTAGCAGTTGTCATGGTAGTGCATGAATGTCAGACAAGGTAGAATATCCATTTGACATTTACGAATTTATTGTGATATGTCATATTTATTACTCAACTTTTGGTAGGGATAATTTCATCTTTTGATAATACACAAAAACTTCTCACATGTCAAATGTATAATTAAAGAGTATGACATCTTATTACCCTATCAAAATTTTAGTAGTATATATCCTGTGAAATCTTAATTAAATTGGATTATTGTTAAATTTGTGATTGATCATTCATAATGGTGTTATTTTGACATATTTTGGGGGATTTATGATTTCTTTTCCTCCCATGGACCTGTGAAGGTCCGGGTTAGAATATTGATCTTCAGTAACCCATGCTTGTCGGAAGAGGCGAATAACGGGATCAGGTGGTCAGGCTTGCTGACTTGTGACACATGTTATCGGTTCCCAATTGAGCAGAATGATGTTCATGCTGTTGATCACTGGATTGTTTGGTCCAGACTCGATTATTTACAGACCACCGCCATATAGCTGGAATATTGCTGAGTGCGGCGTAAAAATAAACTCAGTCAGTCAGTCAGTTTTCCTCCCATGTGTCCAAGGATATATATTATGTAAACTATAATGTTGCTTGTTAAAGTTGTTTTAATGCATTAATTTGTTTTGATTATCCATATTTACTGTATGTGTGTTGTCATAAATACTATTGAGAAACCATCAGATATTGTGATACACAGGAAATATACAATAGGCACAGAAATTTTTTTATCGATCATTTCACAGAAAGCCTGAGCTCATGGAACAACAGTAGTTTTATAATGATCTCGCCATGTCAGCATTATGTGTGTAGCATTATAAAGACGGTGAAACCTCATTAATCTAGACCCCCTATCATCCAGACAATAACTGCATATACTTTTATACAAAGTTCATTACTCCATACAACTGCTCATAAAATCTGAAAATTTTGTGCAGGTTTGAGGCAACGGTAGTTTCATGATAAGCAAGGTATTGACATGAAATTATATTTAACATCAAATTCACAACTGAAGTGATGTAACCTCTGATGCTTGTGTCACTGGACAGTATATTTCACTGTACAAAACATTATATATATTTCAGAGTACAAATTGTCTGTACAAATTGTATGAAATATGTTTATTACTATGAGCCAAAAACATATCCGCACAGTGAATACAATACAACCAAAATTTTAAGATAATTGCTCAATCAGTGTGGCTATTCATTCATTTTAAATACATGTATTCAAAACATGCAAAATATTTTTCTATGTTAAAATACACATTTGACACAATATATGTACATGCAATCTATACCTGATTGTAGATGTATGTTTAACCAGAGTCCGGTAGACCAACTGGTGTAGCTTTAGTGTGATATTAGATTGTGTGAATGTGTTTGTAGACTGTCTGCATTATCCATGATAAGGATTATCATATATATGTTACTGTTTGACTTGTTACCGGTAAGTACAGTCCATTGCGATGACCAAATATTTGTTGTGATACAAATTATTGTACCTGTTTTCATTGTTAGTCTCTTGATGTCTGTGTTTCACCATGATTATGTTTACATAAGAAATGAAGAGGGGAAGTTGTGTATCATAAAACACTTCGGGGAGAAAACACCACAACAGGCACAGTAGTTTTTATTGCATGTTGTACAACCAAGTCATTTCTTTCTTTTTTGAGATAACATTATATACAGACTCTTTAAAAATGTTATGTTTACAAGCTTTATACTAGTGCTTTAAATTATTTTACCTGTATTTAAATACTAGTAATGAGGAGTCCCTGAAAACAATTAGATCTCAGCAATATCAAACAAGTCCATTTAAAATATGGGGGATTAAGATTTGTCTTTCATTAATATTCTCACAAACACCAACCTTTTACCTGTACCTCTTTGCCTGCTACTGGTTGACAAACTTCACCCACTTCTTGAAACAATATTTTGGCTGTTGCATTGCCCAGCCACATCTAAGGAAACATCACACTACCCCATAAAAAATACAGCTTGTTCAGCTTGACCTGAGCTACTCTACATATGCATGACCCAGGAGGTCAATAGGCACAATACGGCAGGCCGAGTTAACGTCATTAAATAGGGGAGCAGAGAATGTTAAACGGCGACCTGGTCTCAACTGTTCGGACATGTTGACAATCAACTGACAAAGGTGCACCCCTTCACAATAATAGACTCAACCAGTTGTGACACGGTTACTCAATGCATTAGTATTCACTTGATCAGGTCAAACTGAACAAGCTGTACCATCATCCAGTTTTCATCATCAAGTTGGATTCTTTATAGATTTCAAAAAGTATTAATAATATTTTTCAATAACTCGATCGAATTTATAACAAGAGCCACTTTATCTTATTGGACAATGTGTTGTAGATGTGTTGTTTGAGGAGAGGTTGTATCTGTTAACATCCATTTGTGCTGGATTGCATGATTGGTTAGTTTATGCTTAATCAGTTTAGGCTCAACTAAATTAACCAATCACCACGCAAGCCATCATAAACTGGTAAATAGCAATATGTTTTTAGACAGTCTACATGGAACAAAGAGAATTCCATGTACTGTATCATGATAGCGGATTGTGAAGGTGGTGTAGCCACACACCCACACTTCTTGTTGGTCATTACTTGTGATACCTGTTTGTAGACAGGCATAGATTTTGAAATATTTTAATTGCAGCCCGTTAATATTCCTTAAGAATTTGAGCTGCAGTTCCTTAGTAAAAAGCACTTTTGGTTTTTGTTTGACAGATGTTGAATCCGTGTACAGCACTTGCATCCTGTGATTACTGGCAGTATTATTTGGAAAATCGTAAAACATTAAAATTCAAATCCTGGTGTTATGATTTATAGATAGTCTTATCTTCAAATAGTGATAACATTAATGATGACTATGTTATGACAACTGTATGTACAATCACCTGGTTGCCATGGATACTATAAGCACCTGTTGCAGTGGTTTGCTTTTAGGATATTCCAGAAAATGTATTTGTTGAAAGAATTCAATTTTTTAACATTCACTGGTCAGCTTAACCCAAATGGACAAGCAAAGTAACAGCTGAGTATACAAAACGTTTGTGAGCAACAACAGAATGATGAGCTCCGATGTATGATCTCGCTGGGTATGATTACATCTTGAGAATGTAAGGTCCATTGCAGCAAGTTATGATGTCACCTTTAGAGCCTAAACTGCACACATGCACAGAGTATAGTTTACTGTTTAGTCACATTTGTTGACTCACTGCATTCTTGTTGTCAGCTAGACTTGGCTCCTGTCTACATAAGCTTGCTGCACAATTCAACAGAGGAAACCAGTTTAAGTCTCAACTTGTCACATGGCATTCCTGGTATCAGCTGATGATGAGTTGATTGAAAGTTGTGGTACATGTATTTATATAAGTACAGATGTATACTGTGATGTTTGTTATCAAAACGAATTATTCCACATTATTGTCAATGGCCAGTTTAAATTGTGCAAATTTTACAAAGTGTGATTGTTAATCAAATTTTGAAAGTATTGACAACAAAAGTGATGTCAGTTCAACAAATTATTACCAAATGACAAATAAAAATATATTTATAAATGAAAATGGTTAAGTTCTTTATCATGAATGAGAAACTCTTTCATATTCACCCCAATCTGAATCTGTCATACTACAGGGTCGGTGGGGTAGCCTAGTGGTTAAAGCATTGGCTCGTCACGCCGAAGACCCGGATTCGATTCCCCACATGGGCACAATGTGTGAAGCCCATTTCTGGTGTCCCCTGCCGTGATATTGCTGGAATATTGCTAAAAGCGGCGTAAAACTAAACTCAGTCAGTCAGTCATACTACAAATAGAAATATCTATATTTCCCACAGTGTGTGCTGTGAAAGGCCTCGTACATATCTTTGTCAAAAACACAGCACCCTGGTTCTTCACAGTTATTTGCAGATTCATTGTGGAACTTGAACCAATGACATAACATACAACTCTCTACTTTGATCCAGGAAAATCATGTTTAAAATCATAGTGAAAGTCGACAATATTTCAGTCACATGGCAGAATGTCAGCAGGTAAGCTAAAAGCAATGCTGAACCCACATTCCAAAAGCTGATTGTAGTGCTGTGACCACCAATAGTATGTTAAAGTATGTTGGTTGGTTCAACTTTGTTGGTTTCTTGTTTAATGCCGCACTCAGCAATATTCTAGCTATATGACAACTGTCTGCGGATTGGACCAGACAATCAAGTGATCAACAGCATAAGCATCCATCTACACATTTGGGATACAATGACATGTTCAACCAAGTCAGCTAGTCTGACCAACGGATCTCATTAGTCGCCTTTTACGACAAGCATAGGTTGCTGAAGACCAATTCTAACCCGGATCTTCTTGGGTAGTTAAAGTATGTGAGTTATTCATAGCTCTATGATAACATTGTGGAACAGGGGACTTCAACATTTAACTTTAGATCACAGGTTCTTTACAACCCAAAGGTAACCAAAACATTGTAGTGAAATCACATCCGAACCAACAACCATAGTTTTCTTGCATGCCAAAGGAATGCAACTCTGCCCAGCAAATCTCGGCACTCGGCACTGGGCCACCAAGTCATGGTTGAGTAGTACAAAACACACAAAACTATCGGTAAGTAACAGGTTTATTCCTGATGGTACATTAGAAATGTGAAAATATATTTGAAGTAGCATCCCTAGATAATGCCATAACTGAGCAGACTTCACTAACACCATGGTGAAAAAATATCAGAAATATATCAAGAGACATTTAAATTTTGGCAAAATAAACAGCACTAAACATTTATGGAACTCTGCCCAAACAGCAATCAAGCACCAGCCAATAATGATAGAGAATACCCTTAACATCAATATAGCATTTGAGCAACTAGATTAATGAGACAAACTACAGTTTTATAGGTACATAGGGTAATAAAAGGCTTGATCAAGATTATTGTTATGAACATATGTTTCTTGCAATATAATTTCATCACAGAAAACCATTTTTACTAGAGTTGCTCATGATTAAAATCCAAACTCACAGAGCATCATAAAACTTCCCCCATATTTCAATATGTGGGACATCATTAACAGTGTCAACTTTAAATATCAAGATATAGCTTTGACTAATTTCTGATTTTAACACACAAATTACTTCTGGCAGTTTGAAAGATATATGGTAAAGCATGAATGTGTTCAACATTACCTCTTGTCACACTCTTATCAACACCAACACCAACAGCATATGGCTGAACATAACATCTGGTAGCACTGTTCAATATCACAGGAACTAAATCAGGTCAATCATTTGCATAATTTACATGGCATATTCTTTACTTACAGACATAAACGTAATGACTATAGTCACAATACAAAATAAGGCATTATCGGCCAATGAAGGTGGTGATGGCACATCTAGAAAAAACTTACCATGAACAAAAGTATAGCTGGTGAAAACATACAATCACTATGGCCCCAATCAAAATAAACACACTCAATTCAATGTCTTACTGTGTAAACAAATGACCCTTGTACATTTCATTGGTGATATAATCAATAAGTAGAATTTCCAGAATAACAAACTTCATTTTAAATTAAAGGACTGCCAAAGAATCTTGTCCCTTTTTCTCATGTGTTTTATATTGCATTGAAAGAAGGAATAACACATCTTATACCTGTCATTCCATATAGTTGCCTGTTGTAAAAGGGAGATAACTCATGCGACAATCCTACTGCGAAGGTATTCCATGACAGCTGGTGTGCCTTTGGCAAGTATTGCTGGTCGTGGATTGCGACATGGGTTACCTGCTAGCTGCAGTGATCTGAAATAAACAATAACTAGAATGTTATGTATGCAATATACGACAAGTGAACAGTAATTGTATCGAGGATGAGACACAACGGTAATGGTATCAAGGATGAGACACAACACTAGTGGTGTCGAGGATGAGACACAACAGTAATGGTGTCAAGGATGAGACACAATGGTAATAGTATCAAGGATGAGATGAGTAATGGTATCAGGATGAGTGGTGTGGTGTAGGATGAGAGACAACAGTAATGGTGTTGAGGATGAGAGACAACAGTAATGGTGTCGAGGATGAGACACAACAGTAATGGTAGGATGAGACACAACAGTAATGGTGTGTCGAGGATGACACAACAGTAATGGTGTCGAGGATGAGACACAACAATGGTGGTATGAGGATGAGACACAACAGTAATGGTGTTGAGGATGAGACACAACAGTAATGGTGTCAGGATGAAGACACACAACAGTAATGGTGTTGAGGATGAGACACAACAGTAATGGTGTCAAGGATGAGACACAACAGTAATGGTGTTGAGGATGAGACACAACAGTAATGGTGTCGAGGATGAGACACAACAGTAATGGTGTCGAGGATGAGACACAACAGTAATGGTGTCAAGGATGAGACACAACAGTAATGGTGTCGAGGATGAGACACAACAGTAATGGTGTCAAGGATGAGACACAACAGTAATGGTGTCGAGGATGAGACACAACAGTAATGGTGTTGAGGATGAGACACAACAGTAATGGTGTGAGGATGAGACACAACAGTAATGGTGTCGAGGATGAGACACAACAGTAATGGTGTCGAGGATGAGACACACAACAGTAATGGTGTCGAGGATGAGACACAACAGTAATGGTGTCGGGATGAGACACAACAGTAATGGTGTTGAGGATGAGACACAACAGTAATGGTGTCGAGGATGAGACACAACAGTAATGGTAGTGTCAGGATGAGACACAACAGTAATGGTGTGAGGATGAGACACAACAGTAATGGTGTTGAGGATGAGACACAACAGTAATGGTGTCAGAGGATGAGACACAACAGTAATGGTGTCGAGGATGAGACACAACAGTAATGGTGTCGAGGATGAGACACAACAGTAATGGTGTCGAGGATGAGACACAACAGTAATGGTGTCAAGGATAATGGAGGATGAGACACAACAGTAATGGTGTGAGGATGAGACACAACAGTAATGGTGTCGAGGATGAGACACAACAGTAATGGTGTCAAGGATGAGACACAACGGTAATGGTGTCGAGGATGAGACACAACAGTAATGGTATCAAGGGACACACACAACAATAATGGTGTCGAGGATGAGACACAACAGTGGTGGTGTCGAAGGATGAGACACAACAGTAATGGTGTCGAGGATGAGACACACAACAGTAATGGTGTCAAGGATGAGACACAACAGTAATGGTGTCAGGATGAGACACAACAACATAATGGTCGAGGATGAGACACAACAGTAATGGTGTCGAGGATGAGACACAACAGTAATGGTGTCAGACACAACAGTAATGGTGTCAAGGATGAGACACAACGAGGATGACACAACAATGTAATGGTGTCGAGGATGAGACACAACAGTAATGGTGTTGAGGATGAGACACAACAGTAAGTCGAGGATGAGACACAACAGTAATGGTGTCGGAGGATGAGACACAACAGTAATGGTGTTGAGGATGAGACACAACAGTAATGGTGTCGAGGATGAGACACAACAGTAATGGTGTCAATGATGTGACACAAAGGTAATGGTGTCGAGGATGAGACACAACAGTAATGGTGTCAAGGATGAGACACACAATGGTAATGGTGTTGAGGATGAGACACAACAGTGGTGTAGGATGAGACACAACGGTAATGGTGTCGGAGGATGAGACACAACAGTAATGGTGTCAAGGATGAGACACAACAGTAATGGTGTCAAGGATGAGACACAACAGTAATGGTGTCGAGGATGAGACACAACAGTAATGGTGTTGAGGATGAGACACAACAGTAATGGTGTCAAGGATGAGACACAACAGTAATGGTGTTGAGGATGAGACACAACAGTAATGGTGTTGAGGATGAGACACAACAGTAATGGTGTCAAGGATGAGACACAACAGTAATGGTGTCAAGGATGAGACACAACAGTAATGGTGTCGAGGATGAGACACAACAGTAATGGTGTCGAGGATGAGACACAACAGTAATGGTGTCGAGGATGAGACACAACAGTAATGGTGTCGAGGATGAGACACAACAGTAATAATGATCAAGGACGACACAATGGTGGTAATGGTGTCGAGGATGAGACACAACAGTAATGGTGTTGAGGATGAGACACAACAGTAATGGTGTCGAGGATGAGACACAACAGTAATGGTGTTGAGGATGAGACACAACGGTAATGGTGTTGAGGATGAGACACAACAGTAATGGTGTCGAGGACGAGACACAACGGTAATGGTATCAAGGATGAGTCACAACAGTAATGGTGTCAAGGACGAGACACTATGGTAATGGTGTCGAGAATGGGAAAAACAAATAGCTTGTCGGTGACACAAGTCATGACTCATGGTCTCATCAATTTCCTAAAATTTGCCACTGGAAAATATAGTATTTATCTCTGATCTTAAACTATATGAGGAACAAGTAACTCACTTGATTGACACACAGTTGCCCAGCTCAGGAGGAAACTGGGTACAATTGTTGTTCTGAAGATCAAGAGTTGCCAGTGAAGTCAGTTTCATAAGACCAGCAGCATCAATCGTTTCAATCTTGTTGTCACTGACGAACAATATCTCTAACTTTGGTAGCTCATACAACACTGGAGGAATGAGGGTAAATCTGGAAGGGGTGAAACAGAGATGAAAAAGTAATCCAGAAAGTCATACATCTTCATACAACACGTCTGGGGGATCCTCTATATCTGACATATAACAATATGAGATCCTACATCATTATTTGAACATTTCATAAAAATGATTAGGCTGAAGTTGGACTGTTGTACTATTCACTGCAATTATGACTGGATACATATCTATTTTAAGGATTATGAAATTCAGATATGACAAATAACTTCCTTACCTGTTATTCGACAGAGTTATCTCCCTTATATTCTGTAATGATGTCATTTCTCCTGGCAAATCTGACAGGGCATTGCACCTGAAGGGAAACAGATAGCTAAGTGAATGATGGATGGAGCACAGGTCCATTACTACTTGGCAGGCTTTCCTTATCATCCACCCCATCGATCAAAAGCATTGTTTTATCTGATACAGGTTGGTATCTTTCTGCTAAGCATCCCAGCATGGTACAAATATATAAAACCTTGGAATTTCCATGCTACTCAGATAATGCCCCTTGGGTGACTTGCAGAAATAGCTTTCCTGATACACTTCTTAAATAAGTCATAGAACTACAAGTAGCCTCAAAACATCAATAACCAACATGCATCCTGCCCTTGTAACGATGCAGTATGGTGCCTGGTGGTGAGTAATGTCCTTCGTACACATCGATGGTCCAGTCACTTACCTGAGGTCAAGGGTTGTCAGCTTGAGAAACAGGCTGATATCCGAGTGAAGGACAGTCAGTTTGTTGAAGCCCATGGAGAGTTCCTTGAGGGAGTTGGACAACAGCATGAGTCTGAAACAGACACACCAAACAGTTACATGCGTTCACATGAACAAGATATGTTTTGGCTTCTGACACATGTCAACCATTTAGTCTCGTTTATACATATTTGTTTCTCAAACATACGAAACTTCAAATAATGTGATGAGCAAGCAACATCTGTTTAACAGCAGTACATTCCTGTTATAAGTATATAAGGATCATGTTCATCGCAAACAATCATTGTACATCAGATATCCTGAGCCACACAGGAACCTATCATATTTCATCTTACTTGTCGGGTATCTGGGTGAACGTATTCTTGCTCAGGTTCACTGAGTTCACTTCAGCCTTGGAAGCAGCTTCCCACACATCTAGTGGTACCTCGTTCACTTTCTTGTTGCTGCAAAAACAAGTTTACAAACATCTTTAATCACCCCAGCTTCTGTGAATTGTTTGATATTTCATTGCTCTTACACCATGTTTCCAATGCAGACAGATTAGCCATAATAAAGAAATACTGAGTCCATTTCTTTTTCATCAAAACCAGGTCCTTTAAAGACACTTTCAAACTCAGCCAACAGGAAGATTATATATTGCTGGGATTATAGAGCTGGTTTTCTTTTTCATGTGAGCATGTGAGATTTTAGATTCTTCATTCACAAATATTCAAACCCTTTCTTGAAATAATTCAAATGAAAAACAACATGGTCTTTGTTAGTTGTCAGGTCTACAGCATTTGAAAAACATTGGGCGTGACTGACTGCTTTTAGCAATATTCCAGAAACATCATGGCAGTGGACACCAGAAATGGGCTTCACACTCTGTACCCATGTGAACCTGGGTCTTCGGCGTGACGAGCCAACGCTTTAACTGCGTGAAAATACAGATGAAACTGCACAATGCAGAGCAATTCCTCCTATATACCGGTACCTTCACAGCCCAACATAAACTAACCTGTAGTCAAGATTCTTAAACTGCTGCAGATCATGCGCCTTGACGCCATCATCCCCTGCCCCCATCACTCCAGCGCCCCCTGTTGACAGACCGGAACTGCCGTTCTGCTTCACCGGCTCCGCCTCCTCAATACGACTACTCAGGTACTTCTTCAACTGCATTGTGCCCCTCTGTTATAATACAACTCACTCATGTCAATCGTCTTGTACCTGTCCATCACTCAGTATTGAACGATAAGGTTAGCTGCGGTAGCTCTATCTGTTCTCTATAAGCAGTATTATTATCAACTGTTCGCCGTATTCCTGATTTCTATATACTTACTGGGGTCTAATCACCAAGAAGGTACAGGTTTTGGCAGCCATAACACAGTGCACAGCACAACAATCTCTACCAATCCCAGTTTCCAGCTTGATAAGTTAGTACATGTATATTGCTCACAAATTAAATGTAAGTATTCCAGCAACTCCCAGGGGACACCAGAAATGGGCTTCACACATTGTGCCCATGTGGGGATTATAGTCTTTCTGGCTACCCCACGCTTCCAACTAAATGTTTCCCAGAGACCATAGGCGAATATGGTCTCTGGTACTCTTGTTTAAAGGAAATGACAAGGAAATGAATTGAAATAATTGAGTGTGGACCAGGCAAGCCTGTGACTGTTATAACAATCCATCCTGTCAGGGCACGATGACACAACCAAGTCACCAAGCCTGGTCAGCTCACTGATTTGGTTGTGACCAGGAGAGGGACATGGGGCCCTGTTCTAACCAAGATTCCCTATGGAGTTCCTGACATGTGTAGACATGTGGTTTGTGATGAAGTTAATGAAATCTCACCATGATGATGTCTCGCCGGATCCCTTCATTGGGTTGCCATCCAGAACAATTGACTTCAGTGGGTTGATCGTCCCCAGACCATAGGGAAGACTATGTGAGAGAAACAGATACACAGGGTTGACTCAGATGTACTCAACAAACACAAATTCAGACAGAGGAAGATGAGTAAGCTTTTAAAACTGCCATCAGTTATTTCAATGACCGCTTAAATTAGGAGGACATCACAGAGTTACACAGATTGTAATTTAGCATACATTAAACATGTTGGTGAAACCCATGTGAATATAGGTATGGTGCTGACAGACCAAGGGTTACAATAAGGGCAAACCTCAGATTCAAACTCAAAATAGGCAGATCCTGGCACAACAAATGGACACAACTCATGCTTAAAGTAAAATTAACACAGCCTATCAAGGGATGACAATATCTTTGCATGTTCATCAAACAGTGCTATCAGAACATTCAGACAATAATTCTAAGGTTTTGACCCCAGCTTTGTCCTTGACCACTTCGGTGGTCTAATGGATAAATCATCTGCAGAGAAAGCAGGTCAGTCGTTCAATAACGGTGTGCATCATACTACACAATTGGTTGGTTGGTTGGCTGTTTAACGCCGAGCTTAGCAATATTCCAGCCATATGGCAGCGGTCTGTAAATAATCGAGTCTGGACCAGACAATCCAGTGATTAACAGCATGAGCATCGAAATACGCAATTGGGATACAACGACATATCAGTGAGCCTGACCATCCCATTGGTCGCCTCTTACGACAAGCATGGGTTACTGAAGACCAATTCTAACCTGGATCTTCACGGGAATGGTACAAGTTGTAACTGTGCCTGGCACTTTCTGGATTAAAGAGAGGGCTGGTTGACTTGGTCTGAATCAGGTATCCATGTGAAGCTATGGCAAGGTATCTACAACACTGTTCCTGCAGGTACAATACTCACATGTACATCACTATGTAAGAAAAATCATCTTAAACATGACAAACCCCATCTATGACAATACAGCCACACAATCCAAATGCAATAAATGCAGACAACACAAGATGAACACCGTACCCACTCAAGTCATTATTTGTCAGGTCAAGCCTCTGCAGGCCCTGGAGTAGTGTGATCTCATCAGGTAGCACTGCAATCTTGTTGTCTCGGAGGTCAAGAATGGTGATGGCTGTCAGATGCTGTAGATGTTCAGCTGTCAAACCCTTGATGTCATTGTTCCCCAAATGCAACTCCTGAGAACAGATTTAGTGACTGAGTTTAGTTTTACACCGCCTTTTTTTACCTATATTCCAGCAATATCACGGCGGGTCACACCAGAAACGGGCTTCACACATTGTACCCATGTGGGGAATCGAACCCGGGTCTTCGGTGTGACGATCGAACGCTCTAACCACTAGGCTACCCCACCGACCCAAACAACAGATTTAGTAGTGAGAAACTGATAATACAGAGATGCCAGTCCCATTTTGATGCGGTTATATAGATCCAGTTAGCAATTAAACAAAATAATAGACATGATTAACTTTATTCTTTTGAACTGGGATTCGAACTCATGATCATAGGTTTCTGGTGCACTAAAGGGAGGCAACTGAACAGCAAACTGCAGTGCCTGAGAAGTAATGGGACAAGGGCTGACCTTGAGGTCGACACAGTTCTCCAGCACAGGGAGGTAAGGAAGCTTGTTGTGACGGAGATACAGCTGTTCCAGGTGACGCAGGTTCCCGAATTCATCTGGGAGGCGAACCAGCTGATTGTGTGTGGCTTCAAAATACTTCAGCCCTGAAAAAAATCTCTTTCCTTCAGTATAAATTTAATCTAATACAAATGACAGGGTCTTGCACATGTTTGAACGGCAACTGTTTATTATGGTATATGAACAGAGGTATGGAAATAAGCTCTCGCCCACTAGTCTGGACTAGTCCTGTTAATGTTAAAGGTATCCTAAGAGCTAGAATTTCAAAATTTTAAGGAGGGATATTTCTACGTGTCATCAGGGTCGGTGGGGTAGCCTAGTAGTTAAAGCATCAGCTTGTCACGCCGAAGATCCGGGTTCGATTCCCCACATGGGTAATATGTGTGAAGCCCATTTCAGGTGTCCCCTGCCTTGATATTGCTGGTATATTGCTAAAAGCGGCGTAAAACTAAACTCACTCACTCACTCACTCTAAGTGTCATCACTAATCGAGCTAGGAGATACTCTTGGTTAATTTCCACAAATCTAAATGTTTTATTACTGCTGTATTTGCAAAACCAAGTACCCAAGGTACTTACAAACAATGACTTGAGGCACTTATAAACACAACACAAAAGTTGCATTTGTCATAAATAATAGATTGGTAGTGGACAAACTTGGTTCATATGTCTTTGAAACTGAAATAATTTTATAAGAGTTACTATACAGTTACATCCCCCTTAGGTTTTCTGTAAAAAATCTGTAACATACACAAGGTAATACAGTTTGACAGTGTTTGTAGGAGGGGCTTACTTGCAAAGTGATCAAGAAGTTTTCAGGAGCAATACTTTAAGACCAATCAGTGGCAACTTACCATCCATACAGCCGATATCTGGGGGGAGGTTTGTCAACTTGTTGTGTGACACATTCAGACGAAGAAGATGACTAAGATGGCCGATTGAATGCGGCAGTGATGTCAGCTGATTGTTGGACACATCCTGCAAATACATATAGGGACTTTTATAATTAAATGTGAGGATTACACAATGCCAGTAAGTTCCAGTGGAAGTCGCGGTGACTGAGCGGGTTAGGCGGATGATTATGTGTGCTGGCGATTAGGTGCCGGACTCTGAGGGCGTGGGTTCGAATCCCGCATGAATATGTACATTACAGATGTTTTACAGAAAACCATGCGGGATTGAAACCCAACCCCTCAGAGTCCCGCAAGTACTTGAATCTGTACTTTACTCACACAGCAAACCAAATCAAACACCATTTCTCTGGAGACAAGAATGAAGTAGTGAGTAGATTACTGATCCACAGTTTGAACACTTACCAAATCCTCTAGTTTGTGTAGATATTTGATTTCATCACAAAGCTCTGTGACTTCGTTGTGCTCTATGTGGAAGCTGACCAGACTCTTCAACTGACACACGCACAGCGGCAGAGTCTTCAGCTTGTTACGACTGAAATACACGGACGTATATCTCTACAGTTTCTAGGACACTGGCTTACTCAAGGTCTTCTCAAAAGCTGACAAAATCCTGAAAATGTCCGAGAGCTATGTGTTTCAGCAAAATTGATGAAATGGGCAAATATTTTGAAACAAAGGTGTAACAAATGAATAAACTTTTGATGCACAACAAGCTTAGTTTGTTGTGTATCTCTCTCACATAATTATTCCAGCTGTATGACGGAACACGCACAAAAAGCCAGCTGGTCTTTCAGTGGTAGCCTACTTTAATACCATGCTGTAGTTTGACACAGATACCCCACAGCAACACATTATACTGACTGAGTTGACCTTCATTTTGTTCAGGCTGGGTAACAGCACGTGCCATCTATTAACATCTTTTGGTATGACACAACCAAGGGATCAAACCACTGACCTGCTCTCTGGGTTGAGGCAGTATCAATTTCAACATTATAACCTTTGTCTGTTCAATTAAGTCTAAATTTCAGCTATTCTCCCTCTTACGTACCTGACGTCTAGCTTGGTGAGGCACTCCAGTTGTCCCAAAGCCTGTGGTAAAGACTCCAATTTGTTGTCATGCACCTGAAAATACAGGACATCCATCCTCATTAGATTCAGCACCAGTTTCATCAACAAAACACGGCTGTGTGTGGTGTAACATAAACAAACAAGGTAAAAATATGCATAACAATTTTAAGAGTTAAGATCTTTTACTTCTCTACTTGATTTATGAACACACCTGGATAGAAAGCCACATTAGGTGAGCTTTCTAATCTAGGTTTAGACTTCTCAATTCTTGGTCAAATGAAAAAGACATTCCGATGAACATTTCTGATTTCAGAATCTCAAAATATAAGTTAATCATGCTGTTCCAAAAATTTCTGCAAATGAAAAAGGCCAGGCAACCATATTGATTTGAATATGTTAGATACCCTCTAAGAAGGAACCACTAGAGAAATAATTGCAGTTTGTGTGGGTCATTTTTGTAATTACAAAATGCAAAAGAAATGGAGCCCAATCTGACTGGCTCAAGAATCCACACATCCTTTAGTTAGATTGGGCGGTCAGAGTTCACTCAGGATTCATCTGACATGACCTTATATGATGCAAATCAAGCAAAATCACACAGAGACACAAAGAGAGAGACACAGCCACAGACACAGCGACACACACAGACACATGCAAGCATACACAGACACACTCTCCTGTATTTATAGAGTCTGTTATATGAAGCCTGTGTCTGCCATTCCTTACATCAAGCACAGTGAGAGCAGGGAAGTTGATGATGTCCTCCGAGAGTCCCGGCCAGGTAGATTGGATACCAGGAGGAGCTTGGTGAGGTCCACCTGCTCCCACCATCGGTCCTCCGAGTTGTCCAGAGACACATTCTTAGCTTCCTCTGGAACATCCAGGTTCAGTCTCCAAACTTTGTCTGGGACTGGAAACGAAGTGAAATATTTGGTTAGGAGGTTTAAATATGCATTGATCACGTAGATTATTACATAAGTGGACATGGCTCACTGCAACAAGCAATACAACCCAAACAGACTGACAAAAGAGGTGCCATGTTATATATACATATATATATGTATATACATTCAAACAAATCAAACATCTTTAATTCTAGAGCATGACGTTTCTTGAAAACAATAAGAACCTGTATCGAAGCGTGCATAAATATATCCATATATACTTGTTCTATGACTACTAACTTCTAAAATGTAGCTCAAAGAAATAAAACATAACAGAAATATTTAGTCACAAACATACATTTTGTTCTCAGATCTTGATCCATTCTTCATAATTGTACATGCATTCCAGCAAACATATACAATGTAAGTTCACAACTGACAGGGCCATGTGACAATATAGATTGTAGAGACTAATAGTATTTGCTCCAAGATATAGTGACTATCCTTTATCAGACATGCTAGATAAAAGCAGTACAGTCTAAGGACAAGTCTGTTTCAATTTTTCAAGATATTTCATTTGAAACTATTAATTAAAGGCCATATAAGACTTTCTATATGATACAGAGTTACTTTCTTTGTGTTTCACATACATTCAAAACACATGTTAAAGAAATTTAGTAAGATTTACAGAAAGATGTTATTAGTTTACTAATATGAACTTGATTGGCACAGGTCTGAAACATTATTATGGTTACCACAACTACAATTTGGGATGAAACGCTTTGAACTGCAATATTGTGTACTGCAGAGACCAAATTATTTGGAAACCCATGAAAGCCTATATCTTGCATTAACTGAGTTTGTTTGGTGTTTCGATATAAACACAAGTTACTTAACTCTAATTTTGTATTGAAATCCACGGTGATAAATGTCACACCTGTTTCAAGGCCTCTGCCTGAGAGATTGAGCTGTCCACTTTGCCGCGCCTGTTTCAAAAGTTGGGCATGAACACCATCGCGTGACTCATTCGCTTGCTGATTACGAAATCCAGCTTTCATGTCAAATGGAACTCTTTTTGCCCCTTCCTCTAGTTGCCATTTTCACTGAAGAGTCCTACAAGAAGCACCTGTTCAGTCATTCATTTCCTTTCAAATTTGGTTAATTTTGGCAACTGACTGATCCCAAGAACATTTTGAGAATGATCAAAGGGAAGTAACTCTCATTATGTGACCTTCAGTGAATCTGAGTTGTCTATTCTTCCAAGCACCCGTAAAATACTTAGTGACAGTTTGATATCCAGAGAATGTCTAAACAATGTATGTTGCTTTTAAATCCTGCGTGTCGGTCATGTATATTGCCAATGAACAAATAATTTGTCAAATTCACCGCACACTATGTTTAATGCCGCGAATGGCTGCAAAATTGCTGATTCGACCTTTAGCAATATACACTTGACAGGTTCAGAGCACTGAGCAATGTGTGTTGCCGTAGTGAGCACTACATTAAGATATGATTTAATTAGATTGATTGTGGTTGGTATGCTTGGAAGCAAAAATAATAAAAGTCTTCCACCAACGACGCTTTGGTTTTCACTAAAACCTTCGTACCTCCTCAGACTCCTTTTTCGGGTTTGAGTGACGACTTTGCCTAGCGTTAATTGCCGCGATCTCTGTGCAGAGTTTGCACAGTTCACCTTCACCCGTTTCCACGAGAGTTTCAATGGTCATTTATTAAACTTTCAGGACCACCCCTGCACCCCACTCGGGACCCGCCTATGGTGGGTTAGATTGCTGACTTGTGAGCTGGCGAGTAAGTGCCGGACTCTGGGACTGAGGGTTCGAATCCCGGCTCACAGCCTCACGAAAGTAGTAGAATCTGTACTATACTGAGAAAGTGTAATGCTAAATATAACATATGTTACATTTCACGACTTTCTAAATGACATTATGTATTCATAGTTAAAGCGGCGTTAAACCCAATTCGCACTGACTTTAGAGTGAGTGTAATTGCATACAGCAAGGGAGTATAATAGTGCAGTGGGTAATCACGGTATGTGAATGCCGAGAATATAGTCTCTCACCAAACAACATATGTCTCTCTGTGTTCTATCGTAATATGTGACAGGAATAATGACGGTGCAACGTTAAGTTTATTGGGCACTCTGTTTTCTACAGTCAGTGCACCCGTGAAGATCCGGGTTAGAATTGATCTTCAGTAACCTATGCTTGTCGTAAGAGGCGACTAACGGGATCGGGTGGTCAGGCTCGCTGACTTGGTTGACATATGTCATCGGTTTACCAATTGCGTAGATCGATGCTCATGCTGTTGATCACTGGATTGTCTAGCCCAGACTCGATTATTTACAGACCGCCGCCATATTGCTGGAATATTTCTGAGTGCGGCGTAAAACTTCAGTGAAATGGGGTATCGAGGATGCTCGCCACTGTGCACTGGATCCTTTCCAGTGAAAGCTGTCGAGTCCACCATTTGACCGACGCCCATTGTTTGTGTGATCTATGTCTGCAGCACACTGCCTGCTTTGAGTGCAAAATGTCAACAACTTGCTGTCTGCAGCACACTGCCTGCTTTGAGTGCCAAATGCAGCAACACTGCCTTGCCTGCTTTGAGTGCCAAATGTCAACAACTTCTGTCTCTTAGCGTCTGCCAAATGAAAGCACACTTGCTCCTTGTGCTTACACTGAGTGCAAATGTCAACACTTGCTCCCTGTCTGCAGCACACTGCCTGCTTTGAGTGCCAAATGTCAACAACTTGCTCCATGTCTGCAGCACACTGCCTGCTTTGAGTGCCAAATGTCAACAACTTGCTCCATGTCTGCAGCACACTGCCTGCTTTGAGTGCCAAATGTCAACAACTTGTTCAGTGTCTGCAACACGTTCTCTTGTTTGTGTGACCAGTGTCTGCAACACGTTCTCTTGTTTGTGTGACCAGTGTCTGCAACACGTTCTCTTGTTTGTGTGACCAGTGTCTGCAACACGTTCCCTTGTTTGTGTGACCAGTGTCTGCAACACGTTCTCTTGTTCGTGTGACCAGTGTCTGCAACACGTTCTCATTTGTGTGACCAGTGTCTGCAACACGTTCTCTCATTTGTGTGACCAGTGTCTGCAACACGTTCTCTTGTTTGTGTGACCAGTGTCTGCAACACGTTCATGTCTCTGTTTTGTGTGACCAGTGTCTGCAACACTTTATTTGTGTCTCTCATTTTTGTGACCAGTGTCTGCAACATCGTTCTCTTGTTTGTGTGACCAGTGTCTGCAACACGTTCTCTTGTTTTGTGACCAGTGTCTGCAACACGTTCTCTTGTTTGTGTGACCAGTGTCTGCAACACGTTCTCGTTTGTGTGACCAGTGTCTGCAACACGTTCTCTTGTTTGTGACCAGTGTCTGCAACATGTTCTCTTGTTTGTGTGACCAGTGTCTGCAACACGTTCTCTTGTTTTGTGTGACCAGTGTCTGCAACACGTTCTCTTGTTTGTGTGACCAGTGTCTGCAACACGTTCTCTTGTTTGTGTGACCAGTGTCTGCAACACGTTCTGGTTTGTGACCAGTGTCTGCAACACATTCTCTCATTTTTGTAACCAGTGTCTGCAACACGTTCTTCTTGTTTGTGTGACCAGTGTCTGCAACACGTTCTCTTGTTTTGTGTGACCAGTGTCTGCAACACGTTCTCTCTCTGACCAGTGTCTGTGTGACCAGTGTCTGCAACACGTTCTGTTTGTGTGACCAGTGTCTGCAACACGTTCTCTTGTTTGTGTGACCAGTGTCTGCAACACGTTCTCTTGTTTGTGTGACCAGTGTCTGCAACACGTTCTCTTGTTTGTGTGACCAGTGTCTGCAACACGTTCTCTTGTTTGTGTGACCAGTGTCTGCAACACGTTCTCTTGTTTGTGTGACCAGTGTCTGCAACACGTTCTCTGGTTTGTGTGACCAGTGTCTGCAACAGTGTCTCTCTTGTTTGTGTGACCAGTGTCTGCAACACGTTCTCTGGTTTGTGTGACCAGTGTCTGCAACACGTTCTCTTGTTTGTGTGACTAGTGTCTGCAACACGTTATCTTGTTTGTGTGACCAGTGTCTGCAACACGTTCTCTGGTTTGTGTGACCAGTGTCTGCAACACGATATCTGGTGTGACACATTCTCTGGTTGTGTGACTTCTCTTGTTGACTAATGTCTGCAAAACCTTCTTTCTTTCATAGAACAGTGTCTGCTCCACATGGACTGGTTTGTGACCAATGTTCTCTGGTTTGTGTGACCAGTGTCTGCAACACATCTGGTTTGTGTGACCAGTGTCTGCAAAACATTGTCTTGTTTCTGTGACCAATGTCGGCTACACAATATCTGGTTTGTGTGACCAACGTTTGGAAAACGTTCTCTGGTTTGTGTTAGCATTGTCTGCAACACCTTCTCTGGTTCATGTTACCAATGCCTGCAGCCAAGTTTTGACATTCTCTTGTTTTTGCTGCCAATGTCGGCAACATGTTTTCCTGTTTGTAAGATCGCATCATTGTAAGATGTGCTTTTATTTATTTATGTTTGGAATGTCCAGATAATACAGTTCTCTGATACTAAGCATTTACCAACAAAACTTCAAGCATAATATGAGGTAACACAAACTTTCCAGTAACAGATTGGTGTTGAAAACCATTTTACTGTTGCTGCAAGGCCAAATTAAAAAAACACTGTCACAGATGCACTGCCGTAAATTCTTCACATGTACACATCCTTCCTGTATTTTACCAGTCTCGGATTGCTGGTCTTATGTTAATTCTGAACCCGTTAAAGCCAAAGGTGTATGATTATGGATATGGTACTAACAAACTGATGATCATATTCATAATTGAATATCTTGAGGGTCAGATCCTTACACATCTAAGGGATATAACTCTGACCAGCAATATTTGAGAGAAAAGGACCACACAGAGACAAATGCCTTGTCAGTGACATATAACTACAAATTATTGTAAAAACAATTAGGGCCAAGTCATTGCCACATCCCCCAGTCAGGCCAGCTAGCCACCAAACACTTGTGTGAGAACGTTTCTATTGATTTTGACCTGTTTCTTCCATTTTGTCCACTCTCTTGTCCACAGAGTAAGCATGGTCACTTCTCAGGGTGTTCAAAACGTCACAATGACCATGAGGTTGCAAATTTTTCACACTTTGTGGTGTTCTTTCCACTTTTCTTTTGTCTCTGTAGGAATATGCATGATCATAATGATCATAATAAAGACTTCTTGATGGTCCATTTTTCAGTTCTTTCCTTCTTTCTGCAGTTTTGTCTGGACCATGATATGTATGATCATTCATCAACATCTCCATAATTTCTATACGTTTCTCCAGATAGTCAGGTTCCTGATCATTTTCTCGAATACGATACACGAGAACATTGTCATTCGTGTACACACTTACGGGAGTTTCATATTGAAAGTGAGAATGATCACCGAGGACAAACGGTGGTTTCTTACCACGCTTCTCTTCAGATGAAATATTTTCTGGTGAAATGGTTGGTTCAATCTTCTTTTCAGAAGAATCCTCTGCTGAATGGCTATCTATGTCACCTTCCATGTCAACATCCTTGCCAGTATTGCATCCATTACCCAGAGTATTAACACCAACCTGGGGTAAAGTCCACTGATTATCACATGGTTCTGAAGGAGTGTCCACAGCCATCACATCCTGATAAGGTTCAGTGCATCGCAGAGTCTCCATTGTAGGCAGCAGAATGGACTGACTAAAGTTGACGGAATCCTCTGTAGAGACACTCTCCAAACCCATCTGGCTGATTACAGCACTATCAACAGGGACATCACAAAAGGAATCTCTAATTGGCATATCCAAATGTATTGAACATCCTTTTTGCCTATCCCCAATGTTGCTAAGCACGTCTGTTGTGTTTGAGTTGCTGATGTTATCTGTTTGTGCCTCTCCTCCCATGTCTCTTTTGGCATCTGCATCTGTGTTCGATTCTGGGTCTGCTGCTGAATCAGATTCTGTGTCTGATGATGATTCTGTATCTGAGGACTCGTCCTCACTTGAGGGTTCAGGAAGTTGGAATGGATCACAAATGTTTGTCATATCCACATCTGCACCCTCACCCTCAGCAGGAACATAAAACTGGCTGAGGACATCACACACCAACACCACATCCTTCACTCCCTTTGACTTCAACCAAGAGTCAGAGCTCTTCAGGTTGCTCTGAACATGCTGAAGGATGAAGTACCTTGATTTAAGGCAGTCAATTTTATTTAAAAAAAATAACTGTCTGGTACTTTGGTTCAGGAAGGTCAATCAAGGGTGAAAGACAGCAATACATTACATCAAACATTTGTGTAATCGCTGAGCACAGTTTAGCAGTTGGGACTCCAAGTTGGTAAGCAATGTCCTTTACCTTGATCCCTAGTCTGAGTTTGATCAAAGTGAAAATGAACAACTCAAAGCGGGTGGGACCGAGATGGGGGAGGTGACTCATGTGGGGAAATAAAAAGTCATAAAGTTCCTTCAAAGTCTCAAAATTAGGAAACCCAGAGTAAAACTGCACCTTTTCCAGGTTCTTATGAAAGGAAGCCACTGTGTATGACCTTGCCACAACCTTGTCATGGAGTTGGAGCATTTCCTCAACCAAAGTTAGTCTTTCAGCTTCCATTATCACCTGATCTTTGCAACCACTGATGTCAGTCTGGGAAGAAGCAGCTTTTAAACACTTTTTCCTTTTGACAACATTTTTTCCCAAAACAACCTGAAATTCATATTTATAAGATGGGCTTGAAGAAGTGTCAATGCATGTCTGATTGGCACACAAGATTGCATTTGATGGTACGGTATAAGACTTTGAGATATGAATCTCTATGGGTCTGTTAATACCATTATGATGGTATGAATGATCTCTTGCTGAAGTGTACTGAATATGATCACAGTCTGGTCCTATCTCCTGCTCTGTCAGTATTTTCCCACTTTCTTGTTCAGGACATGCTGACGTGTCCATTACCTCTTCTCTTGGGTCAACATTATCATTATCTTTTGGTGCACATCTCTCAAAACTGTTTTCCATTCCATTAAAGGGAAGTTCATTGTCACTCTGAAAACTATTTGAACTCATTTCTGGCCCACCCATGTCACCATGTTTAGCTTCAGTTGAATTTGCCACTACAGAGAAAGATTTGTCCACAGATGATGCCTCATCCTCAGCTTCTTGTCTCACACAGTTTTCATATCGAGCCCTACCTTCTAACTGTGAAGACCCTTCCTGAACTGTTGCCAAACCTTGTATACCTTCTACAAGTCTACAAGAAGATTCCTCCTCTGGACTACTAGTATTCTTTTCAGGAGCATCTCTGTACGCATCAAATTGAATAGACTTATCTTCCTTCACTGGTATATCAGGCACTTCCAGTTTAGGAGTCTTAGTTGTTTCATCAAGTGAATTGACATACTCGTGCATGCCATCCTTCATACAGCTTCTGTTGGCCTGCCCTTCTTGAGACAGGTGAGAAGAAGACCCATGTTTGACAGGTAGAGCCAGACGAACCACCATTTTCCTCTGACCAACCACTTGAAGAACAAGAAACTCTTCTTGTGCCTTCTGGCCTGTAGGCGAATGCATAACATTCATCGTACTGTAGTCTTTTGATGGCTGTGGTTTTGTAAGAGTACTTGTCAAAGGGTTTGGTGTGTATGTTTGGAAAAGGTTCTGTGATCTGCAACTTATATCACCAGAGAACAATTTGTTAATGGAGTCTTGATTCCATCCTTTTTCCAGCCACAGTTGATTCACTGCATTAAGATTATTGTAAGTTGCCGACAGAGACTTTTCTTGCTTTTTCCGAAATCTAGAAATGTGAACATGTGATTATTGGTTAGAAATTTGTATATTACAGTGATACTGAACTATGGAAACATCATAAATCATAAACAAAAAAAGAATAATGCAGTACCTTATTTCAAAGATTATAAAATATCAAATGAGTGTGTTTAGTTTTACGCCGATTTCAGCAATATTCCAGCAATATCATGGCGGGGAACACCAGAAATGGGCTTCACACATTGTACCCATGGTGGGAAGCGAACCAAGGTCTTCGGTGTGACGAGCGAACGCTTTAACCACTAGGCTACCCCACTGCCCCATAATATATCAAGAGTCAGTATAATTAGAAAGGTGAAGTCTAAAGGATGCTTGTGCCAACAGATGTCAACTTTCAAAATCAATTCTGCTTCATGTCTTTACCACTTAAGTTGCAGCCTACACAGAAAACAAACATCCCTTCATAGTGTTTACTTTGGACATTGAGTGTATATAAAATATATCTCATGGACAGAATAATAATTAATTAATTAATTTTAATTACCATTTGCAACTGCCCATTCATGTACATTTTCAAGACACAAATCAGATATGCTTCATACTATATGCTTCTATAGAGACATTAGAAGGCTTTACTGGCCATTTAGTTTATCTTGACATTGAGAGGAATCCTATTGATATCAAACATAACATTTAAAGGAGACTATACAGCTTCACCATTCACTATTTGTGATATTTCCACCATGAAGACTTACAAGGCATATTTGTCCCTGAGTACTTGATGTTCTTGAGGAGTTGTTGATGGAAACAGAGATGGAACATAGTCTGGATGGTTGGGATCGAGGCTCCTCATCCCTGAAAATTATTGAAAAATAAATGATAGAAATGATTCGTGACAAAAGGCAATCCTGAAAATGCCAACAAGATGGCTACTTTTTACCCATTGCCAAAACTTGGCTAATGTCCTTTCACAATGAACTATTGTTTGTTTGTTGCTTAACGCTGCACTCAGCAATATTCCAGCAACATGGCAGAGATCTGTGAATAATCAAGTCTAGACCAGGCAATCCAGTGATCAACAGCATGAGAATCGTTCTACACAACTGGGACTCGATGACAAGTGTGAACCAAGACAGCGAGCCTTACCACCCAATCATACTAGTTGCTTACAACAAGCATGGGTTCCTGAGAACCAATTCTAACCCAGATCTTCATGGGGACTCACTATGAGCTTGATAATAAGCACTTCTAACTTACAGTATTTGCCTCCATCTTTTCCATATACATGTACCATATTGAGATTTATAATAACCTTTTCAATTTATGAATCCTTGTGAATGGGTGAGAGAGTAAGGTTTTATGCTGCTTTTCATGATATTACAGCAATATCATGGCAGGTAATGTAAGAATCAGGCTTCGTGTTGTACCTGGTTGGGAATAAAACCTCAGTCTTTAGCATGATGAGCAAAAACTTGAACCACCAACCCCTGAAGGTCCGGGTTAGAATATTGGCTTCAGTAACCCATGCTTGTCGTAAGAGGTGACTAACAGGATCGGGTCGTCAGGCGCACTGACTTGGTTGACACATGTCATCATATCCCAACTGTGCAGTACGATGCTCATGCTGTTGATCACTGGATTGTCTGGTCCAGACTCAATTATTTACAGACCGCCGCCATAAATCTGGAATATTGGTGAGTGCGGCGTAAAACTAAACTCACTCACTCACACACTTAAACAACCAGACCACACCACTTCATACAATGAATCACCATTATGGTTTGATCTTTAGCATCATTTCATAAATCCAACATCAAAGAAGTTAGTTATCTCCCAACATCCACGAATGCCTGTAAACATGCCATGTTTTTTCAAGGACCGATATCCTGCCCTTATAATACCCTGGTTATAATGTCAAACTGGATATAATGCCATTTGCCAATGGGTTCAAACAAATAACCCAAACAACCAGCCAACCATTTCAAGAGGCCATATCAGGCAAGTCCCGGGGTTGACAACACACACACACACACACACACACACCACACACACACACCCAAAAAAAAAAAAATTCCCTGAGCAGCATTCCCTCCCCCTAACCTTTGGACTCCATGATTTATGTTGTGACTAAAAATCTCAGCTCTCTTAAAAACACCCTGCCACTTACTACAAAGAATAGGGGAGGTGAGGTGAAATTGGGTTTAACGTCGTGCTTGAGAATATTTCGCTCATATGACGATGTGCATGGGTGTGCATGTGTATGTGCAGCTGCTTGTACTAGCCCAGACAGAGGCTGGTTTTATAGTGCTAGCCCACTGAGATACCATGCCGCAGTGAAGCACCCCACTCAGACACATTATTCTGACTCCGAGCCGACCAGTCCTTGTTGTACCCATTAATGCTGAACGCCAGGGAAGGACCAACAAGTACCATATTTTAACGTCTTTTGGTATGAGGCGGTCGGGAATCGAACCCGCGACCTTCCACTCTCCAGGCGGACGCTCTAACCACTACACCACGGAGGCAGTCACAAGGAATAGAGTGGTATTAAATATCAAGATGGCTACGATACTATTAATTGTGAATACCCCATCTTGCGTCAGCTAAAACAACTTATTTTTTATACATGTACCTGAGATGAAATGATCCCCACATATACGGCTGCATTTGCTTGGTGTGGCATTCGCATCTTTGAATATTGCCAGTGTCCATTTTGTTCTTGCTTCACAATCGCATGGGATCCTGTAAAATTCTAGGCTTGACTGCTTAGTGAATCTGTTCTTACATCTCGGAACACAGCAAGTTGTTACCATTGTCAAGCGTTAGATTCGCATTTGAAACTGATACTTAACAAAGTGATATTGCCCACGTCCTCGCTGCACTTTAGTGCCAACCAGTACATGCGCATGCGTTTGGAACTGAACGGTGCGTCATTCGTCAGTATAGCATATTTCTTCCAAACTCCGCACATTGTCTTCTAACGCTGTTTGCAAAGGCACACACATCCTACGTTGCAGCATGGAGTTCAAATACTCCGTACGCCGCTTCAACGAGTCGCCTGCAGTCGCCTCTCCCTGAGATTCATATTAGTCTACAGGACATGGTGATGTTGAGAGTTTATATATAGTCTATATTTAGAAACGAAATCTCCAATCCTGACGGTAAGTCCTGACTCGCTCATCAGAGAGCCAAGCATGTTGACATGACATGTGCAATGGATTTATAATTGAAGCGTACTAGCTACAGCCTACAATGAAACCACCAATACATTGCCTATATGGCAATTGCAAATATACTGATAAGACTGCAGCTGTTGACGATATTTCGTTTGTACGATTTCCGAAACCTTTGACTCAAAGAATCCGCAAACGAGTACAGAAATGGTTGGATGCATGTGGAAGACACGACATCACTGTCAGTTTTGTGGAGAAAAATTATAACAAGTGCTACCTGTGCGCTAGCCATTTTGTTGGGGGTGATGGCCCGACCAAGCTACGTCCAGACCCCATATGTTTTCAAATAGAAGAACCATCAGAGGTAAACATGCATAATACAGAGCAAATATCGGCAATTTTGTAAAAATGAGAACCAATAATTATTTTAAGTGCAACAAAAGAAGTGCTGAAATAATATTGATGGGGGGTGGTACCACAACTGTTTCAGTACAGGTAGAACCATTTAGGCAAAGAACACTCAACACTAGCTAAGATACATAGCGTTCACTGACATGAACAGCATTCATGTCAGTGAACGCTATGTATCTTAGCTAACTCAACACTAGCTGAGAGATGCAAAGTGGTCCTTATACAGTCAAGACATGATTCAGCATACTGTTTAAAGCAGCATTAGACCCTTAATTCTCACTCAGATAATCTCCCATAGAACTTAGGAAGGCGTTTCCTATTCTCGTGGTACTTACGGATATCGGCTGAAAAAAATAACACAGACAATTCTTATCGTATTAATGAATGTTGTTTTTAAATGAAGGGCCTTTTCCTCTAACATCTACATTTATCAGCTGCCAGATCCATCAGGTGAATTACCACTCGTGAGCCCGTGAGATAAACAATGCCATCCGCCATTGACGAAACGAGGCTTCTCCCATTCTCGCGGTATTACCAGGAATTAACGTTATTGAGTGTATGTAAGAGCAATCCTGCCGGAAAGGGCGGGTAAAAGTAGTGATATGTCAAAGTTGGTATAAACTCCCCAATATTTGTGACACTGCAAGATTTTGAGGATCACAGACTTGGGCCACTTCCTAGTTACCAGTCGGGTGTAAACAACTGCTAACCACAAGATCGGCGATTCGCAGAAGGCGGTTTCCTCGAGAATAGAGACGCACCTATACAATATATAAAGTGTATGAGTGGTAAAGCATCCGATTTCATTGAGATTGATTTATTGAGGAGATAATTTACATTAAAAAGAAAATGATGGTATCTGCCAGTGGAAATTCTTTTGTATCAGTTTGTAAAGGCAGTGGGTTGACCTGGTGAATAATGCATTTGTTTGTGACACAGAAGACCTGACATTGATTCAGCACATGAGTCCATTTTGTGAAGACCATTTCAGGGGTCCCATGATACAGCTGTAATATTGCTAAAAATGATATAAAAAAGCCAACTCACTCGTCAGATTGTATTCCAACTGGTGAAGCCCATTTCTGGTGTCCCCTGCCGTGATGTTGCTGGAATATTGCTAAAAGCGGTGTAAAACCAAACTCAGTCAGTCAGTCAGTATAATCCAACTGGCTCTTTATCCGACAATAACCTGATTAAGAATGAGGACAATTTTTATGGATGTTCAAATTCTTTATTCTGTTTAGGCGACGTTTTTACATAGGTTCTAATGTTGTTGTCAAGCAAGAGCCTATGTTGAAACGTTGCCTATACAGAATAAAGAAGTTGTATATCCATAAAATTCCTCATTCTTCATCTCCTCAACTTCCAGAATGCCAATCAAAGAAATAACATGGTTGAAAATGAATATTGATCATTGTGATCAATTATCATTTGGCAACTTACTAACAGATAACTTTCTTAATGCAAGGACACTGACAGCAATGAAGAAGACTGTATGGATGAGGACCAGGCTGACCCAGGGCCCACGGACAAGGTAAAGCAGACTGAAGTTAGGATTGATAATCCTCCTTGTGTATTTTGATTTAGAACATGACACTACCAAGCTCACGCTTCAAGCTTTAATGGTCAGTGAACCTTTCTGTCACCTTTTGTTTTTTGGTGCATGTCCAGTTCGTTGAGAATTGCAACTTGTGAAAAATATGTTAACCTCAAAATAACTTGTGTTGTTTACAATTGATAGCAACACTTTTAGTTTGTCCAATAATCTTAATCATCATGGATACTGTCTAAGCTACAGGGATTTATAGGTTTATAACTTGTTTGAAAATATATCCTGGCAAGGTTTTGCTGCTGTCATGTTGCCATACATTGATATTCTCATGTAATTGATGCCAAGGTGGAAAAGGTCTCTGACTGTGACTGTAGGAATCATCCTTCCACGTTATGCAAACACACACTTTCAAAAGGGGCGTTAAACCCAACTTACCCATTAATCTTTTCCAGAATGCTAAGGTTTGCTGTGTGAATCACTGTGGATCTGTGTCTCGCCGAGACAGGTTGACCACCTTCTACCCCATCCCCCAAGATGACGACCAGCTCCAGCAGCGGTGGAGAGATGCCCTGAGACTGGGGACAGGTTCCTGTGCAGATGATCTGTATGTCTGCAGCAAGCACTTCATATCAGGTGAGGGGACCCAGATACAACTGCAGTCAAACACTGTTGTGTTGAAGTTGAAGGGACCTTTGCAATTCGTAAAGTTATTCAAGGTTCAACACAACCGAAAAATGAATGAATAAAAGAAGAATACTAAAGGACCTAGGTTTTACTTGGAGACAACCATAAGGTCGACACTACAGTTTGTCTGTAAGTGCTTGTCAGATGGTCAGGTGGCAGTGGGGTAGCCCAGTGGTTAAAGTGTTCGCTCGACACGCCAAAGTCCCGGGTTCGATTCCCCACATGGTTACAATGTGTGAAGCCCATTTCTGGTGTTTCCCCGCCCTGATATTGCTGGAATATTGCTAAAAGTGGCGTTAAACCATACTCACTCACTCAGATGGTCAGGCTAGGTCTCTTGGTTTATAGTGGGGTTTCTTTTCACCCTGACAAAGCATCCTTGCTTTGGTTTCTTATAGTCAGTGTTTTAAAAAGTATTTACACAGCTTGTCATGCTGACATATGTTTGACAACATTGCATTTGAATATACCTTTGATGTATTTATGACATACTTGTAGTGATCAAAACTTGATCTTATCCCCATATGGATGAAATAATGTCAGTCAATTATTAACTCACTACTCTTTAGTCAACATCTATCATTCTCACCTGATGTAATTGTTTTCCAGGCTTCAAGTCCAACTTCCCTGCACACCCAGACTATATACCATCTATTCTTCCATCATCATCTGTCCATGATATAAAGGCACTGAGAAATACTCTCACGAGAGTAAGTCAACAATCCTGTCATATTTCTCCAATGTATATTCCATATCAGAGTAGATGCCTTGTGTTTTATGTGTTGCACAGAGAGGCACAGGTAGCTTGGTTGCTTGGGTGTTCAAAACACTTTTTGTCAGTGCTCAGATTTGACCCAACGTTGACACCAAGCTTTAGGTATTCATTTTTTTAAGTCATCATGTGAATGAAATATTTTGCATCCACATTTCTGAAGTCATTTACAGAATCAATATTACTATGAAGCTTGAAATTAATTTGATTTAAATGCTTAAATGTGTGTCGTCTTTGCTCGCATTAATTACGGATCGTTCATAATTCATGGCTAGGGGGATGATGATTTTAAGGGGGAGAGGTGTCACCCATTTTGTTCTGGGGAGGTGTGTGTGTGTGGGGGGGGTTTCATCAATTTTGTACACACATACTAAGGGGGTCAGCAATTTTGTACATAAATATATGGGAAGGAGGGGGTCATTGATTTTGTACATGACATGCAGGGGGTCACTTATTTTGTACATACATTTTAGGGGGGGTCATTCATATTGTACATTCTTCTCCATAAAAATCATCATCACCCCTCCTAGCCATAAATTATGAATGGTCCCTAATAAACTTCACAGCATTCATTTTGAAATGACTGTTACGATAATGGCATATTTTGGAAAATGGAAACACCAAGATTAGTATATAAACAAACAAGTCTCAATTTCAAATCATCGTTTATTTAGCAGCAGTTTAACAAGTATGTAAAGGTAACAATACATCCTTCAAACACTAAAAATGCATAACGGACATGCAGAGAGTTAACATTATCATTGCTGCTGCCCACAGCTCAACTGGCTCGTGTCTCACTGAGGAGTCCAGACAGACGCTACACATGCAACATAATTTCTTTGTTCAAAGGCCATGACGACATAGCATGCATGGATAGGCGTTATGACACTTATCCTTAGATCTACAGATTTGTTGTCTGCCGTCAAGTTAGTTGACACTGTCTCCGCATATCAATCGGTGAACAATGATGTAACAGATATACTGTTAGAAAACAGCATTTAACACAACAAACCCACATGAATATCATACCTGAATTAATGCTGAGTTGCATTTTTTACTGTGGGCAATCAGCTGCATTAATTTGGAGGCGTATTAGTTTCAAGATATCTAATTAGCTATGAAATATGTAAAAACAGAGATGCACATATAGTAATCTGTAATTAAAGATGGTACACTGTGATATGTATTTTAAATGTGAAGTTCACTAGTTGTTGGTCAGATGACTTTGAAACTGCGTTGTAATGTTCATAAATATATAAATTTTACCTTGACTTGAGTATTGAAATGACATAAACACTGATGAACTACTTCCACCTTCGTGGGATAACCTCTCCCTGACAGAATAAATATAGAAATGGTGTTTCTTATCATACAGACCCTTTAATCTGAAACCTTTTCTGACGTTCAGCCCTTGCTCACACACCATCACACAAAGTGAAAGTTTTTAGATATTATTCCCAGCTAGTAGAAAGAAAGGGATTTGTCATGTGAGTTGGGGTAGAATAATGTCTTCAGCAACCCATGCTTGCCACAAAAGGCGAAATTATGCTTTGTGATGTGAAGAGGCTTTGTTAACTAACGGATCGGGTGGTCAGGCTCGCTGACTTGGTTGACACATGTCATTGTATCCCAATTGTGCATGTCACTGACCTGATAAGCTCATGCTGTTGATCACTGGATTGTCTGGTCCAGAGGTCTTCGACCCATGCTTACAAAAAGACCGCTGCCATATAGCATTGAATATTGCTGATGCTGTTGATCACTGGATTGTCTGGTCCAGACTCGAGCATATAGCTGGAATATTGCTGAGTGCAGCGTAAAACTAAACTCACTCACTCACTCATGCCCGTAGGTTTCACCAAGGGGCGACGATATCAGACCTGTATTGTCATAGGTTTCCTCCCACATCACGGTGACACACTAGGATATAACTGATTTACTGTTACAAAACAGCAATTAACACAACAAACTCACATGAATATCATATCTGCATTTATGTTCTTCATTTTTATTTATCAGTCTTTCCTTTCCAGATTTGAAAGTGGCAGTACTGAGAAAACAATGAAGAACAACTGCATGTCTTTGAAACGACACTGGTTTGAATGTGGTTTCACCAACGTAGATCTGCAACTCGGCATGAAAAGGGTGAAAGCTGTCAAACGTGCGCAGGAACATACAAAATGCCAAGAACTACAGATATTAAAAGAAGCCAGATTAAAAAGAAAATATGGAAATAAGTTTAATGTAGGCCATGGATTGCAAGAAATCAAACAAGAACAAGATTCAGAATTTGAACAGAGGGATGAGGAATTTGTGATCGAGAATGAAAGGACAGAGGAATGCCAGGAAGACTGTGATGACTTTGATTTTTCTGTTGTCAAACAAGAACCAATGTCAGAAAGCAGTGTTGACATTAAAACAGAGGACAACCAGAATGGGTTATCTTGGTCTGATTCAGGTTCATTATGTCCTCGAGAAGAGGAGGATATGGAGTCCTCATGTTCCAAGGGACAAGTGGAAGAAGACTTCTGTTCTAAAGAACATGCAGGACAGGGTTCTTTTTCTAAAAATGGCCCTTGTCCCTTCACTGTGGTGAGGACAGATGGGAAAGTCATGATGTCAGAGAAGGGAATCAAGACAGAACCTGGAGACAATGAGTATGAGGAGGCAATGGCACCAGCGGTCAACAAAACCAGCCAAGACCTCTGCGATGAGATGCTGTGTGTTCATTTTGGTGGTCCAAAGGAAAGCCGTCGAAATCTGGAAACTGCTTCTACTGACTTTGAATGTATTACCAACAGTGATAATAGCAGCAGTGTTTTTGAACCAAATGTGAACAGTTTCAAGCAAGTTGATGATATATGGAATGATAGAGGTAAGGTATTAAGTGTTCCATTTGTGGCACTTAACCCTGGGACGCCCAGATCTGATGACTCAAACAAAACAACTTTTGAGGTTCCAAGAGAAAATAACATCACACTTCTTAGTGATCAAACTTCAGGTCATGTCAAGAAAAGTTGCAGGAATCTGAAACTTTGGTTAAAAATGACAAAGGGAATGACACAAAGGGATAGATAAGAATGGTTGTAATTTTGAAGGTTTGAGTGTTGGTCTGGATCAGAGACAAAGATGTTCAAATTCAGGAGTTGACAAGATGTCACATATTTCTGATGGTAATACTGCTGATATGTTGAAGAAAACTGAGGATGTGGGAGAATCACAGAGAAAACAAGAAGGTCCAGGCCCTGAAGTAAATACGTTGGCACAAGAACAAGAGGACAACGCCTCAGCCGCAGGACATGGTTCTGTTGATGGCCCTCAAGCCAGTTTGACATGTGGAACACCAGCACACTTAGAGGCAAATCCTGACCCTCTTGTAGGCGACACATTCACCTCATCAGATTCAGCATCAGTACCTCCAGTGTCCGAGGATCCAAATTCCAAAATGTGCCAGACAGAAAAAAGTATATCCAAGGAATATACTTTTGAAAAAATACTGGAGCAAATGAAAATCCAGTTAACGTCATCAGAAATGAAAAGCCTGCTCAAGGAGAAAGTGGACACACGTGGAAGGTGTCGATCATTTCAGAGAAAGGGGAGAACCATGGTAAATACTGGTGTTCAGTCAATTACAGATAAACCAGTTCTTCATGACCTCAATATGCAGTGTGTGCGATTAAACAGAGAACTTATGCAACACAGAACGAAACTGAAAAGCCTCACCTATGATTTCTTGGACAAAGGATCGAAGGTGACTAAGGGGAATGTGTTGCACCACACAGGCTGTTACACGTCTGCCTCCCTTGTAGAGCTGTATCAGTATGTTTCAGTATGCTTGGAAACACCTCCTCTCGATGACATCTCAGACTCCCAGGAATTCATTTTGACTCTTATGAAACTAAGACTTGGTCTCCACAATTATGACCTGGCTTTTCGATTTCAAATCGATCCCACCAATGTCCCACGAATTTTGAACAAGTGGATCTCCATCTTCTTCAACACTCTTTCCCCATTGATCATGTGGCCTGAATCAGAACCTGAAAGAATAGAATATAGAAACCAAAGATGGAGACTGCTGAAACTTAGGTATTACCTTCTTATGGCTTATGATGGTATTGACAGCATGAAGGACGACTGGCTGATGGAGCAAAATGTGGATGAAATTATCAAGATCTGTGATGTTCTCAACAGTTTTATTGTTCTGGAAAAACAGTGACTAAATATGTTCCAATTCTGCCAGAAACATCACCTTTTTTCATTGAACAGACAAAACCGGTTGCTATTGTAGGAGGCTATAGTACAATGGAAAAATCCAAAGAAACACATGATTCTGCGACAAATGAAGACAATATCAACTCGAATAAACCAAAGTGTACAGAAAGTCAAGACAAACAAATGGATGAAGAAACTATTTCAGGTAAAACAAACGATATTGAAGAGCATGTCGTTTGTGCTCAAACACAAAACGGAAATGTGTCAAAATCCATCGAAGACATTCCGCAGAGAGTGAGTGATGATATCGACAGGGAACTTGATCAGGAGAAGGCCGTTGACCAAGAAAGCCTTCAACAAGACTCCACTGAGAGAAGTAAATATGCAGCTCAGAAGGAAGTTGATATATTTAGAGATGTCCAACTTGATGGTCTGGGGAAGGAGAATGGTTGTAAGATAATGACATCAGTGAGGGTGATAACCAAGGGTAGGGGAATCATGATAGGGCCTCCCGTTGAGGAAGTGCAGGTTGGGACAACACCCTCGCGGGAGAGGGCAACATTGCTCGACTTCAAGAAGGTCTGCACCATTATTGCAGATGATGAAGTGACTGCATGGACTGAAAAATGAGACTTGTATCTCTGGTTGTTTTACAACGATGGCTTGTCACTGTTTGATCTTGAGACAAGCAGCATTAAAGAGCTTTGTCCATTAACTTCTTTCAGTGGCATGTTAGAAGCTGGGAAGTACAAAATAGACAAACTTTACGGATAACAACTTCATTATTACGAGAGTGCAACAGATGTGTACTGTTGTCAATGGTACAAGAATCTGTATATCTCGAAACGCCACACTCTTGTAATAAAGAAATTGTTATCCATAAGGCTTGTTCAATTTGTAGCTTTGTCCATTGTCAGCTATGATCCACTGATCATGGGTTTTGAGTCCCCACCCTCCAGGTAATGATCCTTGTTTTCACCAACATACCCATGATAGCTGCGTTCATGTAGCTTGAGTATTGCCTTAAACAAAAAACAAATAAATGGCTCCAGATTTCAAAACATTGTATCATTTAATTGTGTTGGATGGTCACTAAAGACAACATGTTTAGAGTACATGTTTAGAATATCTTGATGTGAAGTGTGCTTTTTTCAGCTGAGGGGGATATAGTCTGTCTGGTCTATTACTCTGATACACCATACATCTTGATTCCATCTTGCTCTACAAACAAATGTTCCATTTTCTACTCCCAGTAGTATTTTGTAGTTTTCTGAATAATCATGATGATGATAAAATTATTGTGCAGATAGGGAAGGCCACTTTTACTCTGTGATTTACTGGTCTGAGCTAAAATTTCAAGCTGGGTTTACACTTTTATCTGTCATTAGACTGTAGTAAACTGTGGTAATTACAATTTTAGGACTGCCCCTGTGGTCTATTGGATGGAGGTTCTGTCCAGAGTGGAAGGTCTGCATTAACCTTTACCCCTGCTGGGCCCCATTCACTCACTCACTCACTCACTCTTTCAATCAGGTGGTCGGGGATGACTTATTTGATTTTTGTTTCAATATACTAGTTTTAAGTGGGACCTACCCATATTATCAATCACTGGTTTGTCGATCATACTCGCACTCCAGTAAATGATTGGGTTAGGGACCTCTGGGGCGCTGTAGGATTCAAGGTCGAATCCCGCTATCTGTCTAACACACATGCCCCTCGCAAGCAGTGATAAACAACTCCCACCATTATTAATATTATGCTTGACCCGCTCAGAGAGCATCTTCAGCCCAGTAACATTTGTGGTATTGCTAAACATGTAATAAGACGTAATCTCTTGGGGTTTATGACATTAGAGCCGTATCACGTGATCGCGTCCGGAAGTTACCAGAAAAAGGACAATGGCAAGAACTATCTATGTAAAGATGTGCTATTGCTAAATGGGAAATTATCAGCCAAGCAGCCCGCGAACAACAAACGTGAAATAGTCTCAGCTCACGTTCCTTCTATCCATGATGTCGTATACAAAGACACGTCGCAGCGTTGGTTTTACGACACCACAAAATTCAGCCTTGTAGAACAGGTTTAATGTCTACATGCACGTCATAAAAAAACATAAAAATATTTAAGCAGAACGATATCTTGTATTGTGTAAACGACTTGAATGGTTTTGTGAAATGGCCTTGGACGTTATGTAGGATGTATTCTATCTCTTGGTTAAGGACGAGGATTTGAACGGCTGAACATATCATTTTCACAGAGGCGGTGTTTATACTTGTTTGGTGCATTACGTCACAGACAATTATATTCCAGGTCATGTTATATGTTTTTCTAAACGCCACACTCAACGATATGACAGCTAACTGAGGTCGATCGTGATCTGGACCAAACGATACAAACGATTGACATGAGCATCCGTCCAGGATACATACGACGTGCTATAGCAGACAGTCCCGAGCCTGACCTTATCCATTTTGTTCGTTCTGACGACGAACAGGTTGCTGAAGATCTATAATCTTTACGGATTACACTTTCTCAGTAAAGTACAGGGGCGGTAATCATAAAGCTTCTAAGAATTGTCTTAGTTTTTAACTTAAGTTTCCCGCCGTGATGTTGCTGGAATATTGCTAAAAGCGGCGTAAAACCAAACTCAGTCAGTCAGTACTTAAGTTTCCTTAAGAATTCTTAAGTTTAAGAAAAATTCTTAGTTTCTATCTTAACCCAAACTAAGAACAAATCTTAGCTAAAAATGTTCTTACAAGAATTCTTGTAGAGTCCCATCCGGGATACGAATCCACGCCCTCAGAGTCTGGCACCAAATCGCCAGCACACTAAGTCAGCCGCCTGACCCATCCAGCCACCGCAGCTTCCGCTGTACTAGAATCAGTGCTTCACTGAGAAAGAGTAACATCAAATATAACGTGTTACATTTGACCTAAATGGCATTGTCTATTCATATAGTGAAGGGGCGGTGGTGAAGCCCAGTGGTTAAAGCGTTCGCTCGTCACGCCGAAGACCGGAGTCGATTCTTCACATGGGTACAATGTGTGAAGCCTATATCTGATGTCCCTCGCCGTGATATTGCTGGAAATATTGCTAGAACGGCGTAAAACTAAACTCACTCATATGTAGTGAAACATCCCATATCCGGAAATCTCGTCATCAATACTTTACCCGTTCAACACGTATACTTGTATACAGCCCCGGTTGTTTCAGTGGAGTCAGGACGTGCTGGAGAACGAATCACTGTAGTTATATCGACACCGGGCCAACATTCCGACTGTTCTTAAACACAACCATTGATCTGAACACAGACACAGAGCAGGACACTACCCGGTGTCCTACCTCATTACATGTGTGACTGAATATATCTTCTTGCCTTATAGTATAACGCGATTATCACATTCAAACCCATATGAATACTTTGCAATGCTACTTGGCTGGAAAACGTTAAATCACACGTGACTTAAACGCGTTTCAGTGGGAGTCGTCATCGTCAGTAGATATCGACTGAACATTTCTCGCACAAGAAACAACTGAGACAACGCCGTAGAACCCGATGTCTGTTGGACACACTCGTACAACCAATTTCTGAAACTGCAGCTACCTCGATTATTATACACTGTATACACTGTATGCAATATTTGTGCAAGCGTCCATGTATGGAGGGGCGGTGGGATAGCCTAGTGGTTAAAGCGTTCGCTCGTCACGCCGAAGACCCGGGTTTGATTCCTCACATGAGTACAATGTTTGAAGCCCATTTCTGGTGTGGTTCCCCGCCGTAATATTGCTGAAGCGGCGTAAAACCAAACTCACTCACACTCACTGACTCCATGTATGGTTGAATTCTGGTAATTGCTACCACGGCGCTGAATTGTGCTCGCTCAGTTTAGAAGTCCAACCATTATATATGTATAACGTGTATTTCATTAAATGGTCTGTCAGTCTTAGCAGTTTATTAAAGAATATAGCACGTGTCTTTCGGTCAGATAACATCGTATCTACAACACGATGCGGATGCGTAGCGAATATAGGTAATTCAGTCACGCACTTTCTCAGCGCGTGTGACAGTCCCCAGTTATCGTGTTGAGAAGTGTGTATCTTGAAAACGTCCTTGACATTTGTAACAGTCTGCTGACTGAACACTCATTCAGGCACAGACCCACGAGTAGTAACATTCGACTCTCACTGCCTCCGTCCAGAATGTCGTCGTTTGCTCCTACATCATCTGACTCTGGTCCTGCGGTTGCACAGTATGAAAAGTATGATGGACCTGATGCCGAATTTTTCCCAGGTATGTTAAATCAGAGTTTGTAAATTTAACGCCGCATTTGTCGACAGCATGACTAAATGTCAGAGATGTCAAACTTATCCTTTCAGAAAAGAAGTACATTGACATGAGTATTGAAGTATATTTATGAAGGACGAATGTCCTCGCCACGTAAACACGCTTTAGCTGAGTAGAATGGGGATAGTGGAGTGGAGGCTAGCGTTGTCGTGTTGTAATGCGGCCTGAGTAACCCGATATACGGTGGGCGGCGACGAAAGACGCCTGCAGATGTGAACAAGCTTATCTAGCAGGAGAAACAAAGGGGAGTCGGAGTAAGGATTCATGATATGAATTGACAATACTATCACTTCTCGTCATAAGGTGTATATATGATCCCATTTTATTGGGTGACATTCAACCTTTCATAATGATTTCGTTATCTAAATATTCTCACGGGCAGATTCCGGGAAGACCGATAGTGATGAACAATGATTGTCACGGAAGGCTAAGAAAATGTGCCGTGTGTGGTCACGTTGTTGTATATTGGGCTAGCCACAAGGCGATCTAAGCATTAAGACTCCCAGTACGTGCAATGATACTAAGATGTAATTTTGGGGGGAACAGGCCCCAGTTTGACCGCCTGTCATCGTACTGCGTGGTTCGAGGCTGGCAACCAAAGGTTTGTCTGGTCCAGATTCGATCTCTTGATAAGACAAGACCGAGGCTGTGGGGCGTACGCAAACGGTCAGCTCTTTAAATCAAGTATAGCAGGTGACACGTTGGGAATCTATGATAACTTATTTATAAGTAGAGAACTAATTTCGGTGATATATGTTTGTGTGGCAGTGTAACATCGACCAAACTCTACAACATTGTCGACGGACTTTAATACATGCTCTACCCCAACGTAGTGTGATACATGTGGAATACCAACAGGAGGTCCCACATACGAAACGACAATACCAAAATACTGTTATGAAATAGGACAATAGTTCTGATATCTGGCGAACGAAATCCAGTCATAAGGGACAACTACTCACATCTTGCTTACACGGGAGTCTTTCATGTATTACTTGCCATTTCAAACCTTTCAAAGCACCATATGATTGAACCATGGGGATTCCCGCCATAAACTAGGCCAAGCAAAGTTATGAATACACTATTTCATTGTTATATGTGTATATGTACAAATCGATGAGATCCCCAGAGTAATCTAATTTTACGTTAAAACTTCAAACACTTTAAAAGTTGACATGAATAAAATGTACAGTGCATCTTCAGAAATGTTTACAAAGACATCACAAAAACCCGGCAGAACCTAATTTGCGAAATTTTGTTGCAAGATTTCCCCCGAAAAGTGGGGTGGTGGTGTAGTCGTGTGGTTAAAGCTCTCACTCGTCACACCGAAGGCGCGGGTTCGATTCCCCACTTGGGTACATTGTGTAAAGACCATTTCTGGTTGCTGGAATATTGCAAAAAGCAGCGTAAAGCCGAATTCATTCACTCTTTCGCCATATCTGTCCCACGACGACGCCATTACATGCATGCCCCAAGCTGTTGCTGCAGTTGTCAGTTACAGTATCATGGACCTGTGAAGGTCCGGGTTAGAATATTGGCCTTCAGTAACCCATGCTTAGTAAGAGGCGACTAACGGGATCGGATGGTCAGGCTCGCGGACTTGGTTGACACATGTCATCGGCTCCCAATTGCGCAGATCGATGCTCATGCTGTTGATCACTGGATTGTCTGGTCCAGACTCGATTATTTACAGACCGCCGCCACATAGCTGGAATATTGCTGAGTGCGGCGTAAAACTAAACTCACTCACACTCACTACAGTGTCATGTGGTGCACCACTCACTCAGCACTCCATTCCATGGCTTGCAGCTGGGTGTCCACAACACAGGAATACACACATTGAGGAATGTATGCCAGCGGGGCATGTTGAGGCTTGATGACATCGACGCTGTCCCCATATCGACGTTGTCAGGGAGAATGTGCTGATATGGAACTTGATCAGGGCCATCCTAGCGATAACGCTGAACAATTAACTACACTTCTATAGTGGCAGGTCATTCTGATAATGATTGTGACAGGAAACAGCCTCCCATTACAAGGTTCTGCTGGTACTGGGGGTGTAGGGGTAGCTCAGTGGGTAACGTGATCGCTCTTGGTTCGATTCCCCACATGGGTACAATGTGTGACGTCCATTTCTGGTGTCCCTGCAGTGATATTGCTGTAATATTGCGTAAAGACAACCAACATGCTGGTATTGCATGGGCGGGTCCAGAAATTTTCGGGTGGGGTGGCTCTGCCATTGCAGTCATTAACCAGGCCACAGATAAGGGATTCCATGCTTATCTGTAAATGTCCTTGAAGGGTGATGACGGGGGACTCGTCTTTAATGTCGGTCTATAGTCTGTTTGCGGTGAGAACGTACCGATGAATTTCACTTTAAACAAAGAAGTAAATCAAATAAAGTGAAATTAAGATTGCGAATCCTCATAATTTTACCTTGCCATTTGAAAATTTAAATCTCAGAATTCTATTTTACTTGGGATGAAAGTTGTTTAACAAACGATCATAGTTTCAAATCGCTATTATTGGTTTGTATTACAAGGGGGTATGCACATAAAATGAAACACCGCGATCAAGTAGGGTTGGTCTAAGTTAACGCTCATCACGTACCGCACGTGCATTTGTTTCACTGTCCAACTACTTGGCTTACCCCCTTGTAATACAAACCAATAATAGCGATTTGAAACTATGATCGTTTGTTAAACAACTTTTTTCATAAGTTGAATAAAAATCTAAGATTCAAATGCTCAATTGGCTAGGTAGAATTATGAGGATTCGCAATCTTAATTTCACTTTATTCGATTTACATTTTTGTTTAAAGTGCAATTCACCGGTACGTTTTCACTGCAAACAGACTATAGACCGACATTAAAGACGAGTCCCCCGTCATCACCCTTCAAGGACATTTACAGATAAGCACGGAATCCTGTGGCCTGGTTAATGACTGATCGATTTTACACCGCTCTAATCAGTAATATGCAGCCAAGAGGAAGTCGGTGAAAATGAGATCACACACATTGTATGTACCAAGAGGGGAAGCGAACCCGGCCCTTCTTCGCTAACCTATACCCTTTGGATAATTACTAGTATACACGTGTCCATACCAGTGAACTATATGGCTGATTAAGGGAGAGGTGTTCGATTTGTTTTCACCTTAACTACGTATATTTGCACAAGTGTCTTTAAGACACACTGCCCATTGTTTGTATAATGTAGGCACCGTCATTTAAAACGAAACGTCGCGGGTATTCCTGGTCGGAACACGTGCAACCCATGCTGATTGCAACTGAATATTAGATTTCTGGTCATCCATCTATAATCCACTTTTCTGGTCCAGATTATCTACAGGCAGTCGTCATATTACTGGAATATTGTTAAACCAGCTAAAACAGCCGCCAATTCAAACTAAACGACGATATAATATGGAAGCTATGTGTAAGAGATGGAGGTGTCCAAATATAGCCATTGTACCATATTTGTACTTTATTAGAAATGTACTATACACTGAATAATCGATGATGCGATGTAACTGAAATACCTGTCAGTTGAACGACACCTACCAATACATTTTATTGTCAAATATCTCTTTCGAATTTTTGACAAATTAGGACCTATTTTGCCCATGAATCATTATAGAATGAAAAAGAGGAAATTGAAATATATGAAGCTGTTATGCTCAGCCCAGCGCCTCGGTGTAGTCTTATCACAACGACTCACATTACAAAACAAACTCTCATTAACCTGGAATCTATCCGTGATGACGCGGGGTCCTAGAGGAAGGCCCTTGACGTTGAGATATCTCACGATAATGGACTGTGACAGTTGTTATTCTTGGAGTGTGCTGTCACTTAGGATAGCTAATCTATCTCTCCATGATTACACACTACAGTCTATCTAGGGACGAAATGGTGGCCCCTTCACACACGAAACAACCACGTTCGAATCTCATCATGGTTACTATGTATGAAGCTCCTTCTTGGTGTCCCCGTTGTGATGTAGCGAGAACATTGAGGTCATTTGCTCGGTAGGACAAAACCACGCCACATTACAGCCCACAATGATACCGCCTCCGTGGTGTAGTGGTTAGAGCGTCCGTCCGGAGAGCGGAAGGTCGCGGGTTCGATCCCCGACCGCGTCATACCAAAAGACGTTAAAATATGGTACTTGTTGGTCCCTCCCTGGCGCTCGGCATTAATGGGTACAACAAGGACTGGTCGGCTCGGAGTCAGTATAATGTGTCTGAGTGGGGTATTCATGCTTCACTGCGGCATGGTATCTCAGTGGGCTAGCACTATAAAACCAGCTTAAGTCTGGGCTAGTACAAGCAGCCGCACATACACATACACACGCATGCACGTCGTCATATGAGTGAAATATTCTCAAGTACAACGTTAAACCCAATTTCACCTCACCTCACCTCACCCACAATGACCTATACGGGATCTGGAATCATGCAAAACAGTCAGTTTAAATGAGACAATCCCAACAGATATAGATTCTTCTAATCACGAATCTCTTCACTCAGTTTTAACAAGTCTCAATCATAGTCGTATTTGTATGCTTGAAATTTATAAGGTCACATTCTTCCTTAAGGTATTGGGAAGATAGAGTTCAAGCCTGATGGCGGGCCAGCTGACACCCTGGTGTATAAACAGTATAATCCATCCGAGGTAGGTATATCCTCATAGCTACATCTCATAAAGGCAGGGTTTAGGCTCTCGGTCCATGTTGATGAATCCATCTGAATTTGATTCGTTGCAGGGACACGAAGCTATGCATTAACATCATAATCACTGCCCCACTATCCTGAATAGTGATATATAGCACTTTATTTATAGCTAAATTGCAGATCAATGTGACGCCATCGGTTACCACGATGTCACAATCAAACAACGTTACGAATCGCTATCAATATTAAACTGTAAGCTGTATTTGTTAGGGTCAGGACGGTGCTTCTTGTCGTTTACAAACTGAAAAAGCTGAAAAAATAATTTTGGATGATAATAGAATCTCACACTCGTTTCTTTTCATATCAAATATATCACCACTGATCGTTAAAAGTATATAACACCTCGTCACTGGGGTGAAAGCTTCAACTGATGTGTTGTTTCTACAGACGGTGCAGGGGAGGACGATGGAGGAGTGGCTGAGGTTCTCAGTGTGTTTCTGGCATACATTCAGAGGGACAGGTAATGAACTGTTTCAGACTGAGCTTACTACACTGACGTTCAAAAGAAAGTACACTCCAGGCGCTTTGAGATGTCCCAGGCACAACACTGTTAAGGATATCTGTGGTGCTTTGGCAACACGTACACAATGTTTGTGACTTGTAAGGTACAATGAAGACACTATTCAAAATATTTACGTTGTCTTTTTTGTGGAAAACATTCTAATTACATTCCACACGGAGCACGTCACTTTGCTGTTAGCTCGACAGTATTGAAGAATAATGTAGGTACTCCTAGAATTAGGGATTAGATATCCGAAACTGATTAAGTAAATTAAACCCCGAGCCTTGGCAAAAGATTAAAGCGGCGAAACCCGCGGCAAGAACTTGCATGGAGTGACAATTTTAAGCTGGGTTAAATCCTGATTAACCGTTGACATCAAGGTGCTGACCCCTTTGGTTTCCCGACCTTGAACCGACCATGGGACGACGGCAGTAACACCATCGCCAACGCCAAGAGGAGGCTGAGGGCAGGATTCGAGTTCTTCTCGAAACTTGGCGTCAGATACTGGACTTTCCATGACAGGTAAACACAAACATACACTGCAGCTAATACTTTCTATTGAAATATTTCTTGAATTACGATTTACGGAAGCCTGATTGATACCAAGCTTATAAAGCCACAGCGGGTGATATGTAGCTTACTGGTTATTCGGGCCATCCAACTAAATACCACAGTTTCATTCCCAACATGGACACTGCGTGTAACCCATTTGTGTTGTCACATCATTTGATACTTGCTGCACCTTTTCTATATATTTTTAAGAAAAGAAAAACAATTATGTTCTCATACACACAGTCATTTCTGCACCGCAAAAGTTCACACCATGCTCATTGCAACTCTTCTTGTTTTTCCGCCGACACAAATGGCCGACTGATCTGTAATACTGTTCACATGTGCACAAACCACACTCCCAGCATCCTGACTAGATCATACTCTGCTCACTGCCCACTCCCAGCATCCCAGCATCCTGACTCCCAGCATCCTGACTCCCAGCATCATGACTAGATCATACACTGCCCACTCCCAGCATCCTGACTCCCAGCATCATGACTAGATCATACACTGCCCACTCCCAGCATCATGACTAGATCATACTCTGCCCACTCCCAGCATCCTGACTCCCAGCATCCTGACTAGATCATACACTGCCCGCTCCCAGCATCCTGACTAGATCATACACTGCCCACTCCCAGCATCCTGACTAGATCATACACTGCCCACTCCCAGCATCCTGACTACATCATACACTGCCCACTCCCAGCATCCTGACTAGATCATACACTGCCCACTCCCAGCATCCTGACTCCCAGCATCATGACTAGATCATACACTGCCCACTCCCAGCATCCTGACTCCCAGCATCATGACTAGATCATACACTGCCCACTCCCAGCATCCTGACTCCCAGCATCATGACTAGATCATACACTGCCCACTTCCAGGGACATCGCCCCCGAGGGAAACACTCTGGAGGAGTCCAACAAGTACCTGGACGAGATCGTGGACCTGGCCGAGGAGCTTCAGAAGAAGACTGGCGTTAAGCTGTTGTGGGCAACCTGCAACCTGTTTGCCCATCCCAGGTAATTGCCATGGCAACCTGCAACCTGTTCGCCCATTTAAGGTAGTTGTAATGGCAATCTGCAACACGTTCGCCCGTCCCAGGTAATTGGCATAACAACTTGAAACATGTTCGCCCGTCCCAGGTAATTGTCATGACAATCTGCAACACGTTCGCCCATCCTATAGGTAACTGTCATGTCAGCATGCATCATGTTCGCCCATCCCAGGTAATACTGGGTGTGCTCCCTAGCTAGAGCTGATATAGATTCACCAAGTGGATGAAGTCAATATAGTCTCGTCCCTTTCTCTAACATACTTTGTGACACTGTATTTGCTCAAGACAAGATGTGTGTTTTGTTCCAACTACACTAGTAGGTGGGCACGCACGGTTATATGCCATCGTTACAAATGTGTATATAGTTATGGACAGTACCCCAAGAAAGAAACATCAATTTCAATAACCACAATATTACAAAATTACACAATACATCAAAGATGACAACCTGTGTCCTCCTCCGTCTGATAACATCCATTTACGCTACACATGTCACCATCGCATCTCCGTCACCATCGCATCTCCGTCACCATCGCATCTCCGTCACCAGGTACATGAACGGCGCCAGCACCAACCCAGACGCCCACGTGTTCGCGTTCGCGGCAGCCCAAGTGAAGAAAGGCTTGGAGGTCGCAAAGAGACTCGGGGCAGAAAACTTCGGTAGGCATGATCATACTGTTTCCAAGTGTTCAGCAAGCACACTTGTATTAGATTGTCGCCCTCGTTACATTCCATACACTCTGACACCTTTCTCTAGCAGTTCTCAATCTGTGTGTTGGATTCAACAAGTAAACGTGTATTTGATGCCCCCGTTACACGAGGACTGTACCTGTTTTGTTCAGCAGTTCTAATTCCATGTATTGGGTTCAGTAAGTAAACTTGTATTTGATTGTCGCCTTAGTAACAAACGATGCACTATAACCCTTTTGACGAGCAGTTCCAAATCCACGTGAGGTTTAGCAAGAATGTTAGAAGTATATCGTCACCTTCTGATTTACATATGATGCATTGTAAGTCAACTTGTCAGCATTCCAGGTGCTGCCTATTTGTGTCCCGGGTTTTACGCTTAGTAAATATGTTCAATGTAACTCTGTACATCGATATCTTGGATTGCACTCTGTGCGGGGTTGATCAGCGTGTGAAAGGTTTGCTTCTGTGTCAGTGTTCTGGGGAGGACGAGAGGGCTACCACAGCATCCTCAACACCAATGTCAAGACCGAGGTCACCCACATGGCAAAATTCTTCAGAATGGCTTCAGGTATGGTACATGTTCATAGTTAGGGAGAATAATGTCACAGCCATGTAGCACCAATAGGATGGGTAGCCGTCATCTCATATTAACAGAAACAGGGTCCTGGGTTACAACTGGTTCCTAGAGTCCCAGCCCAGCCCGAGGCTTATACTGAATGTTGCTGTGTCTTTCTCATGATACCAATGACTGGTTTGGCTGGCCCACATTCGACCAGTTACAGGCCGCTGTGATATTGCTAAACAACCAGCTGACAACTATTCTCATTTGTTATATAATGACTCAGCTGGCAATTATAGAATCTACTGGTACTCACGCACGCACCTTCACTCACGTGAACTGTATATATATGCTGCAGATTACAAGAAGAAGATCGGCTTCACGGGCACCTTCCTGATTGAGCCCAAGCCAAAAGAACCAACCAAGCACCAGTATGATTACGGTATGGTTTCCATGGAAACTTGTTGGTACATAAATTAAATCCAATATATCACCAGTACATCACTGTTGTATACACAGTGTAAGTATTAGCTTGTGAGGAATTGCCCTGTTAATGTTTTGTGAAGTTATTGGTTATACAAAAGATTTAGCCAGACATAGTAGTTTCGAAAATAGTAGTTTTGTAACAAAGGTAATTTAGATTTAGATTAACCAGTGTAAATGTTAATCAAATTACGTAATATTCAAAATACGCAACTGAATTTATGTAACATTTCAAGAATACAAATACATGTTCTACCAAAAACATTATTGTCCTTTCAAAATTGACGTTTAAGAGAGCAATCGGTCTCCCTTGGATGAGCAATGACACTGAATCACAATGCTTCTCAAAAGCAATTTCAAAAGTGCCGGAAGAATGATTTGCGAATTATAAACAGAATCTCACCTTTGTTTCTTTTTATATCAAATATATCAACACTAGTTGAGAACAGTTTGAGAACTTCCCGGCAAGCCTCGGAGTTAAGAACTATTATAGACTTTAAACATTTATTATCCAATGACACTGGTGGGAGATTCGCTGTATATTCAACGGGTCTGCACGGGTCTGCACGTGTCTACCCTGTGTTTGTAGATGCCATGACAGTCATCGGTTTCCTGAAGAGCTTTGATCTGGACAAGGAGTTCAAGGTGAGTTGCCGGATATAGCCACTACTAGTTGACCAAGCATCAGGCAATCTGTTATTTGTTTGTAAACAGTGATGGAAAATTAGTGGCAAGGTAACTTGAACATACCACCAGAAACTAGTATAAAGCAATTCATTTTCGTATATTTTCATATAGCTGTGATATATATTATATGCTGGGGCACTTTGAAAACGCATGGTAGATTTTGACTCTTGATAAATAACGAGACACTGAGGGCTTATGTGTGGACATGTATCAACGTGAAAGAGAATTCAAACTCAGACAACACTAAACATTGGTATGTCGCATGCCTTTAGGCCTCACTATCACGTACTGTTGTGTTTTTTTGTTCATTTGTTGAAAAATATTTTCAAAATTTTATGGACCGAAAGTGTATGAAACATGAAAAAATGTTTCAGTCAGCCCCTCGAAGCGTGCCCCACGTTAGTTTCGACAACACCCGATGTCATCACTAATTTTCATTACTAACACAGTCACTATTTTCCCTTTTACGTCCTATGGAATCTGTTTCAGTGCATCAACGGGACTTATTATTCTCTGGCGTTTTGAATTCGTTCACACTTGTCCGTGTCTGTTTCAGCTGAACATCGAACCTAACCATACAACTCTGGCCGGCCATTCCTACGAACACGACTGTGTCGTCGCCTCGGCGTACGTACCTTCTGTTTCTCATGAGGGGGGCGGGGCAGTTACCCGGCATCTACTAAAATAAGGAACCCAGACAGTGTGCGAAATATGCACCTGCTCGTTGGCCTGATTCAGGAGGATGTCATGTCGGGCCCATTGGTTCAACTTTGTATGGGTCCTTGTGACAAGCAGTATATTTACCTATCGGTTTATTTGTTTCAGTGGCATTCTAGAAGTTGGTGGTATAGAGATGACAAGACTTTATGGATGTTCAACTTCTTTATTTTAACAATGGCGACGTTTCGGTATAGATTCTTATACCGTTTTCAAGCATATGGGGGATTGAAGGGGTACACCAGTATATATACAAGATAAGATAAAGAGATAACAATAACAAGGGCGGTTTATTTGTCACAATAAGCTGCCGCTTTTTAAGTAAGGGTATTTAGGATTAGTCAGAGTGATAGGGGTGAAACGGTATTTTGCCTTCGGTTCGGTATACTTTAATGCAATCAAAAAATTCGGTATTTTCGTACCGTTATCATATTAACCTTTTAAACCTTTTCTAAAATGTCTAGAAATCGAATCATTTTGTCAAAATATTTCTAGGATGGACTCTTGTTGTCAATTTTCTGCATTATGATCATATCTCATATACCCAACCGGAATGGACCGAACCGAAGGCCTGTACCGCAATAGGTATGTACCGTGGTAAGAGCATACCGTTTCAACCCTAGAGAGTGTAGCTGCTAAATTATGTGGACCTTGATGGCATCGTGACGATATATTTTATAAATAACACATGAACAAAATAACTGCTGGTTATAGGTAGTAATGTTAAGGGTACTAGGAGGAAATACCTCGTTTCGGCGCGGACACTATTAAATGTCCGCGATAGAGCTCAACTGGATCGCCATGGTGATATTTGCATTGTTCACGACACTGGAACCAGGAACGTAGGAAAACCCTACGCCCCTGGGAACGGAATCACAACCAAGCAAAACCTATTCCTCTTCCTCATGAAATTGTCAGTCTCGAAACCAAAACATAATCAAGTCGCCTTCATTGCGATCAACAGTGATCAACTAAACGCAGCTGGTAAATGACCAAACAGGTTCATCTTTGAAGCAAGTTCTCCGGTCGTCTTTCTCTATGGGTTGCATGTTTTTGTTATTGTTATTCCTTGAACTGACTTCACACAAACATGCCACCTTTGGCTGGTAGGTTATCAGACGTGCCAGCGAAAATGTTCATTTTTACAAGCAATACGTTTGAAAACTATCGGCCATAAATGTTTCTCCTGAACAAAAAATTGTTTCCTTAGAACGATCTCCCCAGCACCATCAAAGTGTGTTCGTCTCAAAGCCGCTTATTGTCGAGATCAATAACATTTCTGTTCCATGCGTACCACTGTGCCCATGTCTAGACTCCACGTGTATGTAGCGCGAGTCAGTCATTTGTTGATGGGATACTGCAATAACTGAACATTATTGAATAACTTATTATACCCTGTCATCCAACTGTCTAGTGTATACGTCTGTTCTGACAGGATGGGTATGCTTGGCTCAATCGACTCCAACACAGGCTCCCCCGATCTGGGCTGGGACACAGACCAGTTCCCAATGGACTTCAAGAATACTTCTCTAGTGATGAAGGTAACCTGAACAATGAGCACTACCCGCGTGCGGTCCTGTACCTGTTGGATTCTCATTAACACGTCGTAGATAACCTCATCTTTGTCACTTTCTGGAGATACTCCTTGTCGCCAGGCTTACTATCAGACACTTATGTGTTAATGCAAATTGTGCGAATAGCAGGTGTCCCCGATGGTGCAGGGTCACGACCCACAAAGCAAACGTAACGTTACGACCTGTCGTAACTCTACAGTTTGCCCTAGACTTACGAATGTATAGTGCTACGAACGCTTTGTGGATCGGGACCCAGCAGGATCTGCTAACCGCACTCGCGATACCCTGGTGTCAACACTGATTTTTCGTGACCAATTCACATCTGTCACTATAAGGCAAAATGGAATCTGTTTTGGTAAAAAACGAGACTGGTTGTTCTCTACCATCTGACCTCTTTTATTTAGATACACACCCGTGAAGATCCGGGTTAGAATTTGTCTTCAGCAACCCATGCTTGTCGTAAGATGCGACTAACGGGATCGGTGGTCTTGGGACTTGGTTGACACGTCATCGTATCCCAATTGCGTAGATCGATGCTCGTGATGTTGATCACTGGATTGTGTGGTCAAGATTCGGACCATCGCCATACAGCTCGAATATTGTTCGAGTGCGGCGTTAAAACAGTAAATAAACAAAACTCTTTAGATACGGAACTTGGCACTGTGTTTTTTTACATCCAGGTTAAAAAAGCATGGAGAAATGAGCGTTGGCAATAACCATTAACATATGGATTTGACGTAAACCTTTGTGCCAAACGTGGACATTAACCTCTGGTGTCGGGCTGAGGTACAAACCTTGAGCAGTAGGCTAATTAATATGAGCTCGACACGAATATATTGCGTCTAGAATGCACACAATACTTTTGTATAGGACTTAGAAAACTGAATAATCAGTAGGGTCTGGCAACATGGTTAGACATGACACTTTGGCATGTCACATGGGTTTTGGCTGTATTCTTTCGCAAAGGAACTATACTTATGTCATGCTCAGATGGCGTTCGGTTAAACCTTTGGTAATCAGCTGATGCAATGGGTTGGTGATACATGGTACACTTTTGACATTAAGTCAAGGGGTTCAGTCATCCTACTTTCACGTTTGGGTTAGACATAAACATGTTGTATAAAGTTCCATTGTGGGTTTCGGTAAAAGACATCTTGCTCAAGAGGCTTTTACATAAATCTTAGCTGGACTTAAATCGTTTGCGTCCACCTTGAATATTAACCTCAGGGTTAAAAAAAAATTGGATGCATTTACCTATCTGTCGTCTGTACAATATTGAATAAGTTACTGTTCTGTTCAGGTGGTATTGGATCAGGGAGGCATCCAGCCGGGTGGACTCAACTTTGATTGCAAGGTCCGCCGTGAATCTACAGAATTGCGGGACATGTTCAGCGCTCACATAGGTAGGGCAACCAATACATGGCCCGGACTGACGACGTTGTACGGTTTGAGTTTAGTTTACAGGTTGTCATTGTACGACTGCATTAATCTTGGTTTATGGGCGGTAGCCTAGTGGTCCAAGCATTCGCTTTTCACTAGTAAGTCTGGGTTTGATTTACGTTGAGTTGAGTTGAGTTGGGTTTTGCGTCACATCGGCATTATTCCAGCCATATAGTGACGAGAACAAGTTTGTTTTATTTCAAAAACATATATTCATTACATTGTCATTTAAAAGCAGAAAAAGCCATAGCACCAAATTTAAAAGCAGGCAATTTGTTAGTCACATTTCACAGTTACAATTTATTTACGAATATTGTACAAAAAGGTATACTTGGCTTAAGTATTGATCACATTAACTGCATTGGAAACGTCAGGCTCGGTGACTTGGTACATAGTGCACCATGGTACGACATGGGACATGTCACTAGAATCCATTTACCGGTCGCCGCGAGACAGCTGTTATACTGCAAGTGGCATTGTAGAAGCTCTGAATTCTGTATCAATAAAGACTGGGATGACACATCAATTTCCACTTCTTATCACTTACTCTGTCATGGTACTTGTATTTGCACCGTAAGAATATAGTCGTTTAAGTTCGTTAGACAGCCCTACATGTACAACTAGTCAACTACTGACATTGGACAAATAAGTATCTACAACAATGATTTATGCTTTCAGGGGCAATGGACGCCTTTGCCCGCGGCTTGAAGATTGCAGCCCGAGTGGCCAGTGACGGTACCATCCCAAAAGCTGTTCAGGTGAGGCCAACGTTACAGTAATATCCACTGTTTGGAACATATCCACCTGGGAATCCAAGTTAAGGTTTATAAAATGTATATACATATTAGTTCCTTTACACTAACAGAATGCACAAGCCAAATAAATACATTTTGCTTCACCAAGTGCATTTTAAGAGTGAGTGAGTGAGTTAATGTTTAACGTCGGCAATATTTCAGCTATGCTGTGACGATTGTCTAGTTTTCTAGGAAGGCCAAATGATACTCTGATGCACCAGTTTGTTGTGGCCTTGACAGAAACCAAGCATTTCCCGAAAATGTTTCCACACCGATAGGATCTGGCTAAAATGTTATTTAAGCACTTTCTGAATTTTGCACACTTTACAAACATACTGGAACAAGTGTGAAATGTATTACGTTTCAAACATCATTTCTTGGTTTCAGGAAAGATACAGCAGCTATAGTACTGGAATCGGTGCCAGGATCGAAAGTGGAGAAACAAACTTTGAGGAACTGGAGGTATTTATTTGTTGTCCCTTTACATCCTTATTAAACATTCAGACTAATGTGCGTTTGCAGTAGTCATTATTATCTGTTATTTATGTGTATCTGCGTACGAGCCTGCTTTGAGCCTTTCTGGGGAGATTTCAGTATCCAAAATATATGGTGTCACTAGTTTGAATTCTATCTTCTTTACAGAAATACATCGTTGAGAAGGGTGAACCACAGCGTATATCTGGCGAACAAGAACATTACGAAAGCATGCTGAATTACTTCATGTAGACAATAGGTCCTGGCACCTGGCATCTTTCAAGAACATACAGGCAATGGATGCGAAGCCTTTAACATTGGTAGATTTTGTTGATGAAAAGAAGATCTGGCCAGATGATGATGAAACTAATTCAGACACAGTATACCTGAAACATTCTCCTGCACATTATGTGAACTCTAAAGAATAATTATGTATTGATTACAAAATCATCTTTTGTTTCACAAATGACTAGATTTAAGGAACTTGTGCTAGCAGGTAACTGGTGCCTAGAGAAACGACTTTAATAGTAGAAGTCCTTGATTGACCACTGCTGCTGGCCATTACCAAGTAGCACTGTCAACTGTCCTTCAGAGGGGTGTCTGTGGAGCTTTCGCCATGTCTGTGTTTTGACTTAAATACCATGTTAATGTTGTCCAGCATTCCACAATGTATATTGCTTGCTTAAATTGTTTCATTATGAATGTACAGTGCTAAGATTTTATATATGTTTCACAGGGAAACATTCCTATAGTTTTTTCAAACAAAATTTGTTTTTCGTTGTTTACATGTAAAAAAACCATTTGAACATGATATTATGAATCAGATGTTTTTGCAAAATGTAATCCAGAACCTTCATTAAACAAACACCGTGTTTGTAATAATAGACTTTATTCCCTTTCATTCATCAGTGTAAGAATAAAATACAATATACAAGGTCTGTTTCTGCTTTTGTCTCCTTTCTGAGAAGTTGACAGTGAAACAGACACAAAAGACAATATTCAGTTTCATATTGATACATTCCATCAACTAAATACATGATATGGCCATACAAACAAATGTCTCAAAATCAGTGATCAGCTCCTGCATGATATACTACCTGTACATACAACATGGGATGTTGGATAGCTAACTGGCAATGCGACCACCTCATCCATGACTACCACATCGACACGAAACAAAAGCGAGTTCTATTCATCGCAACATGAAGACTTCAAGTCAGTCCTACCAACATGTGCCATGAACATACAAATGTGGCAATAACTACAATACATATAGAAACAAGAAACCTCCTTGTATATCCCCTTTAGAGCACAGGAACATATACTCATGGAAACAAATAAGGAACACATGAAAGTACACTTTCCTTTATTTCCAGAATTTCACCCACTGTTCAATACATACCTTGTGAAGAAACCTGGAAAAGAATAAAGGAACACTTGTATTTTCATGTGTTCCCTTATTCTTTTCCATGAGTATACTCTTGTCCAATGGGTGGACTATTTCTGTCACCTGCTGATTAAGTACTGTAAATATTAGTTTCAAGAGGTGTAAAACATTTCAGCATATGTTGTTCATATACTGAGAAAGTCTTGTCAATCATCCTCGTTCCATTACATAACAGACTGTTGGAGACCCTACCCAAAACATACAGCTTTGGATATCTTGTTCAGAAAATGTTATCAATGAACTGGAGGAGATTTACTGCAGAAATGAGGATCTATATGTTGAGATGAATAGATTCTCCCTGTATAATATTCCAACAACATCACTTATACTAGTCTAACCTATTAACAGCTGTACAATTGCACCTGCATGTCATAATTAAGGCTGTGTTGAGTTGGACACGGAGATTGACTATCGCACTCAGTTCAAGGGCTGGAAGAACACTTTGGATTTGTCAAAACACGTGTTGTTTGTTGAGGTAATGTGACTGCCATTTTACAATTTCAGCTGAATGCCACTCATGATTTAACATGAGATACTACGACACTTACCTACGTTGATGAAATACATTCAAAGGAGATCATTCTTCAATGTTCTTACAATGAGTCCACAAACAGGGGCTATCCTGGAAGATGTCAAAGCTTGATAGTGTCAAAGTATTTCATGTCAAAGTGATAAAGCAAACACACAAGGCAATACAAAGTTTATGTTTACACACACTAAGCTGTGTACATGTTCAAATATGTTATCTTTTATCAGTTAACATCTACCAATACACATGATATATTTTCACAGCCAAAGGCTGTCTTCATATTCGTTTTTACTATACCATCATCCATGACCCTCAAAATGACAACATGCAATCAAGAAAATGATCTCATAAACCAATTCATTAAACATACATACTACATAGATAAATTCCAGCTGTGTAATTTATCAATAAGCTTTCAACAAGTTTGGTGAAGGGTCCAAGTACATATTGAACATGTGTTATCACCGAATCCACTTACACCAAGCAACAGTAATTGAAAGAGTTTTTTGGCACTCATACTAGAACTGTGACATAAAATAATCTTACTAGTGCTCAGATCACTTTGTAAAGGAAAGATAACCTCATTTCATCCAACACTATTTCTAGTTACTCACCATACAAATAAATGTCTCTGAAACTAGAAATGCCTATATTTAAGGAGCCATGTTTGCCATGTTCATTGGTCAGGTTTACATAATGATTGACTATCATATTAAACTTTCATGGAAAGTCTTGCGAGTCAGTTACATCTATAATCTAAAGAAATTATACACACATCACATCCATCAATACATTAAACTCACTGGGACATCTTGCTGATGAAGAGGTTGAAATTGTAAATGAAAAACCCCAAAACAATATATTTGTGAGATCATCTTTTTACCTCCCCTCAACATGGATGAACATTTTGTTTGGTGTCGTTTAACACTGTATTAATGCTACGTTGTACATTCTGAAAGCCAGTTCCTTATCAAGTCCACAGTAAAATTATATATTCCTCGTAAATGTTGGGATGTTTATAAATGCAAAGATAATAGGTTTATCAGTCTGAGGACTCCAACATCAGTTATTACAAATTATCACCACCTCACAATAATCCTCATAATGCCCCAAAATACCTCCACATCACTAGTGAGTCCAAATCTCATAAAGATGGTTGACTGAGTTAAAGATGGATTTTAGTGACACTAAAAGGAAGTTAAAGATGGATTTTTCTAACAAATGCAATAGTGCTAACAAATCATTATTTAAACATAACATACTAAACCAGTCCAAAATAAGGTTTAATTGTACCATTAAAATGTGAAATTGCACTGATGTATCTTGAGATTCAATAGAAAACATTAAGAGTAGACACAACACCTCTCATGAGTGATGGGCAGAAAACTGTCAAGCATTGAGAAGTAATTAGCTCAGTGAAACTATGGCAAAGCAACAAAGGCGATACTACATCTGTCTCATAAATGTTCATATTAAGACAGGAAATCACTGATGTGACTTCCCTTCCATTACGCATCCGTAATTGTATTGCATGATCCATTCTTATAACCAGGCTTACTGAAACATGGGTACTGAAAGTGTTAGTGCTTGGTTACAAGTCAAAGGTATGCTGTATTTCTACTTAGTGAGGAGACAAACAGCCCTTAAAGTACACTCCAAGACATATATCAGTCAATGTCCAATACCTGTATATAACAGAGAAAGAAAACAGTAATGGGAACAGTCATCTTCCTGCCCGCCACACATCTTCTTCAAAAATGGATAGAAATCAGGAAAACAATGGACTTTACTAGCCAGTAAAATACTGCAGTGTATGTTTGAAAAATAGTGTACAGACACTGTGATAAAATTTCAAAGATGAGATTGCACAGGAATTATTACCGGTGAACATTAACATGTCAGCTTAAATACTGAAAACCAGGCATTTTACTGGTGCTTTTTCTTACAAAGAACAAATAGAGTATCATTAGAGACATGTGCATCTAGTCATCACTGGGATTGTGTTCTGTAGACACCATTGTTTACATCGTAACAATGAAAGCACAGAACAACCTTAATGTTGCAATCAACACAATCAATAAAACAGTAAATGATGAGTACATCTTGTACATAGTAAATCTGTTCAATGAAGCTGATTTATATGAGAGGCTCTTGATCCAAGCAAACAAACCTGCATCATAATTTGAATAAGTGAGAGAAATCAATGTGAATATCTAGAATGGTAATGCCAGTATCATATGTATGTATATATGACCTGGTGAGGACTAGCTGGCATACTACAATCATGTACATAATGAATATTTGGAAAATGACGAAGTCAATATTACCAGGATTTGACATTCACCCAAATTCCCAAACAAGACCACAGGACCAGTAACTTTTAAAAATCACTGGTCCTTACAGATTCATACTGGTCCTGCTAAGGGACTCTTAGTGACAGCCTTAAATATCTGCTAGACCGTCGGGATAGCACTTATCAAAGTTGCACTGGTCCTGTCAACATTTTACTAGACCCAGGTCAGTGGGATAGTGTGAATATCGAGCCCTGTATTACTATGACATCTACAAATATAACGGGAAGTGACAGTTTCAGTGATTTTTGATTATACAAGAGGCTGTCTTACTTTGTGAACTGTCAATCACAAATACAAACCTGAAACATTGTAAGATAAATCGGGTAGGTTAATCAGATTGAAACTGAATTGGATAATACACATATTCAGTCATGTGTCATTCAGTCAATCATGTATTTCATTTCAAGCGAGTTGTATGAAAAGAAGATAAAATTGTTGCACTGTGGCATGGAATATTGAAAACCTTTTGATCCATTCAAAACATCCTGAGTACATAATGACATGATGGAAAAAGTGCAACAAATGAATGATAACAAATGACAGTGAACAATATTCTACCGTATGTTACGATATTCCTACAAACTAGCATCATTACAGAAGGGTTTGTTATTTTGAGGGTATTTACTTGGGATCCTTTCTGTGAATGACTCAGGTCATCATTACGAAGATCATGACGTACAACATCTTACAAGGACAGAGCTTTAGAGTATCAAACAGAATGACTAATTCTACAATCTTTACTCTCAATGATCATTAATTATTTCAATGAAGAAAACTGCGAAAGCAAACAACTACTCACATCTTTTCCGCAATAAATAACGGTTATGAATACATGAAGTTATGAGGTTTCAGTTTTCAAAACTGAAAGATGGCTTGAATGAATATTGCCTTATCTCACATCAGAAATTCTTCAGCTACTAACATACACAAAAGTGAAAGAACATCCTTTTAGTGAAATCCTTGTCATGAAATTGATTCCAGCTTCAAATCTGATACTAGTATGTGATTGTGGAAAAACCCATGATTTTACTTACAACGCTAAAAACTACCCCCCTTACTTCCAGCATATTTACAAGTCTTGTGTCTCATTTCACATATATATCTTTCAACCATACAAAACTCACAAAGCAAACATCCTTCATTTAACCATTGCAACATAAAACAACATTTGCATCCACTCCACATGCACAAAAGTACATATTAAAACGTAGCAACAGATAACAATAAGCACATAAAAAAAAACTTATCGCAACAGAGTTAATTGATATCATACAGCATGGATGCAAATAGTGAAAAACACTGATTGACATAACTATGATTTTTGCACAGTAGCATTGACACTTTGTCAGTGAAATCTTTTCCATGAATGTCATGAGACACGTATGATACAGGTATGTTCTCAAAGCCAGTTAGAGTAGATTGAAGTGGATTGCCAAGATTCAGTTAAATTCCTGTAATTGTTAGGAAACACAAAACATGACAGCAGTATGCAATTTTCAAGAAAAAGAACTTAAGTAAATGTGAAAACGAATTGCTTTCAATCACTTAAATTCAAGAGGATACAATTGAAACAAAGCGGAAAGATTAAGAAGATTGAGCAACGATTTCCGGTCTATATAGGAACCGGCTTCGCAAGTATGGAAAGCATGGATACATTCTCTACAAACAATATATATAGAGAAAAAAATTTGATTCCAATATGAAATTCTAAGAACCAGCAGCAGTAGCATTGCTGTTTGCAATTAATTAAAACATTGGAAGATTAAGTGATAACATATCAGCATGAAAAGAGTAAATGTGACAAAAATATTAACAAAATTTAAGTTTCGGAAAAAAAGGGTGGAATTTGCATTTAATCATTTAAACACAACTAATTCCAAAAGAAAATGTTCATAAAATTGTGTAAAAAATATATGTAATTTACAAATTGTGATTGCACGAGCAATAAGACAGGTAAGATTGCTATTGTTTGAAATTTTCAAACTTAATAACAAGAGCTTTAATATTTTTATTCTTATTCTAATTCTAAGTTTAATTCATGTTCAAGGCAGTTTGACACACAGTGTTTACAGCCACACTACCATCCCTTGTATACCAACATTTACCTCTGCCATGGTCACACCGCTTCAACCATCTTGTCGCATGATTATCCAGTGCAAGGTGATAGATAGGATTTGTTTAACTCGTCAAGAAGGACTCCGCTGTCTTCTGTGCAGGAAACCTCTTGTTACTCTGACTGGCTAGTGTTCATGAGGCTAGTTCACCAACTGAATCAGTTTTGTCAAGTAATTGGTCAGTTGTATTGTTCTGTGCTAAACATAAAGTCTGTACCAAAGTAACGGTCCCCAAAGTTTCCTGCAAACAAGAAAACAATGATAATACACAGCTGCTACTTGGGATCAGAAACAAATGAAGAGTCAAAATATGTCGTATTGAAGGACACTAACTGCTGTGTATCACAGCCACTGCCAAATGGCACACAGTTTTTCGGGTATTATCATTCAGGTACATATATGGACTACAATTAGCTGTGCACACTGACGTAAACATATTACAAGATTAGGCAAGACACTCACCCGAAGTTGCAGTCTGGTTTCATATTATTACTTCTGCAATGCCAGTATCGAATAACCAAATGTGATAACACCAGCAACTATATCAATGTCTCCTTTAAATGACTTACAGAAAACAACTTTTGTGTCTTGATTTGGACTTGGAACTCACCAATGCCTGGCAAAATATGGAACTTTTCATTCACTTCCTTGTCAACAGCTGTTGTCACTATCTTCACTTTGGGGAATGCATAGGCAACGGAATGCACACCTATAAAAACACATTGTTAACATATAGATGTCTTGTCTTTTTTTGTTGTTGTTTCTTGCATTTCACCCCAGCCAGAAATATTCCAGGTGAGGACAACACTTTGAAACTGACCAAACAATCAAGTGATTGACATGATCAATATCCCATCCCACTTGACTGTGATGCTATACAATCAACCAAATCACTAAGCCCTTGTGTCAAATATGAAGAAAATCCAGTGAACGGTTATATAGATATCTCGCTGACAAGCTTAACATGCAGGCTCACATGCTGAAATCTTCAAAGTGTCGTCGTGACCTTGAAAATTATGGGAAGGTCATCAAAATCGACTGGGCCCTGTGCCTTCCCTATATGAAGCTTGGTGTCAAATATGAAGAATATCCAGAGAACGGTTCTTGAGATATCTCGCTGACAAGGGTAAAAGTTCAACTCCCCTTGTGACCTTGAAATGAAGGTCAAGGTCACCAAACCTGAGTGGGACCTTTCTTATACTGTGATGAACCTAGGTACCAAGTGTGAAAAGAATCCAGTCAATGGTTCTTAAGATATTCCACTTCGTACAAACGGATGGACGGAGCCTAATACTATATCTTTGACTGTCCAAAACATTTTGTCTGAACAAGGTATTATTCATTATTAATCCAAATATTCACAAGACTATATTCACAATTGTTATTCAGAATGTGTGAATGTGTTCCAAAGAACGCACAAATCACAAACATGTAATTTTTGAGTAAAATTGATATTTTATACTTATCCTGACTCATGCTCTTTTGCTTGTCCCCTTCCTCTTGCGAACATAGTGGAACACTTGTATCTCCTTAATTGAAGCTCCCTTCAATGTAAAATCACTAATTGGTACTCACCCAAGAGTTGCCTCCCCTGCCGTAAGCGCGGGAACAGGTGTCGCCACCCTCTGGCCTCATGCTTCACTCTCTCCTGATTTAGCGAGCCCAACACTTGAATTTACAGGGAAATCCAAAGTGTTATGTGGGGAGGATGGGAGGGCTAACCTCATGAGTCAGGATAAGTATAAAATATCAATTTTACTCAAAAAATTACATATTTTTCCTTATCCTGACTCATGCTCTTTTGCTTGTAGAATCCTCCGGAATGGAGGTGGGCATAAACAGAATACTTTGGATTTATAATTAGTGATTTAAATAACTTATACTGTAATAACCCCTGCGGGAACTTCATAAAGGCATTGACTTAGGATATTTCCTCTATAATAAGCCATAGGTTATATATTACCATAACTGGGGTATTACATTACTCATATACTGATATACCAAATTATATAAATAGATATAAAAGCGACTCTGATAGAGAAGCTGTACAACTGAACATAAAACTCAGTATGAGCTTAAGGTTGAATAACCTAAGCGAAATATATACATAGCCCTAGAACTCCATTGGAGTTATAAGCTAAATAATGTATGTATAATATACATAATAATCTCGTGGGGGTGAATATTAACGCCTCACGAGGGACTGTCAGTTGCTGGCGAGGACCAAAGGACCGAAATGGTGAATGCCAGAGCGTCCTCGGTGGTGATATCTCTCAGATAGTGATTAGCAAACACCATGTTAGATTTCCAGAAGCATCCTTCCATAATTGTATTCAATGAACAGTTACCGTGAAGGGCGAGGGTGGAAGCCAATGCCCTGATTTCATGGGGATTTGATGCTGTTGGAGGGTCCAGTCCTGCTGCCTTGTAGGCGCGTAGAATGACAGTCCTTATCCATATAGATATGGTGGTACGAGAGACTTCTGTCTGATTAGTAGGCGATAACGGGATGAACAATCTTCTGAGCGATCTTAAGCCTTGTTTTGGAAACGGCGTAAATAGATTTTGAGAGCTCGTACTGGGCATAGCGATAAGTCCAATGTATCTTGAGATCCGAGAATCGAGGATAGTGCAGGGATGTGAAATAACCTGTCTGGTTGGCCTGGTAGTTGATTTTTGGCGATGAAATCCCATCTTAATCCCAGGTGCGCTGTGTTTTGATTGTCATCAAACTGTATCCTCTCATAATCTAGAGCGTGAATTTCAGATATTCTGGCTGCCGTGGCTAGCGATAACAGGAAAATTGTTTTCTGTGAGAGAAATTCAAAGGTTGTCGATTCCAATGGTTCATAATCCTCACTTGTGAGGTGTTGTAGTACTACATTCAGATCCCAAGCTGGGGCGTGGAACTTCCGCTTTTGGTCCTCCAATCGGAAAGCACGTAGTAAGGCCAGTAACTCTGGTGTTTTTGTCAATTTAACACCCGTTCTCATAGAAATCACAGAACTAAGCGCGGCAAGATATGTGGACAATGTCGAGCCTTTTAAATGTTTGTTTTGCCGTAAGTAACACAAAAAGTCTGCCACTTGAGGATGCGTAGCATCTCTCGCTGTAAAACCCTTGTTTGCTGCGTAATTTTCGAAACTGTGCCACTTGTCGTCGTACAAGTTACGAGTTGAGTATCGTAAGGCAAGCGTGACCGCTTTTGCCGCCCTGGTAGAATATCCTCTCTTGTTTAAACACATTTTAATACAGTCCATACGTGAAGTTTGAATACTTCTGGGTTTCTGTGCACCTGTTTGGTGTGTGGATGTATTAACAGCTTTGAGCGCTTGGGTAGCTCTAGTGCCGGTTGACCGATTCCTTGTATTAGAATGGGAAACCACATTCTGGCCGGCCAGTAGGGCGCGACCAAAATGAGTTGTAGGCTCTGTGTTTGACTGATTTTCTGTAATACTTGAGGTATTATTGCTGGAAGCGGAAGCGACGCATTGAGGCCTTCCCATGATATGCTTAGAGCTTAAATCCGTTGCCCATGCTTGTGGGTCTGGAACTGGTGACACGAATGTCGGTAGTTGATTGTTGAATCTTGTGGCGAATAGATCTACTAGGCGAGCTCCTATTTGCTTGATTATCTGTGCAAATATCTCTGTATTGAGCATCCATTCTGTCGGCGTGACGGTAGATGTGGCCGAGAGAGAGCGTCTGCTAGTATATTTCTGGCTCGGGAATGTGGCATGCTTTGACATGTAGATTTAGATCTTGGATTAATTGAACAGTTGAAAGGTTAAAGTCAAAAGGTTCGGCGATCTCGTTGAGCCTTGCCTGTTCACATAGAACGCCACTGTCGAAGTTGTCGGTATGTATCATTAGGTGCGCATTCTGTAGAATGTTGCTCCAATGTCTTATGGCGTTGATTACAGCTTTCATCTCTAATGAGTTTATGTGGAGCTTGCTTTCTAGCTGATTCCATAACCCTGATGCCGTCCGGTTGGTGAGATGAGCTCCCCAACCTTGGAGCGACGCGTCTACATATAGATGGGTTTTGAATTCCTGCTCTGCTAAACAAATCCCTTCGCAGACATTCGATTCCTTGGTCCACCATAGTAGATGAGGTCTGAGATGTTTCGGTAGACTGAATGGTTGTAGGTCGTCGAGATGTGTGTTGATGAAGACCTGTAAGGGACGTAACTGTAATCTGCCTCTGACTGTCAAGTCTTGGGCTGATGTTAGAAGACCTAGTAAGCTCTGCCATTGTCAAAGTGGTAGCGGAGAGAGTAGGGCTGGTGGAATGATCTGTTGGATCTTGAGCCAACGGTCTTCTGGTACGACTATACGGTTGAGATTGGTGATAAATCGAATGCCTAGGAATTGCAGATCTTGCGATGGTACTAGGTCCGACTTGAGTAAGTTTACTAACCATCCCAGCTGTGTTAGTAGCTTTATGATGTAGTTTAACTGTAGTTTGAGATGCTGTGGATCTTGATCTACTTGTTTCCCGTCGTCGAGGAAGAACGCACTGCGTAGCCTTGACGATGTAGATAGGTAACAATCGGTTTCGTTATCCTCGTGAATAACCATGGGGCTGATGATATTCCGAATGGGAGTACTTTCCACTGGTAATGTAACCCGTCTAGTGTAAACCGTAGGTATTTCCTGGATTCGGGATGTATAGGGATGTGCAGATAAGCATCTTGTAGATCTATACTGCCCATGTAGTCCATGGGGCGAATCATGTGCCGTAACTTTCGCGGTAGATGTATCATGCGGAACCTCGGTGGTCTCGTGTAGATAAGTCTTGTTGAAGAAGCTCATGTTGTAAATGAGTCTGTATTTCTCCTTGGAGTTTTTCTTGGGTACTAGGAAAACTGGGGAGTAGAAACCTGGTTCGATGTTTCCTTGATCTATTACTTCTATGGCCTGCTTGGTTAGGAGTAATGTAACAGCCTCTCTTAACTTTGGTAGTTGCTGTGCCTGTACGTCGAACTTGTGAGGGTTGACTGTTAGCGGAGGCTTGGCCTGTAGTGGGATACGAAATCTGTGTTGAAGAATGTTGGAGACATAGGTGTCTTGAAGCATTCCCCAGTTTTCCCAGTGTAGTTGGAGACGTCCACCCACTTGTGACGGTTGTACTGGAGCGGCTGGGGTGGAAGACTCCAGTCGTTCCGAACCTGTCTTTCAGCGTTTATAGTTGCGGGAACCTCTGGGTGTCCTGCCTCTTCCTGACCCTCCTCTATCGTTGCCATATGGGCCACGAAAAGAATCTCTTCCCCTGGAACTGGCTATCTTCCTGTCTCTTGCTCTTTGTAGGCCCGTGAATTTAGATCTCCCTGAGTATCTTTGTGAAGTCTGTCGAATGACACTGGCTAAGCGTGTCCATCGATTTAATCATCAGGACTTCTCTGGAATCCTTGGTGACTTCCTTGGAGACTTTGTCTATTCCTCCGTCAAAGATGGATGGGGAAGACCACGGGCTGTATATAGTGGAGCTGTAAAGTTCTCACCCCAGTTACAGGAAGCGAGGAGGCCTTGACGACGAGCTAAGGTCAGTGCTGCTGAGACAGGCGTGAGATGATCTGTTAAGAACTGCTGGTCCTTCTTTTGCATCAGTAGGGCCCGAGTAAATCATTCTATCATCTTCAGAAGTCGTGGTTACGAAATCTGGTGATAAGTGTCTCATTTATTGTTCTAGATCTATTTAGACCAAAGAACATACGTCTCGTCATGGTTTCTATCTGAACCAATTTCCGATCATCAATCTTGTAGAACTTGTTCTTGGCATCGGAGATCAGCTTGTAGTTCTCATCGATGTCTTGCGCCTTGAAGAAGGGGTCCATATTATGCGTGGAGAACTTCTTGGCGTGAAAGTTTGGCAGATGTGGTGTCTGAACCTTTGTGGCTTTGTGGAATGCTGTATCTAGGTTCTGTGGTACCGCATGTCCGGGTCGATTGGGGGTAGTGTGATAGCATCTGCATCGTCTTCTTTCATCAGGTATGTCTGCGCCGTGTTGCCACTCTTGGAAGGTGATGAGAGATCTAGATTATTGACCATCCAATATCTTATCTCTGCATCTGAGAAAATAATTCCTCCATCATCTTCCATTCCATCATCATTAATGAGAGGTTGTTGCTCTTCTGATGTAGGACTGTGTGGCTCTATCTCTATATCGTTTGACGCTTGTGGAGATCTAGTTGTAGGCTAGCAGACCTGTGAGGTGTGACAGTAATGTACGTGGAGATCGGCGAGGTGATCGACTTGGTGATCTACATCGATAGGTTGATCTTCTTGGAGACCTGTGAGGGGACCGTTGGTAGCTTCGCGAAGCTCTTGTGTAGTCCCTCGATGTCCTTTTAGATGATGACGATCTGGGTTCAGGTGTCCTTCGCGAACGCCTTTGCGAAGCTTCCTCTGCGTCCGGTCCTGGGGAACGGTGATATGACCTTCGCGAAGGCTTCCGTGAGGTCTGATGATCAGATTCCGTATCTGAGTATGACGCCGAAGAAGGTGATGATCTTTCCCGCCTTCGCGAAGGCTGTACATCTGGGTCCTTCGTCGAGGTGGTCTGTGACTTCCTTCGCGAAGGCGGCATCGTCGTGGCTGCTACGTTGACGGGGGGTGCCTCTGGGGTGCTGTCTACGTTGGAGCCTTCGCGAAGGCTCGGACCCTGGGATGGCTGCTTCTCCAGTCTGTAGTGGCCTTCCATCATGATCATGATCATGATCTGCTTCATTAGATCGTCTGGGATGATCTGCGACGAAGTAGATGGTGCCTTCTCTGCGCTGATAGCGGTGGGGCCCTCAGCGATCTCGTCTGACATCAGTGTAGAGGCATCAGGCTGCATGGTGATCTCTGCTGAAGTCACTGTCGCTGTTACTGGTAGCTTCTTGTGGCGTATGTCGGGTATGATGATTGGCTGGTCATCGTAGAGGCCCATTTCTCCTGCTGGAACGATCTCGGCTGAGAAAGTTCTCGACGACTTCGTAGATTTCCCTTTGGAGGATGATGCTGCCCTTGGGGTACGAAGTCTGCGTTGAGAAGACGCTGAGGCCCTCTTGGACTTTATCTGCGATGACGGGACGTCTGGGGAGGCCGGTCGCTTCTTAGAGGTGACGGACTGCATCCCACGTCCCTCTTCCGATGGGGTCTCAAGCAGAACACCAGACGGGAGGGGGTCGCTCGACAGCAGCTGACTGGATGGAAATCCGATGTATCGGCCATGTCTACACCTAGTTTGCGTGACCTATCTGCAACACGTCTCAAGGCGCCAAAGATGGTATTTATTAAAGGCAGAATTGGTTAAATTAATGCAGTAACTGCAACGTGAATCAAACGCACAAGGCGTAGTACAACTAGGGCATACTACATGCGGATCAACAGCGGACAAACGTAATCTACAAATAGTACAGTTTTTCATCAATGTAATAGTAGCTGAACAATCACGAACTCACGTGAATAAACAGTAGAAATACGATTAATTATCAATGCAAATTAATGAAGGATACTAGCTATACCTTTATAGTAAACTATAAGAGGTAACTAACTAAGAAAACCAAAGGATATAGTGTGTAAGGAGACACAGGCGCTCTCACATCCTGCTCACTGGGCGAAGAAGGAGAGAGTGAAGCATGAGGCCAGAGGGTGGCGACACCTGTTCCCGCGCCACGGCAGGGGAGGCAACTCTTGGGTGAGTACCAATTAGTGATTTTACATTGAAGGGAGCTTCAATTAAGGAGATACAAGTGTTCCACTATGTTCGCAAGAGGAAGGGGACAAGCAAAAAGAGCATGAGTCAGGATAAGGAAAAATAATATTTCTAAAGTTAATGGATTAGTATGCTCTCAATTTCCATTCTCAGCTGCCTGGGAAGTATTATCCTATTCTCACCTGACTGGGCCATTAGTAGGGAGCAAAGAGTAATGTTGTCTTCTTTCACATCATGGTCAAGTAATACCCGAATAGCCATCATGGCTGCTGCGCCTGTGGCAACAGTGGCATCCATTAACATGATGTAATGGTTCTTGATGTCCTTGGGCAGTCGCAGGTAATGTAACTAGAACACCAGAGACAAAGAATGCTATCAGTAATTAAGGAAAATAAACATTATTCAAGCTCAAATAATATTACTGGCCCAAATGGCTGCGCATGATTAGTTTTCTAATGATCATACTTTTCATCAAGTTCATACCATTGGAATTATTAATTGGTGGTGAAAGGCCAATGAAAAGGGTTGTAATGCGTACATCATTGCAATGAAAGCAACTAGAATGTTGAAACAAGCCTTCCTCTGAATTTAAGGGGGGGGAAAACGCAAATTTAAGAATCCCAATTTTCAACAAATTTACAATTCTTTCCCAATTTTGCCTGCATTGGGCATATAATTTCAAACCGACCACAATCCATGCACATACAGACTCTGCGCCGTCCACTGCATCTTTATCACTGACGGAGCATCAGGCAAGGTAACAACTACCATCTTAAAACATGTACTGATACCTTTGTTATTCAATGATGTACTCAGCAATATTCCAACTTTATATCCCTACCAGACAAATCAGTGATTGGTGTTGTGAGTAATGACCACGCTGTGAAGGTTTGATGATGTATAATTGACACGGCACCAGCTGCTTACCTCTGGTTCCCCTGTGTCCATGTTCGTCTGAATGAGTATCTTCCCTATGTTGATCTCCTTGCACACTTCACACAGGGCTGGCTCCATTGTTTCACCAGCTCTCAGGATGGACACACCAGACACCTGTCGGTCATAGAAATCATTAAATACTTTCATAACCTGAGAGTTGTCTTTCCTTGCCAAAATACTCAAACTACACTGCTATGGTTGCTGCAAATGGATTCAACTTCTACTATTCATTCCTTCATAAACAAAAAGCTGTCTTCAACATGAATATTGTCTGGTTCTCATTTGTAGATTATGTCAGCCAGTAGAATCTGTCCATGCTGGCACTGAGATTAACTTTGAAAACTAAACAGCTATTGCGCACATATATGTGAACTTATGAATAGGTTTGAGTAACATGTTATTGCATTCATATCACTATGAAATTTAAACACTGACTAACACTGGCTTCACATACTCTATATCCTGAACAGAAAAGATGTTTGAAAAACATTAGCCCAATTTCAACCTTACAAATATTACAAATTATTTGCATTAAATACGATCATGCTAGATTCATAAACTGAGAGATGGTTAATCACTTGCCTTGACCGCACTCAGTCTCTTCCCTTCATACACTCCTCCTTGACTTGTTTCAACTTTCACAGTCTACAATTACAAAACAAAGATCACACTTAATATCAGAACAAAATTTATTATGTTAATAACACTGCAGGTCATCATAATTTTATACTCAGGGCTCCAGATAAGGGCCGTATCGGCGTATGTATGGACATAAAATAAGCACAATACGGTAGGAAACACCTAGCAGACACGGACCACAGCAATGGTGTACGGTTTCAGAATCATTTACAGACGTATTTATCTGAAAAAGAATCGTTTTATTGTTTACTGACCTGTTTACACAAGAGTAGCAATGTTGTCATGCATATATGAAACGAAACACAAGATTACTGATACGCCATTAAATTCCATTCAGTACTCTAAATGTACTCTTATTGTTTTCCAGTACTCGTATATTGAAAAAAATAAGGAGTACGTACTCCTGATCATGAAAAATTATCTGGAGCCCTGTTTTATACTACATAAGAATATTGGAAGTTCGATGACGGTCACACAAAGAAAACTTACTTTGAATGGTAACATGGACATGGCAAACTCAAACAGCAGTCGCATTAGCCTCTTGGAATAAAAAATAAACTCATCACGGGGTGTCTCCTTGTTCCTGAAATAAGCACAAGACCAAGAATTATAATCAAAAGGTACTAAACATGGTCTATCAGTACATACTAACTACAACAGAACCTCAGCATGCAGTCTGTATCTCGATTTCAACTGTACGTTTGTTGTTTAATGCTCTTCTCAACATTATTTATTCTAATTATTTTAACTATATAATGTCAGTCTGTAAATCAATGAAGGTAGAGACATGCCAAAGACATCATAAGCATCTGTCTAGGCATTTGAGACACAAAGACATACATCATGTACATCAAATGGGTCACCAGATCTGACAAGCACTGATGAAGGTTTATACACAAGGCAAGGAATCTAAAACACTGGTTGAAGGGAGATAACTCAATTTCATATTCAAAACTGAGAACATCTTAACATGATACTAACCATGTTGATTGCAAATGTCTACCTTATAAATGTGTGAAGACCATGGACTTGTGGGGTCTTATCTAGGACAAACAGAGTACTGGGCATCGGTAGTCCATTGGTGGCTGACGATGCCAGCTTTGACCGCAGTTTGAAGCCTCTCTGAGGACAGAGAATAGCACACTCAATGCAAATACAGTTAGCAACTGTAAACTTTCACAGTCACGGCATCAAGTACTATGTTACACTGAATATTTATATCATCCAGACAAAGAATACTTCACAGGATTTATACCCACTTATTCCTCCATCACCAATGAATTGAAACCCTTTGCATTGTACAGTGTTTCTGTGATATTGGTAGTTTTAGTCTACTGATCAAACAAGGCTTTTCATCAATCACAGAATTTAAATTACCCCCACTCCATGTATGAATTTTGAGCAAACCCTACATTTGCTCCAAATAGAGAAGCAATGTTTGTTTAGAGCAGATGGCAGCATGTTGCAGAAGAAATATGTATGTCTGTTTGACATAATGAGCACAAGTTGGTCTGAGGACTCACTTTAAGGTTTTCCTATCAGTAGAACCAGACTGAGCAAATATACTCCAATCTGTCATGTGTATTCAAGGGTGCAGGAGGAATGTTATGTATGCAATCCCATGAAGTGTTGATGATGCTTAACTGAATTATAGAATCCTTCTTGTTACAGAAACATCATATGTGTATGCAGAGGGATAGTCACAGGCTTTATCCCGAGGGTCAATGCTTAACAAAAGAACTTTCAATGGTTATCTTTTATTTATCAGCGAGATTCAATAATCATTCAGGGGATTCCTGGAAATCTTATCTTAACTAATGCAGTCATATTTAAGCATTGACAATACTTACATTAAGAAGTTGGGTGTGTATGTGCAACACAATAAGATTGATAGCGACATCATTTTCACCACCTGTGACGAGATCAAACAATGTTACGATAGATGACTTTTATTTCACAAATATTTCACTTGAATGATGTACTGACATCTAGTTGATGGCATAAACCTTCATCAAAATGTTCCCAACTATGTCAGGAAGGGAGGAAACGAGGAGACTGTAACAAACGCAATATACTGATGTCACACTGTCGTCATAATGTTAGTGAAGCAAGGTGAAATGGGCTTTAACTTGTTCAACACTGTTTAAAGTTTTATTTATAGCTACATGCACGCATGACTTACTGTGTGGCTGCTTATAGTAGACAGACTAATTTCACCTTCATATTACCTTCCCACTGAGATAACTTGCTTCAGCATAACAGACACCCTACTGAGACTCTATTAAAGGGATTTTTCCAGAATTTCAACTAATTTCAATTGGCATTAAAACTGTTGGGGTTTTTTCGGAGCAGGGTTTTAAAATTCATACTTTTCAACATCAAGAGACTTAGAATTTATAGCTTCTTCCTCTTTATCAGGAAATTGAAGTTACCTCATCAAAGCCATAACTTTACTATGAACATAACCACATGAATTGGGAATGCCATAATTACTATTTGGGATATTTACTGACACATGATGTGAGCTTGATGCCTAATATCAGCCTCTAATCAGGTCTAGATAAATCCCTGTATCCTGTCTTTGAGCTGACCAGTCCCAATAATGCCACAAAGGGAACCATCAAGTACCATCTATAAAAGTCTTTTGGTGTGATGTAGCTAGGGGATCAAACTGAACATTAGAAAACATGACCTCTCATATGTGCTTTGGAATACTGAGGACTCCTCTCAGATATATTGTTATAAAATATACATAACATTAAAAGAAACATCTTGTTACTAAGTTGCCCAAATAAGCAATATACCTCTTGGAACTATGATGTCAGCAGAACTCATTGTAGGTTCAATGTAGTGCTCAAATGCCGGTTTGACAAACTTATTATACTGGTGCAACACCCCTTCCAAGTCACGACCACGATCAGTGATGTCTCGTTTGAGTCGCCTAGCAAGACGGATGTCTGAATCTGTGTCCACAAAGACCTTCATGTCCATCAACTGAAGCAGACACAAAGCAATTTTTAGACATGAACAGAAAGAATCAAAGAATATCTTGTCTCACTGCAACACTATCCTGCAGATTTGAGCATCCTCATTTTTCTTTCAGTATCATATTTGTCTTGTATAGTGCAATAATATCCCAGCTATGGCATGGATTAACAATACCTTATACAGTCGTGCTCCGTTTATCCAAACCTCAGATATCCGGAAAACTCGCCTTCCCGAACGAAAATTCATTAAAACGAATTCACAACGTTGTAAAACTACTCACTTAACCGGAAATCCGGTTTCCGTAACCGGATGGTCATTTTCACATACCAAATGCTAAATCATATGCGTTTTTTTCTCGTATATCTGGATGGTTGAGCACCTGTCAGTATGTTTACACACGCATTTTACCGAGTGGCCTTGCGTGCCCTAACATAAAACAAGGGTTACAAGCCGGCATTCTTTGAAGGGTGAGAGGATTAACTGCCCTTAATTAGCAAGGTGACACTGAGTTAATCTTGAGGCCTGTCAATTGTTATTGGCAAGGCTAGACGTCCCCGTTGTTTACTCACGGAAGAGATGAAAAACACATCAGTCTTATGTTCCGAATTCTGACGATCTGATGAATTAACTTCTACTGTATATGAAGCTCTTTGTGATTTCAAACAAGCCGGGTTGTTGTGAATGAGATGATTGAGTGTTAAGTGACTATTCGCTTCATGATGTACTGGTAAATAAAATCTTAATGAATAAATAAAATACTGCTGTATTATTTCTTTCCGAGTCGTTTCATGGTAATCTGTTTTGTATCAAACCATCCGTCATGTGACCAATTTCCATTGCAGACACAACACACATTGCTGTTTTCGCTAATTCGGCGATGGGATTTGGCTCATTATTTAATTATGTTTTGGGAAATCCATTACAGCGACAGTTAAGTATGATTCTTTATGCTACTATCAGTCGTCATTTTAAGATTCCCGTAGATTTCTGTCTTCAAAAGCGCGAAAATAAAACCTGCGCGAAATACAATACGTTTTACAGTATTTGTTATTTGTTGATCAATCAATCAATAAAGAATACATCTGAGGCTTATTATGTTCGTTTGTTTGTCTGTCTTTTTCCATATGGTCCTCGGTTCAGATATCCGAAAATTCGTTTATCCGAACAATTTCAAGAAAAACACAAGTGTTCGGATAAACGGGGCACGACTGTATCCTGTTTATAAGTCAGACTATCTCAAAGACATTACCACTAAAATTCCTCAACCCTACATCTGAAATTATTGCTTTGACTACGTTAAGATAAGAGCTGTCATCTCTAAAAACATCTTATTCTTCACACTGCCATTAGATAAAGATATGTTTAATGAGAAAGATCATGGAAAAGCTAAGTGTTCAAGAAACCAGGGTGTATTAGGCTGTTAAGCAGATATAAACATGATGAATAACATTACCTTAAGAAGCTCTTTGCTGACAAAGCTCATGATGCCTTCAAAAATCACCACATTAGCACCATAAATTGTTTTCTGAAAAGAACACATGGAGAATAATTTCAGTTTCAGACACTGATATAGTCATAACAGAAATTATGGCAGTAATGGGTCATGCATTTTAATAATTGTTAAAACTAATAAAAAGGACTGACGCCCTTGGCTCTGTATAGAAAGCACAGCGAAGAAACTTTCATTGGAACCTTGTTCATAGTTGTGTCTTCAAACATACAATTACTAACCATGTGTGTTTCCCGACCGTGAGTATTGAAGTTATAGATGGGAACTTCAACATTTTTCCCATCCTTCAGTCTCCGCAAGGTTTCAATAAGCAGTTCAAAGTCGAAGGCATCAGGGTGATCAAAATTGTACTCATTCATTGCAGCTTTTTCATGTTCATCTTTGTTTAGCACCTACAACAATTGTCAATTTGTAGGCATGCTTCTGCACATAAAAACTCTTACAAATAGAATATACTACATAAAGATTTCACTAAACAAACAAGTTTGAGGAGGGATATTGCCACATTGTTTAACTTCTAATGGGAGATGCTTCATAGATTCCCTTGATGGCAAGATTGTCAGATCAGGATTCTGATGAATACTTTCATCAATCTTGTATTACTGTAAACTAACAGAACAATCACAGTTGATGCTGTTTACCTTGTAGAAAGAGTCCATGCTGAGTAAACTGACCCAGGGAACATCTAGGGCTTCGATTATCTTCCTGGCAACTGTAGTTTTACCAGAGGCACTACCACCACAAATACCTGACATGAGAAGTAACCAGTTCATAAACACATACAGGCAAAGGATGTTCAACATAGTGTCTATGATCCAGTCATAGACTGGTTAGATGCTTTCCATGTGATTTACATATTCTTGGTGTTGAACATGTGATTTTCTGAATAAAATTGATATTTTATACTTATCCTGACTCATGCTTATTTGCTTGTCTCCTTCCTCTTGCGAACGTTAGTGGAACACTTGTATCTCCTATTGAAGCTCCCTTCAATAAAAAAGAGACATAAAATCACCACTCACCAAGAGTTATCTGTCCGGCCGTTTTGGCGGGAAAGCGGCGCCACCGTACTCCAATGCTTCACTCTCTCCGAATTATGAGCCTGACACTTGAATTTACAGGGAAATCCAAAGTGTCTAGCGGGGAGGTTGGGAGGGCTTACCTCATGAGTCAGGATAAGTATAAAATATCAATTTTATTCAGAAAATTACATATTTTCCCTTATCCTGACTCATGCTTATTTGCTTGTAGAATCCGTCGGATTTGGTGGTGGGTCAAGCCACTTCTGGATTCCATGTAGTGATTTACGTCTTACATACCCAGAGCTCCAGATAAGACTTAGCTAATGTGGGTACTGTACCCACTGTAATTTCTTGGAGTGGGTATTATGAATGTTGAGTGGGTATTTCATTTTCCGTTACCCACTGCTTTCAAATATGTGCGTATTTCAGTCATTTTACTCACTTAAGTATTATGTCATTGAGTAAGTTTACTAACATGAATGTCTTGCTTTATGTCATACCGAATCAAAACCAACTTAAATATAATGGAAATGATTTCATAAAAAAAATCAACCAACTTAAATATAATGGAAATGATTTCATAAAAAAATCACTCATCCTATACTGACAGTACAACACTTGTCCTATACTAACAGTACAACTTGATAGCAATCGATGTCTTTTTCATTATGCAAGCGATTTTTATAAATATAATCCGTACGCTTTTGTTTTAAACTTTTTGCGTATCTAACATTTTAAATGCGTAATTGGTACGCAACAATTATTTTTCAATGCGTAATTGGAAATTTTCTATGCGTATTTTACCCGGATACGCAGCTTATCTGGGCCTCTGCATACCCCCTATGGGAACTTCCTGGTAGCACTTCTTTTACTGTTAGGCTCTGCTGCTGCTGTAACCCTTCACTTCCAGCTTTCTCTGATGGGGGGACCACAATTGTTAACTTTTGGTCCTTGCTTCTGTTAACATTTTATGTGGATTTGCGAGCATCAAGTGGAGAAGCGACCCTTTCCTGTACGATTATGTCCTCACAAGTACTGGGTCATATCACTTATGCTAGTCTGTCCTAGACGTGCATATCGACGCAAAAGCTGAACTCTCCTGAGTGTTGGCTTTTGCAAGTCATGTGATAAAAGGGCGAGACTCCGTCTCAGCGCCTTTGTGGGACTGTCAATTGTTGTGCTACAACAAGTGGGCCGAAATGCCAGAGACGTCCTCGCCGGCGATGTCCCTCAGGTAGTGGTTGGCAAACACCATGTCCCATTTCCAGAAGCAGCCCTCCATTATCGTCCTGATAGAGCAATTCCCATGTAGAGCGAGTGTTGACGCCAGAGCTCTAACTTCATGTGGGTTGGAGGCTCTTGGAGGATCAAGTCCTGCTGCTTTGTAGGCCCGTAGTATGACAGTTCTGATCCAGATTGATATCTTAGTGCAGCAGACCTCCGTCTGTGTTGCTGTCGATATCGGGACAAAAAGACGCTTGAATTTCCGCCTCTTGGACCTGGATCTTGTAGGTAGACTTGCAATGTTCTCACTGGGCACAAGGATAGGTCCTGCGTATCCTGTGGTCCAAGGACTGATGATAGTGTTGGGACGTGGAACTGTCTGTCTGGATGACCTGGCAGTTGATTCTTTGCTATGAAGTCCCATCTCAGTCCCATATGCACGATGTTTTGATCTTCATCAAATCATGTTCTCTCGAAGTCCAGAGTAGGTATTTCCGACATCCTTGCTGCTGTTGCTAAGGCGATCAGGAACTATCAAGAACTCGAAGGATGTCCTCTCTAATGGTTCGTAGATGTCACTGGTGAGATGTCGTAGAACTACGTTGAGGTCCCACACCGGAGCTTTAAATCTCTGTTGTTGGTCCTCCAATTTATAAGAGCGTAGTAAGGCCAGTAACTCTGGTACTTTCGTCAGTTGCACTCGTCCTCATGGCGATAACTGAGCTCAATGCCGCTAGGTATGTTGAGAGTGTTGACCCTTTTAACTACTTCGTTTGTCTAGATGACAAAAGTAGTCCGCCACTTGAGGATGTGACGCTTTTATGGCTGTGAAGCTGGTCCTCGAAGCGTATGTCTCGAAGCGTCGCCACTTGTCGTCATACAAGTTGCGTGTAGACTTGCGTAGAGCTAGTGTGACTGCTTTCGCTGCCCTGGCGGAATATCCTCTCTTGTTCAAGCATGCCTTGATACAGTCCACACGTGTAACCGGAACACCTCTGGGTTGCCGTGCGCCTGCTTTGTGTGAGGATGTACTAGTAGATTCGTCCACTCTGGTAGTTGCAGTTGAGACAGTCCTAGGTCTTGTTTGAGAATAGGGAATCATAATCTCGCTGGCCAGTAAGGCCGCGACCAAAATCAGTTGTTGGTCCTTCGTCTGACTGATTTACTGCAACACCCTCGGTATTAGAGCTGGTGGTGGAAACGCGTAAGCGTTTAGTCCTTGCCAGGAGATGCTTAGAGCGTCCGTTGCCCATGCTCGTGGATCTGGTATTGGTGAGATGAATGTTATCAGTTGACCCTTGTGGCGAAGAGGTCTATTAGTGGTGCTCACACCTCTGTTATGATCTGCTTGAAGATCTCTGGATGTAGCATCCATTCTGTTGAGGATGGCTGCGTTGGACGGGATAGTGCATCTGCTATCACATTCTTGGCTCCTGGAATGTGGCATGCTCTTATGTGGATGTTCAGGTTGTCTGCTATGCTGGCCAGTTGAAAGCAGAGGTCCAGAAGGTTCGCAGACCTTGTTGACCCTTCTGTGTATGTAGAACGCCACTGTGGAGTTGACTGTATGTACCGTCAGATGAGCATTCTTCAAAATGCTGGTCCTGTAGAGTATGGCGTTTATCACTGCTTTCATTTCCAGCATGTTGGTGTGCAGATCTTTCTCTTCTATGGTCCATAACCCAGCTGATACTTCGTTGTCGAGGTGTGCTCCCAACCTTGGAGAGATGCGTCCACATAGAGATGCGTCTGGCACTCCGGCTCTGCTAAATAGGTGCGTCTGCGACCATCCGATCTCTGAGTCCACCATATTAGATATGGTTTTAGTCTGTTCGGGAGTCCGAAGGGGTCCGGATCGTACAGTTGTATATTCACGAAGACCTGTAGTAGGCGTAGTTGTAGACTCCCTCTGCGTGTCATGTCCTGTGCTGACGTGAGAAGACCCAACAGACTCTGCCACTTCGTAGTAATAACGGAGAGAGTAGTGCTTGTCCGACTCTGTGACTGCCATCTTTGTGAAGTCGATATAAGGTAGTCTGGCTGCCGTCACCCAAAGTCCGTCCAACGTATGTTGCTGCAATTCGTCTGATGCATCGTCTTCAATGTTGACAGGGAAGGTATCTAACCCCGTGAAGGCAGCCAAATCACGTAGGTCCCGTCTAACTAGACTGTAATTGAGGCCTTCCTCTCTCGTTGACAGGTTGTTGTCACTTGTAACCCATTTCCTGACATGTGAACTATGTCCGACCTCTGTGCAGGGCGTTGTCTCTCATGGTCCAATCAAAATAAAGCATTTTGATTCCTTTGGCTTGCCGCGATGTGACGTCACCGGTGTAGCAGGAAAAAGGTCCTTGTAGAATCTAGTGCCGCTGTTGATATCTTATCACCACTCGGTCTTGGCCGTAGTCTTCCTGAGTTACACGAGTGACCACGTGTATCGAGGGTTGAATGGTAAACGCGCGAAATATTTCGCCGCGTAATACCGATGTAGGTAGGCTGTTTTCCTGGCTGCTGGGACTGTTACTTCAGTCCTGAAGATAATGCAGTCGCCCTTTTATACAGATGATCAGCTGAAATCTTCACGTCCTCAGTGCTGCTATTGTAGACTGCATACATCGCTTTTATCTCAATGAAGCGTCGTAATTGTAGAGTTGATGCTGAACTTTTGTTGTAAATTCTACCCAGAGTCGTTGACGATTTCGTAGTTTCCTAGACTTAGCAAGGCTGCTGCTGAACCACGCCAGTGTGAATATCTGCAGATCTGTACGGAAGTGAAGATCTGTATATGGCCATGAGTCTTCTGATGTAGATATATCAATCTATGTGAATCCCGTCGTGGATTCAGTCCGAAGGTCCGTGCCGGTGATGAATTCGGACAAGAGTACCCCTCTTGAACTTCATTACTTGTCCCTCAGTCTTTGTGCCGACGAAGATCCTTCCCTTCTAGGGTGACGCTAGGTCCAGTCCGCCATCGTGTCTTGGTTGAATATCCTTGGAGATCTGCATAGCGATCTGCATGGCGGTCGTGCGTGGTGCGTCTGTATGACGCCCTGTGTGTAGGTGATCGTCTTGTAGTCCGGGATTGACTTCCTGGCAATGTATTCCTAAATGGGGATTCCCGTGATGATCTGCGAGGAGTTGTTGATGCCCTTGAGGTAGGTAGTCGGCGTGAAGGTCCTTTATTAGGCTCATCATCTGTTGACAGTCTCTGAAGATTGCGCCGTCCTGTGCGCAGTCTCGTTGACGGCATGTAGCGTTCTGTTGAGAGTGTAAGTACTGCGACGTCTCTGCGTTGTAGATGGCCTGCGCGAATGTCTTCGCGCAGTCTCGTTGACGGCATGTAGGGTTCAGTTGAGAGACTAAGTACTGCGATGTCTCTGCTTCGCTGGGGGTCTGCGTGGAGACCTGCGTGGAGACCTGCGTGTAGATCGGCGTGTAGATCGGCGTGGAGAGGAGCCCGGTGAACTGCGTCTGTAAGGCGACCTGCGGGGAGACCTGCGCGGAGGTGAGCGTCTCTTGGTTCGCGAATGCCTCGGTGAATCCCTCGACGATCTATGTGATGTTGAAGATGTCTTTGAGGCTGTGTCCAAAGTCCTTCACGAGTGCCTTCGCGAATGCTGATCATCTGATTCGACATCTGGGGATAGGCGTGTCGTCCTTCGCGAGTGCCTTCGCGAATGCTGATCATCTGATTCGACATCTGGGGATAGGCGTGTCGTCCTTCGCGAGTGCCTTCGCGAATGCTGATCATCTGATTCGGCATCTGGGGATAGGCGTGTCGTCCTTCGCGCAGGCTGGTTGACGTCCTGAAGCGTAGATCGGTTCCCGGTCGTCACGTAGCTGGAGGGCCTCTCTGAAGCATCATCTGCGTTGGAACCTTCGCGAAGGTCCGGGTCCGTTCTGCAGGCTGGTTGTTGATCATGCGATGCCCTTTCCAGTGTGAAGCGCCTCTCCATCATCTCCAGGGTCTGCTGTGAGAACTGCTGCATGAAGTCCCCCGGGTTGAATGTCTGCGGTGAGAGATGAGCTGCCCTCTCTGCGTTGGTAGCGATATGGCCCAGGGATCGCTCATCTGCCGTCAGTGTAGATACCTCGGACTGCGTAGACATCTGCCGCCCTCGGACTGCATGTTTGTATCTCTGGGATGATCAGCAGCGGCTCATCATGAAGTCATCTCACTTCCATCAGGACAATGTCTGCCAAAAGGTCCCTGTAGTCTGCGCAGAAGTCCCCGTAGAGCTGCTAGGCGTCTTAGGGGTGTGAGGCTTCATTCTGCATAGAGGATGGCTTCTTCTTCTACGTCTGCGTTGAGGGGTTGTCCGATGTAGAAGCCAACATCTTCGAAGTAATGGTGGACAACATCCCACGCCCATCCTCCGAGGACACCTCCGGCAGGTCACTGGATGGTAGTAAGTCGTCTGACAGCAGTAGACAGCTCGTGAGGGACTCAGCCAGTTTATCCATGACTTGTAAAGTCACCTGGATTGTCGGTAGTACATCTAAGTACAGAGAAAAATTATTTATTAAATTGAATTTCTGTTAAATGCTGATAAAGATTACATCTATAGCTGGAAGTACATGTTGTTGTGCAGCTAGGGCACAGTCAATGCGGGTTTGCAGCGGCGAACCTAAACCTACAACGAAAATAGGTTTTCATGAAATGTAAACAACTGAACAAACACGGACAAACCGTGCATAAACAGTGCAAAATACGAATAATTTTTAACCCATATTGTTGTAAGAAACTTCCTAAACCTCTATAAAAGTAAAATAGAGGGTAATAACTAATCAATAAAAGGATATAGTGCCGTATAGGAGACACAGGCGCTCCCCCAACCGCCCACTAGGGCCAAGAAGGAGAGAGTGAAACATGGGAGTACGGTGGCGCCGCTTTCACACCAAAACGGCCAGACAGATAACTCTTGGTGAGTGGTGATTTTACGTCTCTTTTTTATTGAAGGGAGCTTCAATAGGAGATACAAGTGTTCCACTAACATTCGCAAGAGGAAGGAGACAAGCAAATAAGCATGAGTCAGGATAAGGGAAAATTAATACAAACTATTGACGTATATGCCCAATTATACACTCGCTTAACCTTGATTCGTGGATATAAGGGAAGTGCGGCAAAAATCATATTTTAAATGCACAGTTTCATTTTGTATACTCACTGATTATTTTATTCATTGATTCAGCAAATTGAAATATTCCACTTGTGAATGAAATGTTTGTTTACTGAAGCCATGTGAAATCATCACACATTTGTGTGCCTACAAACTGAGACATCACCTTGTTTCGTGGATTACATAATCGGTTACTATATATCACTAAGTATGGACACCTTGGAAAGCAGACGACGACATGTGAGAAGGTTGGTGCTAACTGTATCTTTTTTACTTGACATTTAGTAACAATATAATTTGGTATTGGCGGCATTAGTGATTTTGGGCTATTTATCTCAGAGCTGGACACATTGGATAAGTGTATGTACGTGTAATGCACAGTTTCAGAACATTTTTGTCACTTAGCAGTAGAGGACGTAACGTGTACGTGAGACGGTCCCCCATTACGCATACAAGTGAATCCCTGAGAGGGGGTCACTCATTCGCGTGACTGCCTGATCACAGACAGGGAGATTCTGCATGTCACACAAAAATGAGCCTAAAAGTGTTATTTATCAAAATAATTACACAACATTTGCTACAGTCATCGATCATTGTTCAAGTTATTGATTGACATGAATGAAAATGTAAAAAGAAAATAATAAATAGTCAAATTTTGACAAAAATGTGCAATATTTAACGATATTTAACAGCAAATTTCACCTAAGTGCATATTTTTCAGAAACTTACATTTGGTATTTTCTGAAAGCTCATTCATCATAGATTCAAAATATATATGCAGCTTTTGGGGCACACAAACGCACACCTATTTGTCATTGTGTTGAAACATGTTTACTTTCTTCGAAACTGCGAGAACCGTACCGCGTAGAAGTGACAGGGGAAGCGAGTCATGAATGGGAGGTAACTGATGCCTGACTCAACTGTTCAGTCAGAACATCCATCTTGTGACTTGAACTGTCTGAAGCGTCTGCTTAGGTGTGGCACTGTATCTATGTACATCAAATGTACCACTTTGTGACGTCATACAAGACTTAATTTACAAGATAGCATGATAATTACCGCGATGCACGAATCAAGGTTACATACAAATTTAGGTTACGGTTCTGTAACATTTATCTTGAATACCACATTGATCTGTTAAGTCTGAAACCGCCCATGATGATAATGACAGATGTTAACCACATTGCTGCTGTCACTAACTACATATATTAATATTAACTCTCACTCACCTATTACAAAAGGCTCTTTGAGCTGACCCTGAAAGTTGTACCATGGCGGTCTTCCTGATGTGTACAATGTACGACCAGCAGTGTGCACTACTCTGTTACTGGACTTATTACTGCTGCTTGGTGCTCTACCCTTCTTCTTTCCTGGGGTAAGTTTGGAGGGACTTTTAGGTACTTTTGTTGGCGATCGAGGTGCAGGCACATTTTTGCCATCTTCAGGGCTATCTGGACGAAATGCATCCTCACCACTACCACAGAAGAACAACATGAATTATCCTGATGACCATGTTAATAGCTTGCAATACAAATTATATACTTGTTAAAATCATCAACCAATTGCAAGCATGAATAACAGGCTCACATTCATCATGTTAATGCAATTCAGAAATAATACTACAGTTTATGCTGTGTAGTATGTTACAATTATCAGAGTAGTTCTCCAATTCATGTATTGCATTTGCCATACTATCAGTAACCATTCTATGAGAAGAATGAACCTTTTGCGTTTGATAACATCAACTTTAAAAGCAAGTTCTCATCAGTCACACCATGATGGGCCAATATCAGTTACCCATGACGTAATGCATACATTAAGGGAGCGTGATGGGCGAGCTGGCTAAGGCGCCAGGGTAGTCATCCAGTGAACATTAGGTGCTAGGATCGAGCCCACCTGTGACCGGGTGTAAAACCCTTAGAGTCAACTTTGTGTGCAGACTCTTTCAGTGTTGTCACAAGCCCAAGTGTACAGTACACAACCCTGTTAGACCCAAGGTGCCTTAATTCTCTGGAGAGGAATTCTGTCCCTTAGTCATGCCAGTATCCAGTTATCATGGTTTCGAATGATGAGAAGTCAGAAAATGAACCTTAGTCTGTCATCACAATACCGACGTGTATATGCTTCACCATTGTTGCACACACACTCTTGACCACTGAAGAAATGCTTAGGACCTGCACTACTTTGGATTTTACTCGCACATGTGGGACATGTTTGTGCCATCATCATATGTTACATTTTTCTGGCAACTCTTCCTAACTCGCCAAGCAGGTCATAGGGTAGTCTGTCATACAGACCCTGAAACATATATATCCAAGAAAGCCCATGCAAGTCTAGATAGTGTAGATTTCCAGTTTCATTTCTGAAAATGAAGAATGTCTCTGGGCTCCTTTTCATTTTTTTATTTCATGATTATTTTTTATGAACAGTTTTTTTCTGTAAAACACGTTCATTTCAGAGACTAGATGTTATCTCGTAACAGGGATAACTAGTGTAATACCCATTATCAATTTTGTATCTATTGTATTATTACATAATGTTTTGGTTATAAGTTCATGTATCACTTTGGTGGTTTTGTAACCAGATTGTTTAGGAAAGAGTTTTCTTTCGCACCTGACATTCAATTTTTACCTATTTAAACAATATGTACAAACAGTAGAATATACCAAGTTCTTCACTCAATAGTTACATTGACATGATTAAGGAAATATGCAATAACATAAACAAGACCTATGATAATGATGATGCCTATGAGAAAGTGGATATATTTGTAACATTGAGAAGCACTGAATTTGGCACCAATATTAATTAATTCATGTTTATGCAGCAACCTTAAAATTTCTGAGTCCTGTGCTGGAATTCGAACCACGGATCTTCTGGTCCAAAGTCAGACGCCTTGCCCACATGACCAAAGAGGGTAACTCCGACCTGTGAAGGTCCGGGTCAGAATATTGATCTTCAGTAACCCATGCTTTTCGTAAGAGGCGACTAACGGGATCGGGTGGTCAGACTCGCTGATTTGGTTGACCCACATGTCATTGGTTCCCAAAACACATAGATCATTAACATACACCTTGTATGATGTTCACACGTCACAAACTCAACTAAATATGCAAAACTGCATTGAGCTGTGTCGAAATCAAGGTACTTCTTACTTTTTTACTCATGTTGATGTGTATTACCCAATTCATTACAAAAACTAGAAAAGCATGTCTTCCTTTTTGAATATTCAGCAAGATTAACAAAATGAGAATTTTAAAATGAAAAGATACACACGCACTAGAAAAAATATAATTGCATACAGACTATTCATCGCTGTTGTTATTTAATTAACGAAGAACTGTCAGTCTGGAGGTGGGTGAGACACTTATTTATTCTGCATCCTGTCACTTATGAACTGATGTGTTGCCACTGATGGAAGCCAAACAGATTGAATGAGAGAGTTCGTCAGAACGACAATGACAGCGCAGCGCGAAGATTTGACAGATGTGATTAAACTCGCCCGCACACAGAATATCATCATTTACTTTACATCAGCACAACGCCCCCTTTCACATGTAGGAACTTAAGTAATAGTCTTGGTCGACTGCGCAAACAACGCATATTATGTGCAGGGCAAAGTGCCAAATATCTCAGCATGGATATCACGTGGCATCTGATTTAGCGTTATTCCGATAATCATAACGATTTTGACAGGTAATACTTGGCAGAAATTCGAACAAGCCATGTTTCCAAATCAGTATAAGAGGTCACAAAAATTCAAACCTGTCAGATGCTGAACTCGCCGAACTTGGAGGATCAAATTTAAAACCTGCGTCCGACATTGCTCTTTGTTTTGTCATTCAGGACACTCTTCAATACAGACGCGCGATTGGATGATATAAATACATACTCATGACCGAAATTTGTAGAACAGTCTTTTGGGCAAGAAAATAATCAAACCTTTCTTCAAATTTCAGATATAGTACTAAACAAAATCAGAGGATTTTATCTTGCATGTTGAAACACATGGGCTCTCGGCATTTCTTGCCAGTCATTGGTCCATTTCTGTCAGAAGACAACTCGCACTATGTTGGGTACTCGTATCTACTGAATGGCGTGATAATGCTTTGGCCAACTCTATGCTTAATAAATCGCACGTTCACTCAGATTTTGTGTCAGTCAGTCGTTTTCTGCCAGGCATACATGAAACATATTTCAGTGAAAACCAGTCATTGTTTAGAATGTGCCTAGTTTCAGAAACTGTCATCAACATATTGATGTGATCAGCTGGTGATACCTGGACAGAAGCAGAGTAGGTCTAAAACTGTTGATAGAACTTTTACTGTTGCACAGTTGGATGCGAAGTGACAGCTGGAGTATTTTGAATGAACCGTTTTTGCAGGTGTATAAATATCAAGTGGTCATAGAAGGAAAACATAATTGTTGACCAGCAAAGAGAAATAGACCAACAATGTTGAACCAGCTTTTGAGATTTGGAAGTGATTTCACTCGAGATATTGGACTGTCCCCAGTGTCAGTGTACGCAGTCACCTTCCTGGTGGTTGTATTGTCAGCTTTATTCTTCTACAGAAAAAGATCCAAGGTAAGCTGATCAATAACAAGACGTATAAATAAGTTATAAACACTGACGTGCCTACTTCTGCGTACGAGTCATGCTCCTAGGCAAGGCTCTGGGGGTTTTACACGCCGTTGCAAATTATCATGTTTGTGTTAATGAATTTAGTTCTGTGATAGGTTGACGTGTACATGGGACTCTTGACCTATGTATATAAGTATCGTCAAATGAGTTGCACAACTATCATGCAGATAAATCTTCTACAAGTTCTACTTTGTTTTCAGACTCATACAAGGGCGGTGGGGTATTGTGGTTATTGTGTGTTCCGCACGTCACGCTCACCCGGGTTCGATTCTTCACATGGGTACATTGTGTGAAGCTCATTTCTGTTGTCACCCGCCGTGATATGCTAGAATATTGCTAAAAGTGGAGTAAAACCAAACTCACTCACTCACTCACTCACTCATACCCGACAGAATTGGTTCATTTTTGTTCAGTGCTAAATGAGCCTCTCCTCATGGATCTAAGTCAGTTTGACTGGAAATGGGTACCACAACCCCACCATGGGTTAATTTAATGTTGTGAAAAGAGGAATGTGGATTCCCGGTTGGATTTCACAGGATTTGTGAGTTTTTCAGTTTCAGTCTTAGAAAATGTCCAAGATGATTCAAGTTTTTATTTTTTTGTTTCATCCTTTCGTTATTTCTGTAGTAAAGTAACTGTGTTTTGTCATACATTTAGAAAGTTCAATAACTAAACTGTTAAGTTCACATACTTAACAGCCTCCATGAATAAGAAAACTTAAAGTTTAAAAAAATTAAAATATAGTACTAGCCGTCATGACTAATAAGAAGTGTTCGTGTTTATTTGAAACACTGTGTTCTAGCCAGTGACGCTTACTGACCCTTTGCTGTGACTTCATGTGGAGATGGGCATGAGAAATGTCAGGTACACATACATCAGAGATAGGAATTTTACTGATTGGCTCCAACACTGACCTGATAACTGATAACACACTGGAGGCCATCAGATGATACTAGACAAGTGGAATTCCATTCAGGAAGGACCTGTTGGTTATTATAACAGGTTGTACATGATAAAGGTACAAGCCCTTACTAATGGTTGACTTGGAATGTTTTCAGTGGTCTTTGGGGCAGTCTTTTTTTTGCACTCTGATAACTAGATTTGCCACCTACACTCAGTGACTTATTTTTACACATCAACTGAGGTCCTATTTTTAGGACCGCCTCCGTGGTGTAGTGGTTAGAGCGTCCGTCCGGAGAGCGGAAGGTCGTGGGTTCGATCCTCGACCGCGTCATACCAAAAGACGTTAAAATATGGTACTTGTTGGTCCCTGCCTGGCGCTCGGCATTAATGGGTGCAACATGGATTGGTCGGCTCGGAGTCAGTATAATGTGTCTGAGTGGGGTATTCATGCTTCACTGCGGCATGGTATCTCAGTGGGCTAGCACTATAAAACCAGCTTAAGTCTGGGCTAGTACAAGCAGCCGCATATACACATACACACGCATGCACATCGTCATTTGAGCAAAATATTCTCAAGCACGACGTAAAACCCAATTTCACCTCACCAATTTTTAGGTAACACCAGGTATTGATGGGAGGTTGATTTTCAAGCTGTTGTAAATGTGGAAAAGTTTTATCCTCTCATTTGAGACAACCACAATCTTGCAGCTGTCCATACCCATCTTAGCTAAGGGACTGATCTTATATTAGGGGGAAGGGGAGTTAGTCAGGTATTAAACAAAATTGATTGGGAAGAGGGGGCCAGGCATTTTACTGAGAGGGTTGAGTAAAAATTTATCACATCTAAAGGATGTGGATCAGGGCCCCATTCCACAAACCGATCGTAGCGCTATGACAGTCGTAAGTCTATGTTAAAGTATGGGAGTTACGGAGTCGTAAGTCTATGTTAAAGTATGGGAGTTACGATCATCTTAGTGCTACGATTGCTTTGAGGAACTGGTCCCTGGGCATGAAACATTGACGATTGGATGGAGCTTTTTTGCCCCCCAAATGATAAATTTGATCATTTTGTGGGAGTAATCCTTCTTAGGTGGTGATGCAAAATATGACACAGTCTCACCAATCTGTCCAAGAAATTGGATGGACGTTTTTCATGTAAATTTGTTTTTATTTCAGGTGTCTGTGGTTGGAAAACCAAGCCATGAATTTGAGTCAATCCCAAAAGACCAAGAGGTCATTGTTATTGGTTCTGGTGTCTTGGGATCGGTATTGGCTACTGTACTGGCCAGGGATGGACGCAAGGTCACGGTCATTGAAAGGGATCTGAAGGAACCAGACAGAATAGTAGGGGAACTATTGCAACCTGGGGGACTGGGAGCGCTCAAGAAACTTGGGTTAGGAGGTAAGTAAAAATAGCATCTCATTGTAGAAGAACAAAGTTCAGGACAGCAGTTTCTAAGCAAATTCATAATTATATCTCCAGAGTGGCAATGGAGTAGATTAGTAAATCATATGCTTGATAACGGTGTTAGTAGCTACTCCGAAACGGTCGCTCATATTATATTAAAGAAGTTGTATATCCATAGAATTCTCCTCACTGGTGTAGATTAGGTTTCATTTTTAATGTGGTTGCAATGTGTGTAGCCCTTTTCTGGTATAATATTGTAGTAATAACGGTAAGAACAATGTAAACCTGACCTAGAAACACACACATTATCGTCCACACACGCATGCCTCGAATTCACGCATGCACGCAATCACACACACAATGAAAGCATGTTGTACTCCTGTCCTCTTCAGTTTTTCGTCTTGTTCTCATTAAATGAATTTATTGGCATTTTCAGTTGCCCACAATTATGATAACTGGTAACCCAAGCCCTGTGTTAAAATCCTACGTGTAAGTGGTGACCAAATGGGCCCCTTTGCTGCACATGAATTGCAACCCTGAATCATTTTTACTAAAATTTGGAAGCATAAATGAGATGTTATGGGGAGAAGCATAAAACTTTGGGGCATTGGCGCAATGTGCAGATTCTGCTATATGTAGGCAATTATCAAATACTGGAGAATCTGCACAAACTGGTTCTTGAAGAGCTTCTGTTATTTTTACATGTTTTACATTAGTCCGACCTGTATTTATGTATTATGACAAAGGAGTTGTAAATCAATGTATTGAAAGTCTTGTATTGAAGTACAATACTGTATTGCCATGTTGTTGCACCACTAAAGTACTGTCGGAAATAGATAAAAAACACCTGTTTTTTCACATATATATCTACAATTTATGAAGTTTAAATGTGAAAGTGTGAAATATCTGTGAAACTAAGTTCGGCCTAACTACAGTCTCAGTGGTAGGGCAATAGGAAACGTAAAAATATGACTTTACTGAGGAGAGATTAGTGCAGAAATGAGCAATGCAGGTTTTTTCTAAGTCCAAAGCAACTTATTTAGAACAGACCATGGCTTTATGCAAATTAGTGTGCGATGATATTGTATTTCAAAGGACACTTTTTAAATGCCTATTTTGAAACTAGACTTAGCTTCATTATAAAGCTGCGATAGCTGACATAAAAATATTAACTTTAATACTGAAACTATGAAGGATGTAGCTACCATGGAGCCTCACTATCACTTTAAAAAGAAACAGGTAGGAGGGTCGTCTGAAAAGAAAAACCAGGACGGGTGTCGCAGACAGTGGTTGGGGTCATACTGGGGGATAGAGATATCAGCTACAATAAGATAATCCTTTAGGGGAATTAAACTGGGGAAAGTAAACGGCATGTCTTAACAATTAGCAAATAATATCCAGTCCTGTCGATCTTTGGGTGGTCTTGCCACCTATATATTTTGAGACATTTAATACGATAGTTGATTTAAGCTTTTCTATGGGTATCACATTCTTTTACATATCTCAACATACACGTTATGAAAGACACGTAAGATGATAATCAATAGATGAGACATATTCAATACACATCAAAAAAGCATAAAATATCTTTGTGATGACCCCTTGTGCCTGTAGGCAGCACATGCATTTCATGCCAGATGAGTCGACAGTCCGTCGTCATACCTGGCTGAGCGATCAATTGCCATCTATAGTCTGATCTATTGTTTTCAGCAGCTAGCTGTATTTTACGAGTAAACATGCACTTCTGGATACCCTATTACACATCCCACTGAACACCCAGTTAGGCCGATGTGGGTTATTTCAACATATGCTACTTGCAGTTGTGTAAATTTTAGGGGTACAGAGTAACAACCTAAAATCAGTTTTTTTCTATTTCCGACAGTACTTTAGTAATTACATCATTACTGTGACATGTTTTTGTAGATTGTGTCGAAGGATTTGATGCTCATGAAGTGAAAGGCTATGTCATTCATGACCTTGAGACCAAGGCTAAAGTTCAGATCCCATATCCAAGCAGTGAGGACAATGCCATTATATCAGGAAGAGCCTTTCATCATGGGAAGTTTGTCATGGCGTTGAGAAGAAAGGCTCAGAGTGAAAAAAAGTAGGTGTCTCTTCTTTTTTAAATACTTTTTTCCCCAAATCATTGGTGTACTCACTAAAGTGAGCAGACCTCACACTAGTCTGTCATACAGACCCTGAAGCAAATATACTAAGCAGCAAAAGAAATGTCAGTTTGGAATTTTCCTTTGCAGAAATGGATAACTGTAAACTCATTTAATGTTTTGATTGTATATTTTTGACAACATCTCCAACTTTACCTGAGCAAAGACATTCCTTCCCAAACTCAGAATGGAACCCAGGAAACGGTCTAAAAAACGCAACCTGATCTCAGAGATGGTATGGTGTTCTCCATGTTTTTCATGCAACTCATGCTGCACGTGCTGTTCACAATGACCAGCCCTATAAAATGCATCCCAAACCTGGTTGAAACATTCACATAACAACGTCAGCAGGATGCCGCGACTCACGACAGCTCAGAGGAACCAGGCGCTAGGAAGACTTGAAGCTGGCCACACTGCACAAGCCGTTGCCAATCACTTCCAGGTCAACGTTCAGACCATCTACAGGCTGCAGCAACGTTTCCGGGCCACCAACACCACAAATGATCGCCCCCGTACTGGCAGACCAAGGGTGACCACAAGATGACAAGACTGCCATGTTGTGCGACAGCATGTACAGAATCCCTTCATGCAGGCATCCGAAACAGCACGCCAGACAGTGGGAACACACAGAAGACCAATCAGTACTGATACAGTACGCCGACGTCTCAACAGCGGGAACCTCCATTGCCGTAGACCTTACCGTGGACCTATCCTACCCCTCGTCATCGGCGTGAACGTCTACAGTTTGCCCTACAACACCAAAACTGGTGATACAGGCAATGGAGAACTGTTCTGTTCACAGATGAGAGTCGGTACAACTTATAAACTGCTGATGGCAGAACATGAATATAGCGACGACGTGGCCAGCGTTACTCAGACCAATGTCTTATGGAAAGAGATTCATGGGGAGGTGCAAGCATCATGGTATGGGGTGGAATAGGCCTGAACCAGAGAGTGGGTCCTGTGGTGTTCCAGAACCTTGGTCCAGGGAGAGGAGGCGGCATCACAGCAGTGCGCTACATCGACCAAGCTTTCAGACCCCACGTCATACCACATTTCACACGTCACCGGAACAACATTTTCCAGCATGATATTCCCGGGCCCATACTGCCAGAGCTACACGGGACTTCCTACAGCAGAACGGTGTCAACATTATGCAGTGGCCAGCCCTTAGTCCTGATTTAAACCCAATTGAACATCTTTGGGATGAAATTCAGAGGAGACTGAATAATGTCATACCAAGGCCCAACACAGCCGATTTATTGCGCCAGGCCTTTCTCAGAGTGTGGTTCCAGGTGCCAATGGCCTTCATCAATCAATTGGTGCACTCCATGCATAGACGCTGTGTTGCAGTTATTGCCGCTCGTGGTGGTCACACTAGATACTGAAGTCAAGGGTCTGACTGGACTGCAAACGTTCACGTAATGTCTTGGAATTGTGCTTAGTTATTCAATGATGTGCAAAGATATTGTACACAAAAAAATGTGTTTGATCCGCTTATTATGTCCATTTCTGTAATGATTTAATTACAGTGCCTATCTAATTTTGAATTCGTACTGACGTTTGTTTTGCTGCTGAGTATATATCCAAGAAAGCCCACGCAAGTCTAGAAAATGTGGCAAGTCTAGATTTCCACAGCTTCTGAATATAAAGAAAGTCTCAGGGCTCATTTTCATTGTATTCTTTTTTTTTCTGTGAACCTTTTTTCTGTAAAATATTTTCTTATATGAGACTAGTTTTTAGTCTAACCTCACACATTTCTTTGCTTTGCTGCTGAATGTATTATGTTTCATACAAACATGTATTTTGACAGTGATATCTTCTTGAAAATATCTAATTAATTTATTACTTAATGTCATAATAAAGTAGCCAGTAAATGATCAGTTTGACAAGTGAATCCATTCATATGGTAAAGTCAAATTGCAGTGTTTCCGTTCTGTTATAAATTTACCAATTCACTAGACCAGCAGCACTTAAATATTCTAGTACATTTGACCAATAGTTACATTTACAGGTAAATGGCCTATTTTACCAGTTAACTTCTGGCAGTTACTGGTAAACAGAAACACTGGTAACTCTCAATCAGTTGTAAGCAAACATGTTTCTGCTCACAAGTACAACCAGTTGCAGTTTTAGATGTTTATTGTGCAATTTGTCTTTCAGTGTATCATATATAGAGGGAACTGCAACAAAACTCATTGATGACCAAGGCTTCGTTGTCGGTGTTGAGTACAAGAAAAAAGGCTCAGATAAAATAGAGGTATATTCTGAATACATGCTGGTTTGTTAATACGAGATCATGTGGACAAGTGGATAAACTGATCTTCGGTTGTGGCAGGAACATATCATCTCAGTATTGTCCCTTGTGACATTTTTAACTTCCTCTTTAGATATGCTTGGAGAAATGAGCTTGGTGTTGCTGGCCAAAAGGTACTTTTGTCTCTTCAAAATGCCAAAAAAACGTACATCTGATGATAGTTATCCAAAAGGATACATTAGGTTTAGGCCAAAGCTGTATTTGTGAATGCATATTAGTCTTGTCTATATTAATGAAAAATAAAAGTTTTGTTTTGTTATCCCAAACATGATTCAACAGGAGATATTGTAAGCAAAATCTTCTTTCAGTTAAAATCTGTATTTGATTGTTTAAAAAATGAGGTAATACATATCTTTATCCAACTTGTATTTATTGTGCAATATTTGTTCACTTTTCAGGAAATATATGCCCCTCTGACAATAGTTGTAGATGGATGCTTCTCCAAGTTCCGCAAACAACTAGTTACTGAAACTGTCAAAGTGTATTCTCACTTTGTGGGGACTGTAATGAATGACTGTCCTCAGGCTCAACCTAACCATGCAGAACTCGTGCTGGCTGACCCGAGTCCAGTATTGGTTTACCAGATCTCATCGAATCACACACGAGTGCTAGTTGATATTCGTGGAGGCATGCCCAAAAACCTGAAGGAATACATGCTGGAACATATTGCACCTCAGTTACCTGGTAATACTTGATTCACACGTTCGCCATATTGGTCAGGTTTGTAGTCTAAAATATACAAAATTGCAGATCAACACAGCAGTGTAATGGGTTTGTTTGTTTGTTTTTTCAGAAACAGTTGTAAAATTTTTGACAGAGGATTGAAATGATTAACTGTTTTGTGCCCGGGTTCAATTCCCCACATGGGTACAATGTGTGAAGCTCATTTCTGGTGTCCCCAAACATGATATTGTTGGACTATTGCTAAAAGCGGCGTTCTCACTCATTCACTCACTCACTCACTTGTTTTGTGAATGTTGTAATTATGATGGCATTCTGACATCATTGCTATTACAGGATAATAGTAGTAGTATTTTATATCATGAAGATATACTCTTTCAATAATTCTGTGAACAACATCAATATAGGGAGCTGCTATGATTAAATATTGTATTCAGTCTTTTGGGTTCTTATCTTGACATCAAAGCATGCAACTCTCTGGACCACTGAACTAACCTGAACTAAATCTTGGTGCCAGCTAAGTCAAGATTAGACTGATACAACAGTTTATTTATATAGTGAGTTAAATAACTTTTCTAATGTCATTTTCTAGAGCACCTGCAAGGACCCTTTGAAGACAGTGTAGTAAATGGTCAAGTGAAAAGCATGCCCAACAGTTACCTTCCCCCAGAGCCGATGGAGAGGCCTGGTGTGTTTGTGCTGGGCGACGCCCTCAACATGCGTCATCCCCTGACTGGAGGGGGCATGAGTGTCGCATTGAGTGATGCCATCATTTGGAGGGACCTGATGAAGTCACTACCCTCTCTCACTGACTATGAAGCCGTTATCAAGGCCACGAGGCTGTTCCATTTGAGGAGAAAGGGAAATCATTCCTTTGTTGTCAATATTCTTGCACAAGCTCTGTATGAACTCTTTGCAGCTAAAGACAGTAAGTTATCTTTCATTATTTGTTTAAACTTGACCAAAAAAAATTCTTTTCACTGCATATAATTGCTGTCTTCAGGGGATGGCTAGATTTTGCCTGAAATGTTTCATTACAGTACAGAAAATTATTTTGCTTTTTGCACTTTACTGCAGAGACGGTGAGGTAGCCTAGTGGTTAAAGCGTTCGCTTGTTACACTGAAGGTCCTGGTTCAATTCCCACATGGGTACAATGTGTGAAGCCGATTCTGGTGCCCCCGCCATGATATTGCAGGAATATTGCTAAGCGTGGCATAAGGCCATATTCACTCACTCACTCTCACTATTCTACTACAAAAAGACCGCCTCCGTGGTGTAGTGGTTAGAGCGTCCGCACGGAGAGCGGAAGGTCGCGGGTTCGATACCCGACCGCGTCATACCAAAAGACATTAAAATATGGTACTTGTTGGTCCCTGCCTGGCGCTCGGCATTAATGGGTACAACAAGGACTGGTCGGCTCAGAGTCAGTATAATGTGTCTGAGTGGGGTATTCATGCTTCACTGCGGCATGGTATCTTAGTGGGCTAGCACTATAAAACCAGTTTTAGTCTGGGCTAGTACAAGAAGCTGCACATACACATACACACGCATGCACGTCGTCATATGAGCGAAATATTCTCAAGAACGACGTTAAACCCAATTTCACCTCACCTCACCTACTACAAAAAGCACTTGGCCTAAAAATAAGGATTCTTAGTTGCTTGCTAGTGGAATTTATTATACCCCCTCTATGAAGTAATGGGGGTATATATAGCGTTCATTCTGTCCGTCCGTCTGTCCGTCCGTCCTTCCGTCCCGAAACTTTGTCCGGAGCATATCTCTTAAAGTTTACATGCTAGGTTCACCAAACTTCACACACATGTTAATCATTACCCATTGATGTGCCTTTTGCTATTTTAAATTTTAAAGGTCACATGCAACGTAAAACACAACTTTGCAGATTCTGATACCTTTCGGTATGGACTTACCGAAACAAATCGTCAAAAATGCAAATTCAACTTATAAAGTTGAAAAATAACGCGATGAAAAAAAACGCGCAAAATCGGAGTTCAAACGTTTCACTAATTTTCCCCAGACTTTTCTGGGGAATACGGGTTTCAACAGCTGGGCTGCGCCATAGCACGCGGCGCAGTGAAATAGGTTCGCGAACTTTGAAGCCGGCTGTCTGGTGAATACCGTGAAGGCTTTGGTGTGAGCTATTTTCATAATGTTTTGTTGATATCTCACAGGCGCGAAGCTTTTGTATGTTATGACAGTAAATAAACTGTTTATATAATTTCATTTGTCTATTTCACCAAACGCTCTTCTTACCGAAGTCACTTTTCAGTTCGATACTTAAAAGCAATGTCATTATTTAGAGTTGACACAATTTCTAACTGTGATATAGATATGTCGCTGTCACAGACAAAACTCAATGTCTTGTTTTATTGACACCTGTGTGTCTGCCTGCCTGTCTGCTAATGACAATATTCAATACATAACTGCTATCACTGACCACATGCAATTTGAACTTAACACCAATCAGGCTATACACCATAAACAAAACGCATTGATTTATGGCCCGAAGTTCGGTCTCTGTCACATTATGTAATTACACAGACAGGCAGGTGTGATACTTGAACACATGACATGTTATGATGTCTGTTGATTGCAAAATGTTATACACAAAAATGAGCATGTATTTACAAAACCCAACTTTCTATATATACACACACAATGAGCGGCATCTGCTAATGAACCAGCCGTTACACTTGAGTGCACACCCACCCGCTCTGACTGGGTTCGGTATCCCGGCTGCTTCGTTTCGAGGGAGGTAAACCCAAGCACAAAATATTGCACTTTTGATTTGCGATTATACGCTTATAATTTTGTTTATTTGTTTTTTCATAATCAGCAATGCATATTATATGTCATGAAGAAGTGATAATTGTGTTTTAATTATGTTTGATTTTTTGGTTGCATGTGACCTTTAAATGTGTGCAACATGAGTCAGTAACAATCTTCACCAACGTCCACTTTATTGTATGCAACATGAGTCAGTAACATTCTTCACCAACGTCCACTTTATTGTGTGCAACATGAGTCAGTAACAATCTTCACCAACGTCCACTTTATTGTATGCAACATGAGTCAGTAACATTCTTCACCAACGTCCACTTTATTGTGTGCAACATGAGTCAGTAACATTCTTCACCAACGTCCACTTTATTGTGTGCAACATGAGTCAGTAACATTCTTCACCAACGTCCACTTTATTGTGTGCAACATGAGTCAGTAACAATCTTCACCAACGTCCACTTTATTGTGTGCAACATGAGTCAGTAACAATCTTCACCAACGTCCACTTTATTGTGTGCAACATGAGTCAGTAACAATCTTCACCAACGTCCACTTTATTGTGTGCAACATGAGTCAGTGACATTCTTCATCTATGTCCACTTCATTGTGTGCAACATGAGTCAGTAACATTCTTCACCAACGTCCACTTTATTGTGTGCAACATGAGTCAGTGACATTCTTCATCTATGTCCACTTCATTGTGTGCAACATGAGACAGTCAAGTTCAGTTGTATTTCAGGTTTTCACGGAAAACACAAAAAAATAATGTTTCCATAAATTATTACTGTAATCAGTACATGGCAAAACTATTATCTAACATGTAAATAAAGTTTAGTAGAGTCAAAGAGAAAGTCTTGTGAGCTGCTTATTACTTATTGTTCTTTTCATTCCAGTCTGCATGCATTATTTCTGATTTTGTTTATTTTGTTGCATGTGATTCTGGTAACCACAACCTATACGTCTTGTTCTAGCACATCTCCAGAGTCTGAAGAGAGCATGCTTTAAGTATTTCAAAATGGGAGGACAGTGTGTGGACGGACCTGTAGGACTGTTGTCAGTGTAAGTAGATCAACTTCCGACCAATACATTCCAGTATCACTTGATGAAGGTGAAGGTGAGGTGAAATTGGGTTTAACGTCGTGCTTGAGAATATTTCGCTCATATGATGACGTGCATGCGTGTGTATGTGTATGTGCGGCTGCTTGTACTAGCCCAGACTGAAGCTGGTTTTAAAGTGCTAGCTCACTGAGACACCATGCCGCAGTGAAGCATGAATACCCCACTCAGACACATTATACTGACTCGAGCCGACCAGTCCTTGTTGTACCCATTAATGCCGAGCGCCAGGCAGGGACCAACAAGTACCATATTTTAACGTCTTTTGGTATGACGCGGTCGGGATCGAACCCACAACCTTCCGCTCTCCGGGCGGACGCTCTAACCACTACACCACGGAGGCGGTCTATCACTTGATGAAGATCAGGATTAGACTTGGTGTTCAGCAATCCCTGCTTGTTGGTCAATCCCTGTAAGTGGTCATATGCACTGGTTTGGTTGATGCATGTTATCATGTCCCAGTTTCATAGATCAATGCTCCTGATGTCAATCACCCGGTTGTCTGGTCTGGACATGATTATTTACTCTGTCATAGCTGGACTATTGCTGAGCATGGTGTTAAACAACACACAATCATGCCAGCATCACATGATTGAGGGGATTAAGACCATGGAGAATGATGGAGTTGAAGTGACACTTACCAGATAACATTGGAAAGACCAAGTGAAACATGATTTGCAATGTGAGAAAGAAACCCTTTGCTCTTTTTCTTTGCAAAGAATAAGATAGCCAGTGTGCAGTATTCACTCTTTAAGATCAGTTTCCCGAGAATGAATTGCATAATTGTTTGACCTGATTAAGTGCAATTAAAAAGTCTGTACTTTATTTGGTTATCTGAGTATTTACTAGTTTTGTCCTTTTTCAGGCTCACTCCAAATCCATTCCTGCTGGTTGGACATTTCTTTGCTGTGGCACTATTTGCCGTATTTGTTGTGTTTAAGACTGAACCATGGTGGGCAATGCACAGAGTTGTCTTCAGATCAACCATGATATTTTACAAGGCATGTGGAGTTATCTTTCCTTTAATATACAGGGAAATGAAGTGTCTGTTTTGATACACTGTCTAAAGGTGTGTTGAATATATGAAACTCTACCTACAGGAAATGAAATGTATATTGTAGTGATTTTGCTAGGGATAAATGCCACCTTTTCAGGATTTTATTAATTTTTCAATAGGATATTGTTCTATTGAAGATGACAGTCAGTCCGTCAGTGTATATTTCTGGTACTAATGAGGCCAAATACCAGTAGGACATAGACTGAAGTGTTCATCTAGTCTATTGGAATTTAATATATTTAAATTAATGTATGATTATCATTATTATGCTGGACATGCTGGTTTAAAATAATGTTATACATAATTTGTGTATATTGCAGAGTGATATTGTGTGAGAATGTTTCACAGAAATTTTGTATGTTGCAGCAGAGTGATATTGGTGTTACAATGTTTTACATAATTTATTGTATTATGAATTATATTTCAACTCTACACACCATGACAATGTTGTATTACCTGTTGTACTCTTGGCCACATGGCCTTCAATTCTAAATAAAGTCATCATCATCATCATAATTTATGAATGTTGATAACAGTTTACATAAGTGTGTGTGTGAGTGTGTGTGCATGCATGTGTGTGTGTGAGAGAGAGAGAGAGAGATTGTGTAAATACTTATATGACCAATGTGTTTGGAGAATGCTGTCAAAATAAACATGTCAGCTATAATGTGTTGTTTCTTTTTTCTCTTTTACTATTTTAGATCACCATTCTGCTAAACAGTTGAGTTGTAACTAGGAGCAGTTAATAATTATGCTTTATGGGACTGTTACCCTAAACAGATTAGTGTCTTTGTATGTCTTACATTCAGTTGCAAATTTCCTTCAACATGTTACTCAAAACCACTCAGATCACACAGCTTAAATCTCTATACATATCAGAATGTATATATAATATCAGAAAGTCACCATAGCCTCAACAGGAAATATATTTGTTAAATCGTGGTGGTTATGTGATGTTACAGTGTGAAAACCCTTTTAAAGAATTGGATTATCATGAACACTTGAGCAATAATAGTGTACGACATAAACACATTACTAGGAAAATTTGCATATCTTTATGAAACATTGCCGCACTTTTTGCGGTGGAGGAAACAATACAAGTAGAAATGAAATTGAATGATGTATTTGTCATGATCAATTCCTAGGTAGAAATTCAAAGAAACAGTTGAATTTTATCAGTATTTGTTTATATACCACAACCTCCCTGGCAAAATTTCTTGTGGATATAAAGGTATTGGGAGAATTTTAACGAAAGGTTCAAGTGAAGTCATTTGTATTGACAATGAACATTTTGGAAAATATATGTGGTTGAACTGCCTAAAAACCAAGAAAATGGTAAGTGGTAGCACCTACAACATTGCAGTACTGTTGTCCTAGTTAGAGTCCTCATCCATGTAGTGGGATCAATAGGTGATGCAGTCGTCTAAGGGGCCCCAATTAGCTGTGCAGCGTTTAGCCCTCTGGTAAAGATGAAATCGTGGGTTTGAATCTCTACTGTCTTTGTCAGCCCCTTGCCCATACTCATTCTTAATTGTAAAGGTCTATGTAAGACCTACATCACCACGGGTTTTGATCCAACACGCCCACGCCATGATAAAACTGGAATATGGCCAATCAGGGCCCGTTTCACCAAGCGACCATAGCGCTATGGTGATGGTAACTCCCATACTTTAGCATAAACTGACGACAGTCGTAGCGCTACGTTCGCTTTTGGAAACGGGCCCAAGGTGTTAAATGTAACTCGTTCATTTACGCTGACGTGCCTGGACATAAAATTCCAGTCTCGTTACATCACCAAATGTCAACATCCACCATTAAATTTCAAAGTTTCTCAGTGGGGTAGCATAGTAGTTAAAGCGTTGGCTCGTCACGACGAATACCCGGGTTCGATTCTCCACATGGGTACAACGTGTGAAACCCATTTCTGGTGTACCCCGCCGTGATATTGCTGAAAGCGGCGTTAAGCCATACTCACTCACTCAAAGTGTCTCAGTATACATTGCGACGTGCGTGCATGTGTTTGAGCATCATCTGTGCTGATGATAGTGAAATTGGATTAAATACTACCGATTATGATGGAGAAGAGAACAGTGCATTTCGAATGGCGGATATATATAACGGCGCTGAGAACTTGAAAACTTGACAAAGTTCAAAAGTGAAAACCAATATCGTTTTCATTTTGTATGTTTAGAGCTTAATGTCAATAATAGCATTTATTTTCCGAAACGTGAAGTTTCGTTACTGAAAGAGTCCGTTATTGACGGAGTTTCACGGTAAGATTCTTGATCTTGACCCTAAGTTATCCTGTAATACACAGAGGAAGCCTCTCGAATCCGTCTCCAAATGTATGCTACTTTGAAACCGCCTGGACTTCACGCAGGGAGCCTTGTCTACACAACGGCGATGTGTTATATTATGTGTTATGTGTAATATGCTTATTACATACTTCAGGGTGTGCCTACTAAATTTCTACCATAATAGAAACCGACAACAAAGAAGAAGAAAAACAGCATCAGTGAGATCTCAATACTCTCATTCTGGCAATTTGCCAAAAGTATTTAACGGGTCACACATGGTGTACGGTTGTATATAATGTTATGGATGACCTCAGTCCTGTATGTTAATTGTAGTATACGGTTGATGTCATGTATGTGTCTCTGAAATGAACATACTTTACAGAAGAAGGAACAACTCTTAAAATATCTTATTAAAATATCAGTCGAACTGCTTTTGTGTGTTTGCATCGCCCAAGTCACCGAGTCAGACCACCCGATCCCCACTGTCGCCTTTCACGACAAGCACGGGTCACGATGTTTGACCGACCACCCGTGTGTTGGTTTGCTTGTTTGCTTATTTCACGCCACACTCCGCAGTATTCCACCTATTTGGTGGCGCTTTGTACGTAATTGAGTCTGGACCAGACAATCCAGTGATCAACAGTATGAGCATCGATCTACGCAACTGGTTTACGATGACATGTGTCAACCAGGTGAACGAGCCTATCACCCGTGTGTGAACTATAGCATACAGCTGAGGTGAGGTGAAATTGGGTTTTACGTCGTGCTTGAGAATATTTCGCTCATATGACGACGTGCATGCGTGTGTATGTGTATGTGCGGCTGCTTGTACTAGCCCAGACTTAAGCTGGTTTAATAATGTTGGCCCACTGAGATGCCATGCCGCAGTGAAGCATGAATACCCCACTCACAACATTATACTGACTCCGAGCCGACCAGTCCTTGTTGTATCCATTAATGCCGAGCGCCAGGCAGGGACCAACAGGTACCGTATTTTAACGTCTTTTGGTATGACGCAGTCGGGGATCGAACCCGCGACCTTCCGCTCTCCGGGCGGAAGCTCTAACCACTACACCACGGAGGCGGTCGATGTGTGTAGTCAGTCAAATGTACAGTCAAGGCTTTTAATGTCTGAAATATACATCTGAGAGGAATACACTTTCAAACTATATGCAGGAAACACACCTCATGGGTTGCAGCAAGAAAACCATCACCAGACTGATGACACGCTTCAGAACAACAGGTCGGACTGCAGACAGGCCTAGGACAAGGAGACCACCCGTAACCACCAGGAAGACCGCCATTTACGGGTGCTTCACTTGCGCAACAGATTCCTGACTGTGACGTCATCAGCAACAACCAGCCTTACCCTCCAGTAGAAGGACCATATCCAGACGACTCCGCCGATTCGGTATCAGAGCCTACAGACCATTCCGGGCGTGACGTTAACGCGTGAACATCGACGTCGTCGCTTGGCTTTGGGCACGTAGAGTTCGGCAGTGGCAGCCGCGGAACTGGCGCCGGGTACTCTTCAGTGACGACAGCCGCTTCCAGTTGAACAAAGCTGATGGTCGGGTACGAGTCTACAGACGTCGGAACGAACGCACAGCACGTTGTTGCTTTGGCTCAAGCTCTCTACAGGAAGAATGGCGTCGCATCCCAGATCACGTGATCAGACGTCTTGTGCACTCTGCACGACGTCGTGGCAGCATGTATCGCTGCAAGAGGTGGACACACTCGCTACTGAGGAGTTGGACGCTCAAAGACACTCTGTCAGTATATGTTTATTTAAACATAACTATCATTTTACGCTAAAACGGGGACAGATTTCAACATTTAGGGCCTATTCGATTATGCTAAACCGGTTTTGGTTTCTCGAAAACCATGCTCTCGTTTATGTCGAAACCTAAAACTGGGTTCTGAAACTTCGAAACCATCTCCGAGGCAGGTTTCGCGGTTTCGGTTTCGCGTTCTCTCACAATAAACATGGCGGAAAAGATCTTGGTGGCAAAATAGAGCAGCAGTTTCTGTAACCAAAATAATGATAAAAATCAACTGAGAACTAGGAAAATATTATTTAAAACCCCAGTCTATTGAACATGACTATTTTATGTAACTTGTATACATATAATTACTTGTAACAGTATAATTACATATACGCAAATATTTACTTCCAAAAGCATCTCTTCTCTTTATTATTTGTTAATTCCCTGATAAAATGACCAAAAAATATTACCTTCTGCAATGCTGTCATTCAATTCGTTCCTCATATATACTCAGCAGCAAAATAAAACGTCAGTACGAATTCAAAATTAGATAGGCACTGTAATCAAATCATTACAGAAATGGACATAATAAGCGGATCAAAAACATTTTGTGTACAATATCTTGACACATCAATGAATAACTCTTTCAAGACATTACGTGAACGTTTGCAGTTCATTCAGACACTTGACTTCAGTATCTAGTGTGACTACCACGAGCGGCAATAACTGCAGCACAGCGTCTATGCATGGAGTGCACCAATTGATTGATGAAGGCCATTGGCACCTGGGACCACACTGAGAAAGGCCTGGCGCAATAAATCGGCTGTGTTCGGCCTTGGTATGACATGATTCAGTCTCCTCTAAATTTCATCCCAAAGATGTTCAACTGGGTTTAAATCAGGACTAAGGGCTGGCCACTACATAATGTTGACACCGTTCTGCTGTAGGAAGTCCCGTGTAGCTCTGGCAGTATGGGCCCGGGCGTTATCATGCTGGAAAATCTTGTTCCGGTGACGTGCGAAATGTAGTGTGACGTTGGGTCTGAGAGCTTGGTCGATGTAGCGCACTGCTGTGATGCCACCCCCTCTCCCTGGACCAAGGTTCCGGAACACCACAGGACCCACTCACTTGTTCAGGCCTATTCCACCCCTTACCATGATGCTTGCACCTCCCCATGAGTCTGTTTCCATAAGACATTGGTCTGAGTAACGCTGGCCACGTCGTCGCCATATTCTTGTTCTGCCATCTGCAGTTGATACGCGTACCGACTCTCATCCACAGAACAGTTCTCCATTGCCTGTATTGGTGTTGTAGGGCAAACAGTAGACGTTCACGCCGATGACGAGGGGTGAGGATAG